ATCCCTCTTAGAAAGTCAAGTCCAGGTTGGACACATCCCATGCTATAAATATTACATATTCGATGGCCCAGTGAACGGATTAGGTTTCTCTACCTCATTATCGACACCCAGCTACAGAGATTAGTGCGTTGTTCACTCCATGTGAGTTTCTAGTTGATGGATCTTTTCAGCGTTCGTAATCAGTACGTCAAGGAAAGGAATAGCTGATTCCGATTCCTTCTCAGTAGTGAATTCTACCGCTGAGTGGCGGTTGTTAAACTCACGTAGGATGTCACCTAGATTGATAGTCAAGTCGCAAATAACGAATATATCATCAATATATCGTTTATAGATGTCAAAATACCTAATAGTTTGGCTAAGAATAGAATTTTCTAGTTTTAACCTAAAACAATCTACCATTTGAGTCCCTAGGGGGATCTCACTGCAACCCTATCATTTTGCCGGTAATTCTCATTATCAAAACTAAATTACATATTAAAAATGCATTTCATCAATAGCTCTCGCAAGTAGTTTGTTGGAATTCCTATTTCTAAATTGTGTGAATCGATGAAATCACTTATGTAACAAACAATTTCAGTGAGTGGTACACTCGTGAAAATGAGGTGACATCTAAGGAAAACATAGCTTTACCCGTGGTGTCAACATCCTTAATGTTATCAATAAACTCAAATGTATCACGAATAGAATAATGAGACACTTGCCTTCTGACTGGTTTCAGTATTTCAGCTAACCATTGGGCGATACAATGACAAGGAGAGCCTGACATATCCAAAATCGAGTGAAGTGGTAAACATGCTTTATGTATTGTCGGCAATCCATAGAGACGTGAAGTTACTGAACCGACAGGTGGGATGCGTTCATATAAACTAGAGGAAATCAAAGCATTATCCTTCATTTTATTCTGGATGCCTGTGAATTGGATCTCAATCTGTTGTATTCTGTCCCTCTCACCTGCAGGTTTACCAAACTTAGTTTGATCGGAGAGAATTGATAGCATTTTCAAGACGTATTCCTGACGATTCATCAGAACGGCACCCCATCCTTTATCGGGACGACTTAAGATGATGTCATGATTATCAGTGATCGACTTGAGTTGTGTTATATGCTCCTTCGTCAGAGGATGATTCAAACTATATTTTGAATTGGTGAAATGGTGACAGCAATCAAGAACAGTGGAAATCTTGTGATGATGCCGGAGCAAGATCAGAAGTCTGACTAAATAGGTTTTCAAATTGCAATTGAGTGCGAAGTCTGTTAAATTTCGATGTGCTAATGTAGAACTTAGGACCCAATGATAGGGTTTTTAACTGGATTTCCGAAAGAAATACTGAAGAGTAATTAAGTACATATTCGTCAGGATTGTCCGGAACTTTCTTTTCGTTGGAAAAACTCCTTTTCGTTGAATATCTTGTTTTTGATGTTGCAGTGGGAATTATGAATGTATTTAAAAAAAAATAAAAATTATCAATCACTTTCAATAAGATGAATATTGAGGCAGAAAAGAAATTCATGCAAGGATTATGGCAGAATAAGAGAATGGATGTACTTATTCCGTAAGCATAATATGAATTTTAGTTGCTGGATTGACAACGCCTATGATATGCATGCATAAGTGACGTATCCACACTTCTTTTGAGCTGATCAGTTTGACTTTGTATTGATAGGATTTTGAAAGAATGCTGTGGGGCAGTGACACAGTCGGAGTTGATCAAATGCTCAAAGACACAATTGAAAACAAATTTAAAACAAGCGACGACAGTGAAAAAAAGCAAGATCTAATGGATTCATAAATTTCGGTAGTACTCTTCAACTGGATACTCTACACACTTGATTACAAATACCGTTAGACAATACAAAAGAACATACATGCATATATGTATATGTATATGTATATGTATATATATATATATATATATATATATATATATATATATATATATATATATATATATATAAAGTAAACTGAGACAGATTTAGTGGCTACCAGTGGGACTCAGGATACGCAATTTGTCCTATTTGGGACTCGTCAGCTGGATATACCATCTTTGGTAGGTGCTCAACCGTTCGGGTAGACAGACACCTTTCTGTACTACCAACATATATGCTTTCACGGGTACATTCAAACTGATATATACATTTAGATGTGTCGAGGATCAGAGCCCTGTCTTTCGCTGATTGTTGCAGCACCCTTTCGGTGATACTTAGGAGAACAAGTTTAGCAGCGTAATAAGTCCTTCTGACAAACTTCTCCAGTCTTCATCTAACTACTTCTAGCATATCGTCACTTTTGAATGGCAAGGTGATATAGACTGGTTCCTTCTGCACCTTTGGGGATGTTGTTCTATTTCTTACCCATTTTGCGCGCTTTTTGATAAAGGTTTCTGGGTATACATTCTTCACTAGTATTTTCCATTGTCTAATAGTATATGTAATCAAGTATGCAGGGTATCTAGCTGACTAATACTATTGAATTTATGAATTCATTAAATTCTGCTTTCTTTTTACTTTCGTTGCTTGTTCTAAAGATAGAAGTGTTACTTGACACGCGTTTTCCTGTGAACAGCCATGGACGATGGTATTTAGAGATGTGTTTGAAAAGTTGCACTTTGTTTGATCCTGATAACTAGCTCTAAAAAAGCAAATAAACCAACAGACCCATATGGATATGGCCCTAAATGGTAGTTTTCTCTTCATGCATCCTTAAATTAACTGTTAACTGGAGAAAGCCATTTGCGATTTCCCGGCATAACATGACATAGAAAGACGATTCTTGAGTAGTTCTGCTACGCCATAGCCTTTGGATTTAGTATTCATGAAAAATGTTTTCTTAGCAACAGAGCGAACGTATTCTTGTCACCGTTGTGGCTTCATGCTTTTTGAGATAAATCTTGGAGGATAACCTTTCTAAATAAGTACTTTTTGAAGGTATTCCAACTCTTTGTCCATTGTGTCATTTATGTATATTCTTCTCATACCCGTGCAAAGCGAATGAATTCAAAGTTCTCTTTCTATAGATTAACTTTTTTAAGGAGCCATTAAATCATCTCTTGAACAAAATATCAAGAAAGTGAAATTCTGAGTTGTCTATAACTTCCATCAGGAAACCCATGAAAAGATGACTGCCACTGAGTTCAATGAGATTGGCAGCAAGATAAGTGTTTTAGAGCACATGATGAAGATATCATTCATGTACATCCCAAATACATGAAACTGGTCGATAATTGAATGTAACAGGCCGTTTTACAAACCAGCCATGAAGCAAGAAGGCTCAGTCGTAATCCTATGGTTATTCCATATTTCTGTCGATAACATTCGTAACTGAACTTGAATTATATGTTAAAACTGTATTGTAGAAGTAATTCCTTTAGACAGTGAATTGAAATACAAACTTCTAGATCAGTAGTTTGGATGTAGTTACACAGGAAACAAATAGTCTTTGTAACTGGAACATCTGTGAACAGGAAAGCGATATCCAAAGAAAGCATCCTTTTTCGGCTACATTGGGCTTCATTATTGGGACGACAAAATAAAATGTGACTTCCTACCGATTAAAGAATTTCAGTCAGTCATTTAGCGATCACATAGTATGCGGAATTGTTGAAATCTAAAATTGGACTGAGTGAAACCTTCTCCTTGTATGCCTTTAGCAGACCATAGAGTTATGGTATCATAGAGTTTGATGGTTCTAGATGCTCAAACATGATCATTGTTAATGATCAACTAGTTTTTCATATTTTCAAGGACTTTGATCAACTGTTCAATTTGTTCAGTCGTATCTCTTTGAATAGTTTCTTCTGAAAATTTATTGTTATTTTTTCTATTGATCCGCTCAAAATGATTCTGAGGAAAGACTAACAATTCACTGTCATACTTAATCAGGTTCAAATAAATAATCTTCGGCTAGTATACATATTTTTAGACAGTATAGAAAATTTTTTTAACTCGGAAGGTGTTTTTGGAGAAGATGCAAATATCTGGAATTTGCCACCATTTTTATATTACAGAGCAAACATTTAAACTCTGCATTTCTGACAAAATATTAACAAGATAAGAAATGGCTATGCTCTGCACTACCAGATTAAGTGGTTAAAGTGATAGCAATTGTGTATAGAAACATTATTTAGTATAAACAATGAACAATGCAAAAATTATCTTAGATTTACGGGGAAAGATGAATGCTGAATAAGAAATTATATACGGATATCGATACCTGAAAAGGTGCCGATAGGCCCAGTTGATGGTTTTAAAACACAAAAAAGATTAATATCGTAATTCACCTTACAGTTGGTAGCAACTCATTCAAATGTCAAAGTAACATCAATGAATCTGATCTACAGGATTTCAAACGCTGAGATTAACAGTATCTTTTAGTGCAAAGAAGCGATTTACTCAACTGTAGGGAACACTTCTAATTCTTGTGTGATATGATTACACTTTTATTTATGCCTCATAGAAGTTAGTAAACGAGAAATGAAAATAGGGGCCTAATTTCACGGGTTTCAGTGCTATTCTACTACTGAGTACTTTATACACACAATATCTGGTATCAGATGTTGAAGTTCAGATGCATTAGAAGAATAGAGTAACACTGAGAAATGAATAGGTTTATCAGTTCTTTTTGTGGTAGAAAAATAAAGAATCTAAATATAAGATGGAATAATTTATGGTAGAAACATTAAGCATGAAATGTGTAAATCTAGGTTTTACGAAGACACTGATGGAAGACAAATAGAAAGACAATGTAGCGAATGTTACAAATAATGCTTTCAGGAAGGAATACAAATGAATCCGATAAAAAACAATTAGAGTGAAAAATAACTGAGTATGATCTTAACCAACTGGATCAAAGCACTGTGGTTTAATAAAGAGATAAGAATGGAGAGATGATTTGGAAACTGAATAGCAGAAGCATTTTCAAACTAGGCTAATATTAATTTGAAAAGTTGGCTAACACTTTAGGTGACTTTTCCAATTTTAATATTTATACACTTTATCTACAGTTTTCGGATAAGAATGAGGATTATATTGGCCATCATCTGCGCTTTACTAATGTTCTGGACCAGGAAGTCTACAGCCCAGTCTGAAACTCAGAGCAATGATTACTTACAAGTCTATGATGAAGAGGATTATGGGGAAAATCCACAGAATGAAGTTTTCAGAAACAAAGGAAAAAATCTTGATTTATATGATCGCTATCGAATAAGACGACAATTTAGACCTCAAAGATTTGGAAAGCGCCATATGGGTAAGATTTTATTGAAATTTTTAATTGAGATTATCTGGAATTTACTACTACTGAACGACTTCAGTGGTTAGAAATCGCTCACGTGAACCTGTAGATATCATAAGCACCCAGATAAGAGTGATTTAAACACTAGATAGCCATTTCATTCGTTTGGGGCCGGCTCATCAGTGGTAACCCTCGAAAAATTCAGCCTGTAGAGTCACTTGAATCTGGCCAGCTGACTTATATGGAACGTTATACCTAAAGTGGTAACTAAATTTATTCATGCTTTAGGTAACTGATAGGTGAGGTATTTAGATAGGTCTAGGAAGCTTATTTTGGCTCGGGAAAAGCTTTTACAGTTAAGCGGTGTGATTGTTAACTTTGATAAGTGTTGAAAGCAACTGAAAACACTACAAAGTATTGATGACGAGTGACTATTTACAGTTTGGGAAGTGTTGTTGAGATTTCACCCTCCTGTCTAATCAATATTACTGGAAATCGATAATCTGAAAAAGAATTTTTATTTGACACTGTAACTGCTGAAAACGCTTACGTCCAAATCAGTTAACTGAGTAAGTTCCGTAAACGAAATACATTCTAATCTAACTGGAACAGTATTTCTTTTTGGCGCCGAATGAAGTAGATTGATACAAACATATTTACACGAAAATAATCTAGGATGTCTGTTTTTCCTGTGGATCTTATGTGTATTGTTGAAATGGGTCGTGTTTGATGTTTACAGTGCACTCAGCCAGTGTGATAATCAGAGATTGAGAAAAACGAAATGAAAATATGAAGTATTGTGTTGGCAAGCAAATAGAATGTACCTGGACTAATTGGAATCGACGATAGTTACCAACCAAGTTAAAGATATTACAGCAATCCGAAATTTTGAAATTAACATGAATTCAGTAAGGCTTCCTTGTGCTTTATGCTCTCGTTGTGTTCAAAAATGTAGTACTTATGAATCATCGTTTTGCATCATTTCACTTCCTTGGTATTTCGTGAAAGCTCATCTCAAAGCAGCTCAGTAGTGAAGACTGAACAGTAATTCAGTTTAAAGGTTTGATATTTATTGGGTGAACATACGGTCACATTGCGAAGTGGCAGTAGTAAGAAAATGTGAACCAGTGGATTTTCACCTGGTGGTTTAATGGCAACATGCTCTTTGCGGAACCTGAAGGTCTTGGGTTCGATCCGTGACGAGGTTAGCTCCATGGGTGAGCAGTGCTAAGAAGTACCATATTGGGATGAAATAACTATTTACTGCTGCAATGTTTTCAGTGGTCCTTAGGGTGATACTATTATGTGATGAATACCAACCTTGAATCAACAAATCCTCTACAGTGAACTTGTAGAGACTAATTAAAGCAGAAAAGGGTATTAGATATTTCGTTCCTTTTAGGTACGCTCTCACTGTTCAGAATTTAAAACTTGATCAGAAGTATAATGCAACCAGTTCCATAGTGCGATATGGAAACAAAAGTATCCAGACATTCGTTTAATATTTGTTTCATTGATATAGCTAGTTACTAACTATTGGAGGGAAAAGGACTTTCATAGCTCAAAGCAGTTGTAGATAAGTGGTAGTATTGAACTGTAACCCGGTGACTAAATGGTCAGCTGGTTCACTGTGATACCCAAAGGTTCTGAGTTTGACCCATAGTGTGGTTATATATGTATACTACCATGAAGTCTCAAGCTTGGTTGATCAAATAGTTTCAGTCCTTCATGAATGCTACCTTGAAATGAAATCCCCATTAACCTTAAACTATATTGCTATATGAACAACAACTCAGATGGCAACTGATTATGAAATTGGTTTAAATTTTTAAACGATGTGAAGGAGTACTCTTGAAAACTGCACATAGACATTGACAATGAACTTTTATAAAGCTGGAACCAAAAGCTTTTCATTAGTTACCTCCAGTTTACAACTTATACTGTTCACTATAAGAGGAGTACAGACGTCTTTTTTCATCTGAACGTTTTTACGTTAATTAGAAACTATTCTAATAGTTATCGAAATGAATCAAATTAATGCATTAAAGCTCTTATCTAGGTAAGATGAGTCTATTACAGTGAAAGTTTGTTCGCTGTTTCTTTATCTATATATTTGCAAACTACTTAATTATTTATTGGTAGGCAAGCCTACAAAATGAAACAAGAAAGTATACATCGATTTATAGTTTGTTTCTAATTAACTTCATTATGTTACCAGAGATCAATCAGCTGGTTGCAAACGGTGTTGAACATATTTCCTATGTGTATCATGGCAGGTAATCTTGTGTCCACGACTAGTTCTGCAGAAAACATTATTCCAAAAGCAATATACTACTCATTGCTATGACAGTTGAGGAAAAATTAGTTTTCGACACATAGTTTAGCTGGTAATTAACACGACACTCAACTCTAAAGTTACCTGTTCTAATTTGGTCATTACTCTGGCTTTCTAAGACTCTGGTAAGATGGACATATTTTCTGGCTACTCTAAGTCATGCTTAATAAGGGGTTGACAAGTTATAACCTAAGGTTAAGGGAGGCAGAACTTTATACTCAGAAAAGCTGAGTGGATGATGAACAATTAAAAAAGAAGCCAATAAAATAAGGAACTGTAGAATTTCGAACAGGAATTTCTGGTAAATAATGCAGAAATCTTACAAGCTTCTTTACTACTGAACACTTCGTGGTGTTCCGTTTTATTGAATTTCTGTATTTTGTTTCAAGAAGCTTCTAATTTTTTTTCCATGATAATAAAATATTCTAGAACATTCACTTACGGAGAATCACAAATATATCAACAAATAGTTTTTATCTAGGTCATTTCATAAAATCCACATTTGACTATTTTTTTGACTTAAAGTCAGTATTATACACTATGAGTGACTCAGAAGTAGGCCAAGGACTTGTTTTTGGTGATTGTTGGCACTGTTTATCAAATAGTATCTGTAACGATGTGAAAACTAGTATTCGCTTGGTGATTTCGACCTGAATTACTCAGTGCTGAAGTTAGAAACATAACTGCTGGACCTACTTAGGCTGCAATGACCCTCCGTATGGCTGCATTATATATTTAGATTCGTCACCAGAAAGTAATGAATGCATGTATCTAGCGGCCAGATTTTGATTATGGTCGACAGACATGAATCGGTATTGAGTTCAAGAAACTCGACACCTACATCTAAGACCTTCTGGTGACTAATGCATACATGGTCTACAGTAGCTCAATCAAGTATTTAGGTGAATCCTTGTGGCGGTGAGTAATTTAGGCTATCACTTCAGAAATCGTATAACAACTTTACAACTGATATAGGAGTACAACTTAGATACTGTGGCAGGTTGTGATTCCATTTTAGCCTGTTTATTAGAATTGCCACACAGTGACAGTGTGATATTTCCACACCTTAATCAATTAAGTTCATGATATTTACCAGAAAAAGTAAAAAATTACTCCAAATATTGTAACAAGATATTGATTGAGTAAATCTATCAACAGTGTGAACACTCATTTTCTTTACTAGTTGGCCGCGAATAAAATTTTAAAAGTGGAAAGGACCCAATAACATCCTTCATTCAGGTCATCATTTAAAATTGTTCCTTTTGAACTTGTACTGTCAGATAACACTGATGATAAACTACTTGTAATTCTTTTTCAGTAAGCAGTATAAATCAGGCATTTCAATTTATTAATTAACCAGTAGTCGGCGCATGATGTCATTTTGTAGACCCTAGTGTTGAAATAGATCTGCATAGCATATTGAGTATCATTGTCAGGTTTATTGATATCTTGGCAATCTTGAATTCTTCTGATTTACTGAGAACATTTAGCACATCAGTGGGCAAATTCTAATCGTCGGTGGTTTCTAGATCGTATTGTTAACTAGTAAGAGTAATGCACTAAATTAGTCGACGCAGCTGCTAAGTGTATATACTATAGTCCATGGGACTTATATTATTGGCTAAAACAATCAAAGAAGCCTGTTTGACTATTATAGGGATGCAAGATATATTTTTATTAACTTGTTCACTCAGATTGTTAGAGAAATGACAAATTAGTATATTTCACGCCAGTTGTTTATGCTAAGCATTATTTTGAGTAAACAGATAATAAGTATAGGAAATGTAACAAACAAACAGACAGACAAACTGGTTCATGGTGTCTGCTAACGGGTGAACAAAAATATTAATCCTTTTGTTCCTTTTAATAAACAAAATATAAGAATCAACGAACTAAATACATTTGAACAGTTAGCCATACGATGCTATATACTATACAAATGTTTTCTAGGTGCTTATAAATAAGAATCTTTGTGTTAAAATATGTTTATTTCTGCTTTTTGCGTTTATAACGTTGATATGCATCTGAATATTTTCATGTCTTCACATACAACTGCTTAGATTTCACTACTCAATGTCAACAAAACTGATTTAGAAAACTAGCAGCATTACTATTCCTTTGTTGAGTTAAAGCAGATATTTATATTATTTTTATTCAGTGGAATGAAGTTATAATCTTAGTGTTTATACATGCTCATTAAATAATCAGTGTTGATTATTTATTAGATCGGTGACCCGTAACTCTTTATTGCTTCTCCTTTTTGCCTCAGTGATTTACCATACATTTAAATAATGTTTATGAATAAGAAATACCAGAAATGTTTAAAAGTGTACTCTGATGGAAGACTGAACAGAATTTAAGATCTTAAAAAGTTGTCAGCTGGTGAATAAATTCATAAAGTTGATATTCTTCACGAAATGATGTCACTTAGAGAATCAGTGAAAACCTGAAAGCACTGTCAGCTTTTTCGTTTTGGTGTGAAATCTATTAGCAGCGCACACTTATAAACCCGCCAGGGATCGAACCCAGCACCTTAGGTTTAATATTGAGCCGGTGATAACGTTGCTTGTCGCGTGCTTTTTGAGTGAATCCTAAATAGAACGATGCGCGTGTCGTGTATTCCACTAGTACATATTAGTAAGCATATAACAGCAATAAGTATTCAGGCAATATCGTGGTATCTCTATAGGATTTCGTCCGTCAACAGCAGTCAAACATTATGATCCAGAATAACAAGGAGACGTAACAAGTATCAAGAAATAACAGCAACATGAAATTGTTTTCACTTTGATGTGATTAGTCAATGTGAAAATCGGAAAACTTTCGAATTTACGTGACTTTTTGTGGACAGAAATAAAAAAACACATTTAGATCTTCGTTTTAAACAGGTAAGCAAATTCTGTATGATCTGCTTAGAACCACCCAAAGCTACCCAGAATCAATTATGATAGCGCAAGATTAAACGAAGAAATTCAGCTGATATGAAGAAATTGTTGTTCGATTTGATTCTCGAAAAAGCAACTATCATTTTCCAACCGAGTTTTCCCCGTAACTAACTTGATAGATGAAAGATAAAAAGTTTGTTGAACATCGAAACAGAGAATAATTTTGTGACTGTGATCATTTTTTCAGTATATTTCTTTCTGTACGTCATCTTTTGTCAGTATTGTCTATCATATTCTGAATCCAAGTGCTTAAACTATTACTGAATAGCATATCCTATTCCAAAGAGGAAACGAGTTGGTAAAACTTGAGCGCTAATAAAATCTCGAATGCATTTGCCATGGTCAGCTTAGATATAAAGTTTACTTCTCTGATACACTGTTTAATCACTTTACATTATCCCAGCAATTCGCATTTTTTGTTAAGTAATTAGATTCGTTGGAAATTATCATTATATATTTCTCTTTTTTCAAAAATTGAACAATAGGCTTCACTCCTCAACGTTTTGGCAAGCGGACTCATGGTAAGAATCATGTAGAACTTTTGTACAGTTTACTGCTTTATAGTCTATCGTTATATTTCAACTGTCATAACTTTTATTGTTTAGTGATGTTTAGATGTAAGGATGCATTTCATATGTACGCTTGTTAGTACACAATGATGTTCACGCTGTAGTCGGTTGCGTTTGTTGAGACACAGGTGTTCACTTCCTAACGGACAGTTTGTTTTTAAGGAAGTATTCATCAAGAACCGAAAGCACTTGGTGAACCATTCAAAACCTAGGAGCACTGGACAGCTAGCTGGATAGCTAGCTGCTACCCCTTAGCAGTACGCACCCAAGATCCCACCCCACCACAACTACAACTTTTGGGTACCATAGCGAACACGTTAACCATTCATTCAATAGATCGAAGTTAGGTACTTAGTTCATGGTTTCCTATTTCTTCCAATTGGCAATATAGCGCTGCCATCCACCAAGATCTTCACCTCCATACTAGGATGAAACACTTGTCCAATGCTTCCAGGTTTTCTATGATTTTCCAAATGATATTAATCCGTGGTCTATAAAATCCACATAAACGTAAAGTTAGAAATTGGCTACTGTTTAGTTAGATGCCCACCACTCATCATAGATGACTAATACGAAACACTTGTCGTCTGAAAAGATACACTATTTATTTTTCAATCAGTCATACGTTTGTTGTAGTATTCCATCCTTACGTTTTAGAATTCAGTGAAGAGTATTTACTCTGTGATAAATCATTTTCAGAAGCTATTCATTCGTCTTTATAGTCACATTAGGAATACATGTCAGCCAATCGCCAGTATGTCAATTCAAGTTTATTAAAAATCGTTAAAAAGGTAGTTACTGATTGGTCAGTACAAGGTATTTAAAAGGTGATTACGTAATAACCTATGAAGTAATGGAATGAGTACGAAAGTGGGACAATCCTATTAAAATCATCAATTACGTAGTAAAAAAAGGTAATGAAAACAAAAAAGTTAACATATGAATTAAAAACAATCAAGAAAGAAAGAAAGAAACTCATGTAGGCCATGACCAAAGTAAAAGCAGAGATTAAACTCACGTGTTTCAACGCAAAGACCAGGCTTGATATGATAAATTACCAAGGCTTCCACAGTGTTCAAATGGCGCATCTGCCCTCTTTTCAAGATGTTTCATTTGATTTTCCAAGTTAATCCTAAGGAAGATTCTGGTGGAGCAGATTGAGCAGAGTTAACCAAATGCTCAAGAATCGAGTTGTTAATTACTGAGCACTCACCTGTAGGCAACCAGACAGACAACCAGACAGTGTTTGGAGATGCGCTTATATACGGATATTTCTTTAATGCAATTAAAATCTGTCAATCTTGGATCACCACTGTAAAATGTCTGAAATGCAGTAAGGTGAGTTATGTCACTTTCAACTCACATGAAAACAGCTTCATCAAATCACATGTAAGGTAAATAATTCCTGAAAAATTTCCTAATTAGCATCAGCTTACTTCAACAATGAAAGGAAAGAAAGAACAGATTCACCTAAATAAGACAAGCGAGAAGAAACATAGTTTCAGTTTTCGAAAACCAGCAATCGCTTGTTGAAATAATCTGAACCTAAGTGATTGCATATGCTTTAACTACAGATAGTTGTTTGTGAAGACATATGAAAGTAATTTCACCTATGCCATGCAAAGAAAAATAATTAAATAATCCGTCAAGAAAATAAAGAATCCACTGACTGTTCGGTAAAGTATCATGCTGCTATTTAAGGCGTTTGGAAGGATACGACATTACAGTGTCAATAAGGTATGCTAATTGATTGAGCGAGTAAAGATACACATGGATTACGGAGAAGGAAGCTCCTTGTAACTAATTTATAAAAAATATCAAACCAAGTATCAGGTTGGTTGCATCGGCCGATGTGGTATGTTATAAATACCTGCCGAGGAAGGATACTGATAAGTTTACTAGTGATCAAAGACACTGGATGTAGCTTAAATACGATTTATCATCTGTATGATAGCCTTTGAAGCGAAGCTGAGAGGATACAGAAAATAAGTTTTTGGGTTATAAATTAAATTTAGTGAACGGGATACATGCAAAGCTGTGGCCCTTTTTGGATGTAGTCTTTGTTTTCTTTATATCAAGATCCACACTTCTGTTGGATTGCTAGAAGTAACATTTGATTCTTAGTGGCGATATTAGACAATAATCTGAGTTTCACAGTTAGTATGAAATAAGTATTTAATTACAATGAACAAGAGAGTAAGGGATAGAATTGGAAAGACGCTTAGTTCTGAAATGCTATCGAATGGTTTAACAATATCGGCAGATAACAAAAGTAAATATCTCATTCCTAAACGATACGCCTTCTAATCTTTATTGATTTTTTTCTGATCTGGTTACTCAGTTAATAAAGCATAAGGCTGGAAATTCAGTGGTCTCTGCTATAAACCCCGTGGTGACAAAAGTGTTTCATCTCACCTTGAATCATCTTCTGGTATCAATACTTGTTGTTATTATTATTAACAATATATGCAGTATGCTTCAAGGCAAAAGTGGCAGTCACAGACTTTATTCTTCTGAACTTAGATACGGCATGAATTGATTTTGAGTCCCTTGTCTTTGTGGTCAAGTTGCTTTTTTGTCTTTCACTGTTTGCTTGGTACTAACGTCAAAATAGTACCACAGTCGTCAGTGTTAGGTGAACAATTCTCAGAGACAATGAAACATTGAACCTTATAAAATTTACCATTACCGCCTAACAGCACTCCTTAACTAGCCACATACAGACACGATCAACAAAGAACATTACATAGGAAAAGGGGTTATCTTTGAAAGATTTAACTGATACTAGGTGATGATTGAAAGTGAAATGAAAATTTGGGTTGCTGTAAGGCTCGAACCATAAACCTCCTGCCTTCATTATCAACAGGTACACATAAACGCGTGCTTCATATTAACTGAGACTTACTCCTCAGCAATGAGTGCTGCTGCTCCCATCGGGACTCAAATCCTATATCCATCGGTTTAGGATATTATCCAATAGTGAATGAGACATGAGAGGCGCCACTTGTACCACGAGTATCCGTTGTTGTTTATTGATAATTATGATTTCTCGTTGCTAGACTGTCCCGAATCGCCCAACATGACGAATATTCGCGCAGTATCGAAGCTTCATGCAGGAGTCTATCTGCCAACAGAGGTAGAGGAATTCGAGCCAGTATAGTAACAAAAAATCATAAGTATCAGTCAACAACAAGTGTGCATAAGCAAATCACTAACTGTATGCCGAAAAGAGAGTTTTTTAGCAATTTAGTTCCCGGATTTTAATAGCCAGTTTCAAACAATAAGTCATTATCCTTTTAAATAATGAAGAGTGATTTTAAATTAAAACCTACTTGTTGAAATGGATAAATATGAACAGAATAAATAAAGAATAACTTGGTTTTCCATTAGTTTCACTACTGAATGTTAACATTTTCTATGAAATGGTATAAAGAAAATATAAACAGGTGAAAAAGAAAAATTGACCTGATTAAAGGTTCATAATAATAACAGTAGTCATAAAACATAATCCTTTTTGGAGGACAATTATAACGCTATTACTTTCTAGTTTCGTTTAAATTGGATAATTCAGCGTCATCTAAATATACTCCTAAATACATTTATACACAAATACATATTGCTGAATAGATGTGGAGAACATGTATCTAATTGCTTGAAAACTTTAAGAGTTCAGAAGGATTCACTAATTCAAAGTATGATGTAGTATACAAGCTGATCATAAATTACGGTGTCTACTTTCCGGTAAGAGCGTGATATTAGGTATATATATATATATATATATATATATATATATATATATATATATATATATATATATATATATATATATATGATACATTTGACCCTATTTAAGTAATTCTATGAGTTGTGACTTGATTCTTTGAAGGATAAAAAGTATAATCAGAGGAACATATCAACCCAAACAAACTATGTAGACATGTATTCAATGAACTTAGAATACAACAACATTATCCTACCTCGACATAATTGGGTTTTCATTAGTGCATCATTTACTGTAAGATGGATCAGTCGGGACACTATTTCATCATGAATTTTAAAGAACAGTACGTACATGAAATAAAAGTTATATTTTGCAGTCTTGTTCTAGGAAAATGGACAGGTCATCGGAAAAATGGCATTCGTCTGTCATTCAAACATTATTTTTACTTCTTCCATAATACTTACTATTGTCTTCATTAAGAATAGATGTTTTCAGTAACAACTACGGAAAACTCGACATGATACCATTTTTTATACTTTAAACAATAAAGAAAGAGGAGTCTGAAAAACTTTCCCCACCAGACTAGTCAAGAATCGACTGAATAATTGGGAAATATAATTTAAACCTCAGGTATTAAGGCACGGAAGATAAGTATTTCACTCTCGAATTCTAGCTTATGGCTATGAAATCAACCCAGCGCTGGCCTTGGGAGCCAAAAGTGCTGGGTTTGACCTCTGGTGGACCAGGGTCAAGGGTTTCAACTACTGATGGTACCCATACGAGGAGGAAACGGCTTCCCAGTGCCTCCATGCTTCCAGTGTTTGCGCAACTGAGGTCTGTTCGAGTTGAAAATCAACGTGAAACTAACAGATCTTTACTAGCTTCCATAGGGAATCAATTTTTTGACAGCTGGTATTACATTCTTACGCTCTATAATTGGGTAAGCAGAAGTCATCATATGAACTCTTGTCTTCGCTACTATGAGTGATTGACGACTACTAATGCTTCTTAGTAGCATTTTTCTCCCAGTTTTAAGGAATAATGCTAATTACGTCAATATTGAAAGCACAGTTAGTTGTAGCCTTGGTGATCAACTAATTTAAAATTATTTTTCTTAACTAAACATGCTTGAAAGTGGTTTTCATCGTGAATTGAGGTAGATTTATGTATCACTGGAAACATATAATTACTAAACAGCTAAATTAACTTAGTTTCGAACTCATCAACAGAGCACACTCATGATCTCACAAAAGAGATGAAAAAAGTCACGTAGTAAATGAAGCGTTATGCAACATTTAGACAACTGAATTGACCATGCTAGGGAACCTCTGTTAGTCACTGGAAATCAGCGAGTAATTTCATTGCACTTTAATATTATTGGGTGGGAACTGGATTATTTCAGTGGAGCTTTTCATTTAAACCAAAATAAAATAATTTTGTCTCGCTTATTAGCTGAACGAAAACTTAACAGAGAGCACTTATATGCAGTAAGGAACTTTCGAACGGGAAAATAAATGCATCAAAACTCAAAGATCTGGATTAGGCTATCCATAAATAGAAAAATATATAGAGATAATGTGTCAACTTGTTTGATTTCCATCGCCTAGTAAAATGTCACAACTAAAGGCAATAGGCATGCAGAATAGAAGTAGGGCTTTTTGTATTGCACTGGATAAATAAACAAGCAAAGCTACAAGTAAAGGAAAAACAATCAGTGAACTTAATAGTCTAATAGATAAAAGTGTAGATTTTTAAGTGCCGAGTGCTAGATTCAATAGACGCATAGAAACTGAAGTATATATATATATATATATATATATATATATATATATATATATATATATATATATATTCATCTGACGGATCGCAATTAAAATGAAATGACCCAATAAATTTCACTTTTCATAATAATCAAAATCAACATAGGGCAAAACATTAGTGCGCAACGGTCCAAATCAGCACACCTTATGTCTGGACATTAAGTAACAAAGCAGTAACGTGAGAGATGAAGGAAGAAAGGAAAGTCAGTCAAAAGCAATAGAAAGTGATAAAAGATAGGAATGAGGAATCAGAAACGGCTGAATTCACGAGAACAGTTAAGTTAATGTGTGGATACAACACCACATAACCGGCAATAATCTCCAATCACCTGTTTGTGTTGTCACAAAGACTACAACCAGCTGGTTTGTATTTCTCTAAATGGCTTAGACCAATAGTCAACAACTTCATGTATTGATGTCGTGTTTCAGCCTCGGCGCCACAAGCAGTTTTTTCAGCCAGGACCTACATCGACTTGGATTGTGCAATGCGTAACACAGGTCTCAGTCATCTCAGTCGATGAAGGTTTACAACCACACCGGTTGACTTTCCTCTCGTCCCTAAAACTCAACGCCTGACGTCTAACATTGTTCACATGGCGACACCAAGGTATATGGCCTGTGTTTCTCATCTTCTCCTCCTTCAAGTGTAATGCTTCACAGGCATATAGTAGAACATTGTGAACTGCAGTACAGTACACTGGACCATAAGTATAAAATCGGACATCACTGTGGTGCCGTAAACGAAATTTTACTTCTAGCGAGTACTGGATAATATCAAAGAAGAAAGCAGATTGTGAGAATTAGGGATAAAATAAATCAGTCTTTTGTATTTGAGGTTTGTGGGGATTTAGAGATTTTTCAAGTTGGTATTCATCATGGACTGACATCAGTTGGAGGAACATTGGAAACTTGGGAGCACTGGACAGCTGCTTCATCTCATTATGGGACTCCTCAGCAGAGCGCAACCACGACCCCACCAGGGAGCAGACCCACAACCACCGGGCTCCGTAGCCAGCACGTTACTATTGAGCCACTGGGTCGGAGTCCAGTGGTTCATATTTCCAACTTCCGCCACTTGATGACGTAGCGCTGAGAAGTCCCATACTAGGACGAAATAGCTATCCAGTGATCCCATGTTTCCAATGTTCCTCCAGATGATGTCAGTCCATGGTGAATACCAACTTGAAAAATCTCTAAATCCCTACAAATCCCAAATTCAATTGGACTAGTACTCATTGGTGAATAGCTTCGAGAGGCGATTCCTAAAGTTCCAATGAGAAGTCGTGACCAGTGGTGCAGACATGGTGGCCGTGATGACAAAAACTCAACGATGACATTGCGCGGTGGTCGCGCTGTCGTGAACTGACAGAAGTTGGAAATATGGACCACTGCATCCCGACCAAGTGGCTCAGCGGTAACGTGCTTGCCACGGAAATTGATAGTCGTGGATCCGATCTCTGGCGGGATCGTGTGTTTAAACTGCTGAGCACTAGCATACTAGGACGAATTGGTCTTTCATTTATAATTCCTTATTAAAAGAAATAAGGATTACACTTCCATACACTTGTTACAAAGATTGGCCATGAAAGGTTTAAACATACGGATAAGGCCTAAGGCCAGCTAGAACCTTTTATTAGAAACCGTTGAAGCTTTAATTGATTGAATGAGTAAGATCTGGACATTTTTCAATATATGTGATGCATGAAAGAAATAGCCTTAAGTCGAGTGGTGTTTTATTGAGCATTCTAGAAGTAGACAGCCTCATCCATATACCTACTAATACATAATGTGCTTTAACTGGCTTGGCACTTTGACATTTTAATTACTGACGTTTCTCACGGTATTTACATATTCGTCATACTTTGGTTGCTGATCTAGTCCAAGCCTTAAATGCTCAGTACTGATCAAAGTATATTGAGACGGTTTGTTAACTGGCAACAAGGTTAAGTGACAAGATATTGGAGTTCAAACGGTTTTAGTAATAAAAACTTAGTATCAGTCATCCGGATATCCTGAACCTAGGTTTGTATTTCTGATGTTCATCAGCAGACGGCATGTGAAGCATCAAGAAATTGTTGTTCTCTTTGTGAATAAAGCCTGTCACTCTGTATTGAGGCCGGAAAGTTTACCATTGATCTCTACAGGTTACGAATGCTTGCCTGGAGCAATGAGGATGTTAGTTGGTTGGAGGCAGTCGACAAGGAGCACTACCAGACTTAGGTCTCGTCAACAAGGTGTATCTACAAACTCAGAAGGAGTGATTTCCCTTTGAGTTTCTAATTGTCTCTCCTCTCTCCACCAAGTGTTGTAATCGGTGACTGAGCTTTTCATAGCAAAGCATTTGACAAAATATAAGTTCTTAGTTCTGAGAGAAGTTGAGACAACTGCTAAAAACTGAAAGTGGATCAGTTCTAAAAAAACGTATATTATGTGAGATATCATTTTAGAATACCATAAAATGTTTACCAATCTCTTTTGTAGAAAGAATGAACTTATGATTTGTCCAACTTGATATAACCTAGACTACTATTTGGAAGATTTTCTGTCATCAAAAAGCATTGAATCTTTTTACTTCTGATTAGAAAAACATATATGCATCTCTACAAAGTCCTCTCAATCAGGTTTTTAATGAATTAAAAGCTTAAAAGTTTACAATGACAATAAAGCAAATATTGAAAATTTTTCATAAAACTTTACTTTTCTCTGTCTGATATCTTTGTTAATATGAAATAAAGCAAATGTTCAGTGTATAATGATAACTTTATTGTGTTTATTTCATACTTTTCCTCTTGAGAAGGTGGGTGGTCATCTATTCAGATTAGGTACTATTAATAAATCCTGTGTGTAATATTATTATCATTATTATTGACAATCGCTCGGGGTTCACTTAAAGGGAAGAATAATCTTTGCACAAAAATGGATGACTATGGCAAGAAAAAAGAGGACGTTATGAATTTCTACTGAACACAAGAATTGAACATTTTCAGGTGCATTCAACTTCCTTCAGTCGCATTAGAAAGGCAGACTGGTAAAGTACGATTGCAATTTGAAAAAGAAATGCGAGAATAAACTTTATACGTATAGTCTAATCAGCTTTTTGACCAGTGTCAGACATATGAGAGAGTGAAGAGCTTCGTTACGATTTTGGTAATCACCTGACTGACCATGACGAGTAATGCTCGGATATTTGACGAAGAAATCGGCTAGTCATATACTGAATGTAACTTGCTTCATAACAGCAGAAGAACTGATGATTACACATATAAGAGGTAAAATAAAGGAGTATGTCTCCGATTCCTCAACTCAGCACTAATCAGCTACAGAATGCGAACAAAATCTACAGCACCGACTCATGCATTTATAGCATTTCTTAGACTTTATATCACAAATTCGGGGTTACACTTCTTACTATTCAACACTTTTACAGAAGTACAGATCTTTCAAGGATTAAATAATGGGTTGCAAGTGAACATGGTGATAATCACTGGTTATGGGACTATGGTCTTCAGTATTTGAAAATGAAATTCTATTCAATAATATCATTATTTAAAATCAAAGTAACTTCATTACCTTGGGTGAAAATCAATTCAAGGTTGAGGTCAATAATATGCTAGTCAGATACTACAGAGCCTTAAAGTATCACTTACTACCGTGCAATGAGAGATAAACTAAACAAGACATAACGAAGTCAACTTAGAACTTTTCACGCTTGACTTCATTTTGTCACACTTCATAGTAGTATCCAAAGAATAGTTGAATAAAAAAATTGATGTCAAAGTCCGCAGAGTTGTGAGAGAATAAACGATTTGAAGACAAATGTTAGTGGGAATATTCAAGCTTTAGATGTCAAAAAGTTAATTTATCAGCGCCACTGTGAACGATTTTTAGTCATGTCACCAAGAGCCCTCAACCACTGATTTCTATCATTTCGAAGACCCCACTCAGGCAGTTTATACTTACCTACACGGCTCAGATCAGCAGTCACGGTCTTCATTGACTAGTATCCAGCCGAAAGGTGCTACCTTGGTGTGATACTAGAACTTGCATATCACGATGACCTATCATGCTATAGTGGCTGGAACACTTGTTTCTTTTGACGTTCTATTATGCCAGGAAGGTTTGTTGGATAGTGATAAGATGAAAAGCGGTTACCTTTGAAGTGTTAATCTCTACAATATGATGGGGGTCTGGTGGCAAAGTTGCTTTGCTGGCTGGCTGGGGAGTGAAAGCAGCAAGCTGTTTCGCTTGATGACCAGCAGTGTCGCTCTAGTGCTGCCTTCCCTGTGGGGAGATTAAAAATAGTTGGCTGTGAAAATAGCACACCCGTTTCTGCTCTACAGTCTCCCGGTAAAGGTGGTATGGATTTCCTTTAGCCTGCGTTAGAACAACGAAACGTCAAAACAACAACCCACGAAGGCTGTGTGTGACAGGTCTAAATCAGATGTTCTATGGGCTCACCAGCCACACAATTCTTTTTATCTTTAAGAGCCCTTAAGAAGAAATATCCTTCCATGATGTGGACATCTGGGAGCTGTCGACTGCCTACATACTCCCTGTAGCACACAAAAATGGACCACATTCCATCCAACTCTTTCATTCCTCATCGGGTGATCAAAAGAAAAGAAGACTGAATAATTAAACAGTTCAATCAAAGTGGTCCAAAAAAATACATGCTTATAATGAAACATACGCCAACCAGTCATAATAAGTTAATTTCGTAGCATAAAAACCCTGATAAATGCAGTTGGAAAACGAAAAAAAAGGAAAGGAGTGTACTTAACAGTAGTTGTTTGTAAACACCTACAATTAGTGAAAAGATGTGTGCAAGATGATCAGAATAGGAAACCACTTGGTTTATTGTTACGATACTCCTATCACCAAGAGTTCAAAAAAACTTTTAGCTGTAAACTTAGATGAGAAAAACTGAAGTTGATAATCCATAGGTTCATCGCCTAATTGTGAGTATTTTAGAATTACTTAAAAGTAAGCTTGAAAATAGTAATGATTATTGAGAAACTGGTTTGTTCACCTTCAACAGAAGTCATGCTACTCAAATTCAAGCAACCATTTCTCTTAAACTAAGATTTTCTCCTTGGTAAACATTAGTGATTGACGTCTGTTAGCACTGCTTTGAATAAATTGTTCAAATCTATCAGTAGCTTCCCAGATCTGATGATGCATAATTTCCCTTGGTTATCAGTTAGAATAGGGATTAGTTCCAATAGGCTTATTACAACGTTTTTCTGAAAAGTCTATTTACTAATATCTAGCACCTTCGAAGTCGGTTTGTTTGTTTCTTTTTTTGATCACCTGAATGGTTTATAACTACAGTAATTTAGTCAGTGGATCAGGCACCTGTCATTATCATTAAGTTTGAAAACAGTCTCTACTTTTTTGTACTTACTTCTCTTGGAAACTACTGAAATAATAGCTACTGTCTGGGAATCATAGAGATGTGGCTGATTGTCTTAGAAATTCAATTTTTAAGCAATGAGTTTTGGGTTTGTTGGAATGGAGGTAGTCAACAGGAAACCCTGGAACTAGGTTCTGAACTTGTTGGAACTCGACAACAAAGAGTATCTGCAATTCCAGTGGAGCTGATATCCCGTCGGAGATCCGAACCCGCGTCATCCAGTGTTGCTGTCAGCGACGTTACCACTGAGCTATGCGAGCTGTATGCGACCTCCTGTAGGACTGGATTGAGCACACTGATCAGTCAAGAGGTCATTCGCGCCCCGCACAGCTTGGTGGTAAACTTGCTGACTGAGACACTAGGTGAAGCGGGTTCGAATTTCAGGTGGGACATCATTTCCATTGGGTCACAGATAGGCCTTGCTGATGAGTACCAACAAGCTCGAAACCTAGGTCCAGGGTTTCCTGTTGAAAACCTCCATCCAACTAACATTTATCAAAGTGCATCGCGATGCTGAACTATCTGGTCTGGTGGCCACGTTGAAATATGACCGACAGAATTTAGTCAGCACATAGAAGTAGACAATATAAAGTTGATTTAAAACAGTTAGTCCCTTTCATGAACTTCGATAGCGCAATTAGAAAAAGGAAGTTTATCTGAGCAATGTGATGTATTTGCGCAATACATTTCGAACAACCTGATCACATATTTACTTGTCAAGTCAATATATATTAAACCGAGGACTGGGAGGGAGGATAAATACAACAATAACACAATAGGGGATTAAAATTAAGAAAGATGAGGACGAACAGGAAGTGATATGGTTGGTCCTAATCTTGGTAAGAAAAAAAAGTTTACCAAGGTGGGTGTAGTGTAATAACAAACTGTTTTTCTACACATAAAGGTGGTTTAAATTTGTATATGGCTATGGCTTCCTCAAATCTCAGAATACGTCCCTGACTGTTTCTATATAAAACTTTGAAAGCTGTTTGAACATTAACTTTGTGACCTGTTTCCATGATATGTTTACCTATAGATAAAGAGGGTCGTCCCCCACCAGCGTTTATCACTGTTTCACACTCCATTTGTTTTTGAAGGGATTTAGGTGTACATGTTCTGCCACCCTCAACTGCATAACTCGATTACTCCTCCCTATGTATGTGTAAATTGGTAAACACAATGAGATGTGACGTAATCACTGATGTAGTGTTTAGGTTTTTGATGAAGCATGTGTTTTGTTTTCTCCACAATGGTAAGATTCGCTGCGTAATACGTTTTCTTAATGGCTGATGTCAGCCTACGTCTCAAAATGATACTATTTAGCTCCCCTCTGTATGGTAGAGTGATATGGACATTTTTCTTAGGGACCGTGTATAGAGTTGACTTTGGTGCTACTTGACCTCTACAACGGTTTATAAACTCCGTCGGATATCCATTTTCCATAGGTGCTTTGCTCAGTAATTTGATGTCTACATCCATCGCATCTAGTGTACTGACACGATAGATCCTGTTAAACGGGCATTTTACTAAACCTCGCTTGTATTGGATTGGACAGAAACTGTGGAAAGTCAGGTATTGTCCTGTCCATGTAGGTTTTCTGTAAACTGACCGTCTTATTGAAGCATCTTCTCGTCGACTGAGAAGTATATCTAGAAATGACAGTTGATTACTATTCTCTTTCTCACATGCCAGGCTGATGTGTGTTTGTACGGCGTTAAGTCTATTTAGGAGACAAACCATATCCTCATGCATCTCACAAATCACTATGATGTCATTAACATATCTCTTGTAAAGAGGAACTTTAGCGATGAGATCACCAGCCATGTTTTCAATATATGACATAAAAATATCAGCCAGTAGTGGTCCTAAAGGACTACCCATAGCTACACCGTCAAATGTGAAGTGGACTTTGTCGGTAAATTATAAAAGAAATTAGATGGATGATGGTGTGACTTATATATTAGTTTGTCAGTTGTGGCGATGCGTTGAGTATAATTGTTAATTGGCTGTTGATTGGACGTAAGGAACGTATACTACTAAGATAAAAGAAAATTATTGGTAAACTTCGAGATTACACTGGGTCGAGTGAGTAATAAGTGCGAATAACGGTATGTATTTACAAGTAGGAGACTCCGATCCAGTTGTTGAATGGTTAGCGTACTTCTACCAGACCCAAAAGTTTAAATTTAAAACCTTGGTGGGGCATGAGTGCGTGTTGCTGAAGAGTCTCGTTAAATAATGGGGCAAAAAAGATGCTCAGTGACCTTATTTTCCCAGAGTTTCTTTAACTGATATCAGTGCGAAAGGTGATACAAAGAGATGAGTGAATGTTATCAATTAAATGAAAGCCCAACAGAAGTAAGGCTGGAGTGTTTTCTTCTTGAACACAAAATTCAGGTTTATTTTATCTTATAGTTACACCTTTTACACTTTGGAGAATGTAAAACGAATGGCAGATGGAAGGGTCTTCACAATGCCATGTACCACGGTAAAAGCTGTGCTAGCACCTATTTAGTGCTCTGTATCTACCAGATGTGCTATTATAGAGCTTCAAATGGATGTCACCTCACCCTTTTTGCAAACCATTTCAGTAGGTATTCACCTATCATGAGACGAAAGTGTCTAAGTTGTTCCACAGGAACAGTTTAATTGCTGAGTTAAGATTATGCAAGGCATCCATATTCTCGGGTTGATTTACAAATGGTCATCCTTTCCATGCCGTCTTTAGATGAAGCAAATCAACTTTCAGACAAAATGTTACTATTGTTTTGCCAAGTGAGAGACTAGTGAGTAAAGAGGGTATATGGAACAACACGAAGATTGATTTGGAAATATTTCTTCTATTCAATTTCCCAGCAAATCAAAAGTTTTATTCAGTTTATATAAAAAGTTGGTTTTTCTCGAAGCAGCTCTAATTTCTTACCTTACAAAGTGTTCGATTTTGCAAGGGAGAAGTTAACACCTACACTTACATTCCCCTTACTGAATTTTTGTCTAGTTCGTGTGTGATAAACAACATGAAAAAAGTTAAGATTATTGTTCGGATCTCAGGTTATTTATTATAAGTTGAACTGCCGGTCGTCGTTTTCTTCAGAAGATCTTCCAACTGTTTTGCTACTCGTATCCCTGTTGCCAAAGTCATGTCCTCATCTGATATGTTAGGAACAAACATACATGGATCAATTATTGTAATAAGCATCCTGTTCAAGCAGTCTCTTTCCTCGTTGATAACGACGCTGGAATCTTCAGATGATCATATCAGTACTGCTTCTCTGTTTTCACTTGAAGATTTAAATGCTTTCCTGGGTTCTTTGAAAACGAAGCTTGATTGTGCCGTTGGGGAAACAAAGTACTGATTTGCAAAGTCACGGTCGTCATCAACTGTTCGAATAGATGATGCGGCTTAATATTTTGCTTGCAGTGGACAGCATCATGATTCCACGCCAGTTCTTGCAAAGACACAGGCCGCCCTTATTTGGGAGTTTGACAAGGTAGCCCTTCTTCTAATCTGCATGTATCCTTCCTTCCTTCCATACCTTCTGCAATAGTGGTGTGAGCATGTCCGCTGTTGTCTCTGCGTTTGCTGTCAGTGCTTCTGGCGGAATTCCGTCTGGTACTGGTGCTTTCCCGGCTTTCAGTAACTTTATGGATTTCAGGACTTCTGCTTTTGTTGGAGTATCTGTGTTTACTTACGAAGCTTTTATTTATTTATTGCAAAACAAAACACTTGGATCCATTACCGATTAAATGTGCTTTACCTTTGCTTACAACTATGCCATCACATTCAAAGCTGAATAATCGTTGCAGAATTACTTGTAACATATGTAGTCAACTGTTTGGCTTTGCCTCAACATCATTAGCTTACACTGAATTACATATCAATTAGCTGTATGAAATTAATATGCGAATATTAGTTAACCTTAATAATCAGAGAAAGGATAACAGTTCAGTCAAGAAGTGCAGGAAGCGTTATACCTCTCTGGCATAGTAAATGACGCCTTGAGGTTTGAAGCGATGGGTACGAGGTTCGAGTCTCAGTGGGACCAACTGCTAGAGACAGTAGATTTGAAGGTACTCAAAAAACCTTTTGTATGAGATTTACCTGACATATTTAAATTCAGTGATTCTATACTTCATGGAGCTTATACCGTTCTTTGCGCTAGATGTAAAAGATGCTTAGGTGTGAAGTATGTTCCAAATGCGGAATGTGTATCGAATGAATCAAATATCGATTCAAAATCATCATCTTCATTGACAGGACATACTGTTGTGGATAATAAGCCTTCATCATTGAAGCCAAGTGAACCGGAGATTAAAACAAAATGCAAAGATTTCATTAGCAAGGATCTACCAGACTGGAGATGTGATATTCCATCTTCTACCACCTCAGATGATGGCTGGGTAACAATCCCACTGCAATGTGTGTCTACTGAACCATTGTTTAGTCTAACTGGCGTAGAACAATATTCATTATGTTATGAAGGCGGTGAAATGAAACCAAAATTCCTTTGTAGCATTGAATTATGCAATGAATTTTCATAGAATTCAGATAAATGGATATTTCCTGCAAGACGTGGTGTAAGACGACAGAAGTTATCAGACTGATGTGAAATTGGCTGACACAACACATTTTAATGTACAACAACTTAGTTACATCTACCATCAGACAACGACTTGAATTATATCCTCAAAAATAGTCAGACATTATTTTCCATGTTTGGCTTTCAAGAGGTTGTATTCGAAATTTCTGACCTTGTGAATGCTTCGATAGCATTTTTCTATGGCGTACAATGCAGGTTGCGATAAGAGCTAGCTTAAAACATTAGTGCAGTTATAAACAAATTCAACACAAATCTATGCTATTACTAATTGCTTATTTGAGTAGTGAAGAAAAGATTAAGTCCATAGCGGTGTTGCGCGTACATCTTCAGTAATTACAAAATTTCACTCTTTTCTTCTCTAGATGATGCTTTATAACCTGACAACTTGTTCATACTTGTTTATGTGAGAGACTGTTTGTTTCTATGTCTTCTTATGTGCTCACTGAAACCACAGTATTTCTTAGAACTGGTGACCATTGGTTCACCAACCTTTTTCAGTCCTTACTGCTATTTTTCATATTTCTGATAAAAGCCATGAGTTATGAAGTAGTTGGTTAACTGAACTAGACAGGAAGTGTGACTGGCTCTCTACCACAGTAAGAAAGAAGCATGAAAATCCAGTAATATCCTAAAAATAAGTCTGAAAATTATGGGAGTGAAGTCCAAAAAAACTTTTGAGCCACACATTGGTAAAAATACGTCTGTAAGGAACTCCGAGTCTCCGCATCTCTTTAAAAAAGCTAATGATCCTCTTTGGTCAGGTGGTGTGGTTAAAGTGGTGAATGCTGGTTACGAGTCTCCCTTAGAGAAACAGTACTCAAGGTATGAGTATGAAATGTACATCACATATTCCACTAATAATATACAGGAAACTATTTTATTAATTAAAAAGTTTATACTGGGTGATGATTGAAGGTGAGGTGAAAGTCTGGACCGGGGCCTGATTCAAACAAGCGACCACTACGACCATCTCAAACAGTCAGATGATAATAGTTGGTTAAATATTCACTTGATTGCAACTGAGACTTTCATCAAACAAATTAGGCTACTCATAAGTAGTAAAATGATATACTCGGAGATATGTGATCTTCATCTTGATGGAAATTAGTACTTGGTACTTCATGCATGGAAGAACAGATGTATTGAGACAGACTATATTCTTAGCTTATACCTACATTCCTTTTACTAGGAATTCATCAATCTTTTGTAAAACTCTAGTCAGAAAGAAAACTGATGAATTCAGGAAATCTGAGATGAAAAAGAAAACTGTACCGATGACGTATAGGAAATCTGGACATTTACTCTTAATAGTCATCATCATAACAAGTGACTTCAAGTTGATCAGTAAACCTGTGGTTAATCAGTATTTCTTAGCCATTATCATTTATCGTTGTCATTATTCTGAGTGGTATTCATTTTGATTATAGACGGACATGCTCAAATTATAAAACGTTTTTGTTAGTCTTAGGCTGGTTATTGCTCAGAGGTCACATATTTCTGGTGGAAAAACGGTAAACTTAATCAAAACAAGGTTTCATTGAAACAGCTTTTGTGTTGTTTGCTAATTATTTGAAGAAGAAGAAGAGATCAACTGCAGTCAACCAACACGAGACTTCGCAACAATATGTTTCGATGGAAGTTGCTACACCTCACGTCCACATATCAAGATTTAAGTTGAAAGAGGAAAGACAAAGAAAATATGATCAGAAGAAGCAGAAGTGATACGAAACCAAGTGGAGAAAGTGAAACAAATCATGAAACGCCAAGTACGTATTAAGATAACAAAAAAGGTGAGGATTCATACGCAATGTTGTGACCGATTGGTGAGACGTATCATCTACAGTTTCCAACAGTCAATTTCACCTGTCATGCGAAACCAATATTCCCGTACATAGCTCAGACGAACAGCTAAAGACTTAATGGACTGATGACAAAGTTTAGCCTCGTCATCTCTAGTCTTCTTCCTGCTGAAAACTAATTCAGCTGGCCTTTTACTGTCAGGTAGACGATGACTGAGCAGGAGTGAGAAATAAAAATTTCAACTACAATATTTATTCAAGTAGTAACCAGTGGCATACAACTTTTTGCGTACATACTAAACAGTGAGTATTTCCATAGTGACGAAACTTTAAAAGAAAATAACAGTATAGAGCAATAAAAGTATTACGTAACTAGTAAGCTTTTTAAGAGAAAAAACAGCAACTATATGGTAGGAATAGCATTTGAGTTTGGCTAATATAACCTTAGGTCTCTAAGTTTATTTAAGTTCGTGTGAAGTGCAACTGTACCAATACACGATGAAAGTTGAACATCTTAGACGTAGACTTTAAACTGACACCAATTATTCTTAATCATATTTTAAATGTAGTTAGTATTCGACTAAAAGCCTAAATGAAATGAAATGTAAAACAGCCTTGTACACGGAAAGATTGCAAAAACTAATCACTTTTCTTAGTTTTACTGGCATGCATGTAACTGTATGTTCACAGTTTAGAGCCAGGGGTTGGTCAATTCGATTCAGAATAACGGCGAAAAACTACGATTATCAGTGAAAAACAGTAACTGATACCCTTGGCACAACATGTGGCTTTTGTACCTCAGCGACCTACTGGATAACTCTATGATGCTTGAAGCAATGAGTACATGGTTCGTGTCTCATTGGGGATATGATCACTGGTCACAAGTACATCTATCTGACGTGTGGGTCACAAACAGGAAAGAACATACGTCCTGGGTCTTACTGTTAACCATCGGTTAAACTGCAGTATGATATGGTTTAAAGTGAGGTCGGCTTAAGTCTCGCGGAAAAAGTGTGGTGATAAAAGGGATATCAGTAGTGAAAAAAAGGTGGGATGCAAAAAGTCTTGATCATATTGTTTTGTCTGAGCTGGGTTTTTGATCACGAAGCTTGATCGTCTTTTTAGACAACATCATCAGCCCCAACTTCACTACAAAGTGAGCTATCAGTATTTCTCCGTGAGTGATTTAGCAGGTCACTCTGACCAACTGGTTTGCGATTGGTTGTTTCCTTTGATCCTTGTGTCATTGACTGACTGCATAAATCCTCCTGCTTGACCTCTAACCTCTCTGTTGTTTGTTGTTTTTCTCATTGGTTGATTAATTGGGTCTATGTCTGTACATTTATTGATTGCTGACTGAATGACTTGAATGCCAAGCTTCTAGGAATTCTCCGTCCAAAATTTCTATATTGTCAAAATTGAATCCATGTCCATAGCTGTCATCCACGTGTATTGAAATAAGTGATGAAATATCGTCTGTGACAGCTACCAGCCGATTGGTGTTCATGTAAACGAAGACGAAGAGGGTGACCACTTTGTCCAAACTAGTGTTGACTACAGTTATTGCAGTTGGTTTTGTAAATAATATTCAGTTTGTCTTCTTTGATTGTCTCATCCTTTGGTCTGCATAATAGTGTTTGCAGGGAATTTGTTGGTTTATGAGTGACCACACCAATTCCACCAAGTGATCTCAGTGATCTTGTCATGATTTCTGATATATTCTTTATGTACGGTAGGATGATGCATTTATTGACTCCTGTCGACGACTTTGTAGTTAATGGTGTGCGGGATAGGCATCTTCTGACAAAGTCCCATGGGTAGCAGTTCTTCTTCAGGATAGACATCAAGAAATGTTCTTCATTCCTCCTTGAAGTTGTTGTGCTGCATTGTGTTCTCGTTCTTTTGAATAGAGTCTGCAGGCAACTAATTTTGTGCGTTATTGGGTTGTTACTACAATAGTTGAGTGTTTGATCAGTCAAAGTGTGTTGGCTTCCTGTACACTTGGGCATACAGCTTTCCGGCATTTGTCCTACTGACTGAAGCATCCAGGAACGGTAATTAGTTGTTCAACTCCTTCTGCATTGTGAATTTGATGTTAGTGAAAATGTTTTTGATCAAATTGTGAGTGTTTTCTATGTCATCTTTTTTAATGATGACAAAAGTAGTGTCTACATGGTGAATCCAATTTTTCGGTTTGATCACATGTAGGTTGATGGCTTCCAGTCTCTGTATCACTGCTTCCGCAATTAGTCTCGATATCGGTTATCCCATTGGAGTTCTTTTCATTTGTTTATAGATGGATGCCATATCGACTGTAGGTAGGTGGAGCCAAGTAGACGTAATACTATAAGTTCCTCGTTTCCCACAATATTTGTTGTTTTCTCTGTACTCAAATCTGTGAGGAGAAGAATCTGGATTATATTTCCTTCTTAAGTGCTTATCGGATAGAACAAACATTTTATTTCCCAATTTTTCCCCCCAACCAGTGTATTAAAAGGGTGTAAAATACAACAGTGGAATGAATGTTGACCTTGTATTACTATGTTATTTTGGTAGTTAAAATTGCTGTGTGTTGCTGCAATAACATCAACGAGAAACTAATCAAAAGGAAACATTTATTCAATCGATTTGTTGTTTTCAAACATATGTTGTAGCGGTGCCTAACTTTGAAGAGAGTATCGACCAAATATGTAGTGCTTAGCAAAGCACTAGACTTAAATTCCCGCAGCCATGCAACAGTATATGGATAGTTGTCATGTAAATCGACAGGAACAAGTGATGTCTGACAGGTATGACCACTGTCGCCGTTTCCATTTAACTTCGTTACAGACGTATTAATGGATATAAGCTTAGGCACGTCTGCCCGAAATGGTTGGTTAATGATGAAATCCCATTTTGGATATAGAAGGCCCGTTTAACATTTGCCGAGTTGCGTCATCGGTGGTGTGCACTGGCAAGATATCTGGCTACTCGCTGACGGAGTAGTTTAGTATGCTGAAGCCAATTTTTTCCCGTTATACGTCAGTGTTGGGGTTACTTGAAAGGTACTTAGCAATGAAGACTGATCAGTCGATGAGTTCATGCACCTTCATCAAGTAAGGTGGCTTAGAAACGTACCGCTCATACCAAGCCTCCAACTGGAAAGAGTTGGACCAGTTTGGAAGAAGGCTTGTGTTGACCAGACAGTGATATTGTAACAGTCCAAGACATCTCTGACTGTTGGTATGAGTAAAGAGGTGTGTACTTCCTGGCTACTGTTCTGGAGGGGATAAAAATCAGCGTTTGGAGGGTCTGTGATATGGCTGAAAATCGGTGACAACGGCGCAGATGTATTTTCACTCTTTGATTTCTTCTCAAGCTTGAATAGTTTGGCTAACCGTCACCATCCAATTTCTTCTCTTCTTCAGATACCTTCATCTACTTGGATATCAGTCTTTCAATCGACCTCTTCCTTTTACACTATTGTAAAGTCAGACAAATTGAACCGATCCACTTTAGTGCAAGGATCTACTTTGAGTTTGTCTGTCTCTTTAATGCCTATACATTCGTTCATCTTTACATGCACAACCAATAAATTTTACATCCTCTTTATGGATACATTGAGTCTAGGCTACCCAACGCCAATCAAACTCAATTGAAAAAGTGTTAATCGAAACAAGATTATCTTAGAGGAAGGGTTAGCAAAAGTAAGAAGGATATGAAGGAGAGAATGAAAACTTTTATGCTTAACATAACAATCCATCACATATGCAAAAGAATAACAAACATTAATAAAGATGATGTAGGATATGTCACAAATACTGTGTAGTTCTGTAAGTAATTAGTAGAAAGGTTAAATAAACTTCTAATAATTGGTGATTAAATACAATGTTCAATTAGTCATTTTCTGGTTACTTTGATGCAGGCGAGAAGGATTAAGCCAGAGAAATAATTACGTGACTGCCTTGAAAAAAGAGATAATTAATTATATCACTGTCAGCTACATATATGTGATTTTGTTCACCATCATTTTGGTCATGCTTACTATGACAAATAAGTATTTATACAATTTTACTAAACAAGAAAATAAAAATGAAAAATAAGGTTAAAATGAACATCTTGTCCCAATAACTGGCTGAATTTGATTTGATTATTTAGAAGAACAAAGAAAAAACACAAAAATAATCAAAGATCATCTTTCACTGATAAGTCTAAAGAATATTTGACCGATGTTTTGTTGTAGCAATCCAATAGGAATATTGTCATTTTACGATATAAATGTTCAAGATTTCTACCTTTCGAAAGAAAATGATTGTCATCTGGATAAATCTATGTACAAAAAAAAGAAGAAAATAAATCAATAAGTGAACCTTGAGCAGATAAGTGTCCTACACAAAATGTGAAAATAACTGGGATTGTAGAAATCGGATAACTTCCTCACGGTGGATGTTTAATAATACTTTCAATTCATTGCATTCAAATAATTGAAATGTTTATAGCTAAATGCATAAGTAGATTTGTCGGTTAATATGATAGGTCTTTGAAAATAATGATGGCGATAATAATAACTCAGGAACTTCAGGTTTCACATTCAACCACTCAACCACTGGTCAGAGTTCAGTGGCTCACAGCTTCCTACTTCTGTCAGTTCGAGATACAGCGTGACTAATTCATTTTCTATTGGCTAACTCAACAGACTGTAGCCTCTCGTTTAAAGCTTGAGATATCCATTTGAAAGTACATCAGTAGTGAGTACTGTATAGTGATGTATTCTGAGGTTAATGCAGATTTTATTTTTAAGGTTGCATTCATCACAGACAAATATCAGTTGCAGAACCATTGAAAACCTGAGAGCACTGGATGGTTGAAGATCCTGAATTCGACCCCTGGCCAGGTCGTAGGACTAAATAGCTGTCCAGTGCTCCTAAGTTTCTGATGGTTCGCCGACCACTATCAGTCTGAGATGAATAGAAACTTGAAAATAAAATCACCATTAACCTCAAATCACAGTAATGATAACCTTGACCCCCATAATGACAGCGGTGAATAAAGCGGTCGTAATATAGGTGGAAATGGTGACAGGAACCAAGACAGCATGATAATATTGTAGGATCAAGTAAGTGGGGAAATAAAGTCTCAGCAAACGTAGTAAGTATTTGAAAGGGGTGAAGAATGAGAAAGAAGTAGAAAACTTTTAATAATAAAGTTGTTTATTAATTTTTTCATGGGCAAGGGTGAAATAGTTGGTGTACAAACTTCTTCTGGAGACCAATAAAGGGATTAGTAAACTGAATTCCCACTTCTTCTATGTCCAACAGGCGAGTTCGAATACCTTCTCGAAGATTAACTGGTATGCATTGAGCATTTTTCCAGGCACTGTTGTTACCTATCAAGTGACCATGATCAAAGAGATGAAACGCAGTAAAACAGAACTTCTGCTTGATTTCCCCTTTCCAAATCATGATAGTCGATGCTCAGCAACACGTCTATTTAGTTGCATAATATTATGCCTCAAATGGTTTGTTCCACAGAAGCAGCTAAACTTATAAAATGGAAATGGCAAAACTAGATAACTTATCTTTTATCTGTGTAACAACAGCCGGTCATCTAAAAGATGGCAGGCAGAACTCCCCAGTACAGAAGGTCTTCTTATTGATTCTAAGTTGCCTCTGATGTGAAGCTTCTCTGACTAGATCTTCCCTGAATTGCGGTTTCATGAAAGGCGGCTTCTTTTTAACGGTGGCAAAATTCATATTAATTTCCCTTCACTTTGTTGACGGTTCTTTAAATAAGGCTGTTAGGATTGCCCATTTAGATCAATGGATTTCGAATAGCTGCTAATACTTTGTGTTGAATTATCAGAACATGTTATTCTCATTCCACTGCACTAATAGATAAGTGTCTAAGAAAATGTGTGTGGCTGATCTACTGATATGATCTTCCTGTAATCACATCTGCTAACTGAACCATCTTCTCTTTTGTTTAGCAAGACATCATATTAACAGAAAAATCTTTGTGACTGGTTTAATTTTTACATTATTATTTACTCTAGCTAAAATGATGCATTTAGTATAATTGTTTTTGTATCATACCATCATTGATTGGACCGAATCGACCGGCATATGGACTCCTGTGTGGACGCCTTGATGTTGCCAGCGTTCTAATTATGTTAGTGATGGTCGTGGTTAGCAGTGGAATCCAGGATGTGCATTTCGTCCTATTTGGGACTCGTCAGCTGGATGTACCTGCAGTATGATATAAAAACAATTATACTAAAACTATACCCGTCCCACAAGAAGTGGCTATCGTGGCTCGGTGGTGTATTGGATGACGCGCCGGGGTTGGAAGCGGTCACTCCTGAGTCCGAATCCCGGTGGGAACAACACTCATTGGAAAGCAGCTACATCCAGGTGACCAGTGAGTCCCAAATAGGACGAAATGCGCATCCTAGATTCCAATGCCAGCCATGATCCATCACTAAAATGATACATTACTGAAAATGAAACTGGCAAGAAAAGCTTTCAGCAGACGTCATCCAGATGATTTTTAATGTAATAATACAATTGAATATTCTACAAGGGATATTATATACATCATAGTTTGTGTGTCAAAATATGGTTCATAAATGGAAATGTCACTGATTGTATATCATAATTAGATGAGTTCATTTCATTGACTAAAAATGCTTAGAAAAACAGAGTTTATACATATGCAATTAATCAACTGCTAATTGGTGGATTACACATGACAAAGTTATACTTAAGTTGAGCAGATTTATTCTGCAACATACTTGTCGGTATTTTGACTACAATGAGTATAACTTTCTAATAGATGTCATCATCTGATTTTAACGTTTCTTTCGAAATAGCATTTATAAATAGTCAAACCAACTAATTGGATTCGCTATTTTCGACAAAATATGAAATTCATTTTTATCACAAGATAGTGATATATCCTTGGTTAATTAAATAAATAAGTATCTGAGTGAACACTGAAACATTAACCTTAAAATTCCAACCTTGACGGTTGCTAAATTTTTTGGTAAATAGAAAAGGCGGTAAGACAACAGAAGATGTAATGCAGCGTCCAAATATGTATAAAATACAATTGTTTGTTTACATTTCTAGACCTTTGGGGAAAGGAATATCCTGTTGCCTTTTGCCTCTTTAACCAATCTGGTGTTTATGTGTTGGTTCTTGTGGTGTTTCTCGGAATTTCCAAGTAACACAGTTAGTTCTGAAAGGCTTCGGGAACTTAGTACGTCTTTCGAAAACCTTGGGATTCACTATAACAGATGGACATAGTTAAATATCTATGAAGAACCAAAGACAAATGAATAAATGTTATGTTTCTCTCCGTCAATTACAAAGAAGATTCTCTTTGATTCATATCTTGGTCGAATCTTTACGTCTCAGATTCTGTTGTGAGCACATTTAGCTGAAGAGTCATCATCGCTGATTCCAGTGGGTAGAATTTTGAAGTTGCTTGCATTTCTTCTGAATTGTGATACCATCATACCTCACCTAGGATGTCACGTAGAATTAACACAATGGGCTTAAGTGTTTTTTCAGTAATCCTTGCTTTTAAATATTTGATCGGCTGGTACCGACTTCAAATTTCATCCAGTTTGGAATTGTTCATAAATGAACATGAAACCAATTACTTCAAACCAAAAAGAATTCATATTAAGTTTATTTCCACCAGCAGTGCAATATTATCCAGTGACAGACAAAGCGAAATAAGGATGAAAACCATTCGTATAGATTAGTATCGCTACTGAAGACATTCTCACTAAATTGATGTCTTCCTCTGAAGCTAATAACCATTTTATGGAATGGTTTCACTTTATGAAATATTCTTTCCTTTGTGGATTGCTTGAGTGAAACTGTGGCTTATCTAATCTCTCTATTTTTTAACTTTTGACTTTTAGCTAGTTGAACAGATTTTTATTTTTATGTTGAATAAGTGGAAAACGCAGCTTCCGAATACGGCCATAACTTCACATTTCAACTTTATCTTATCTATCCTTAGACTGATATGCACCTTTCGCACTAGGTATCTTCGCTGTTCCAGAAATACCACCAGAAGCCACAGAATTTTCCAGTGAACATAAGCCCTCCGACAAAAGCAGAAGTCCTGAATGACATAAAGTGGCTGAAATCCAGGAACCAGAGACCAGATGGAATTCCGACCCAAGAACTGAAAACAGACACAGACAATAGAGGACATGCTCACACCATTATTGCAGAAGGCATGGAAGAAGGGAAAGGTACCTGCCGATTGGAAGATGGACTACCTTGTCAAACTCCCAAATAAGGGCGACTTATGTCTTTGCAAGAACTGGTGCGGAATCATGCTGCTGTCCACCCAATACAAGCGAAATATCATGCCGCATCATCCTGGAGATACTAGAAGTTGCGCTGGACTCAAAATTGCGACTAGAACACGCTAGATGGCTTCAGGAAGAACAAATCATGTGCGGACCAAATTGCCACGCTACCCATCATCATAGAACAGAGTATAGAATGGTAGTCAACTCTCTATCTCAACTTCATCGACTTTGAGAAGGCCTTCGACAGTGTCGACCGATAAGTAACTTGGCAGGTGCTTCAACACTACGGTTTTAGTGTCACAAATCTGTATCAATCTCATTCACCAGCCATATGAAAATATCACATGCCAAGTGATTCACAATGGAAAGGTCAGTGATGACTTTGAAGTGAAGACAGGAGTAAAACAAGGCTGCCTCCTACTATCACCGATGATCTTTCTGATTGTGGTCAACTGCATCATGCAGGAAACCGTGATGAGCGAGAAGATGGGCATAGGCTGTTTGACCGATGGAAACAGCCTAGAAGATTTGGATTTCATCAACGATGATGATTTATGTCTAATGTCGCACAAGGTCGAGAATGTAAAGGCAAAAACCCACAAGTTGACAGAAGAGGCAGGGCAGGGAAGACGGGACTTCAATTGAACGCAGAGAAGACAGAGATAATGAAGATACCCAGCAACAACAAGTACCAATCACCTTGAATGGGAGAAATCGTTTTAAACAAGAGGCGGTGGCACAGACGAGGAGTTCAAAACCACGATCAGAAGGATAGCAAGACAGGCCTTCATCAATTAGAAATCGCTGTGGAGTTCTACTGCACTCAGCATGTGGAACAAGATCCGAATTTTCAACACTAATGCCAGTCAAGTCAGCGCTTCTATGCGATGGTTCGGAAACTTGGCACCCTATGAAAAGCATTTCTAACAAATTACAGACATTCATCAACAACTACCACCTGTGCTTGATGCTGAAGACCAGATGGTCAGAAAGAATAAACAACAAGGAAGTCTGTCCTGACAACCAATCAGCCAAGGACCTATCGCTCAAAAGATATCCAGAAGGAAGTAGAGATGGATTGTACTGGACATACACTGAGAAGGCCAACTGGGGACATCGCACCCCAGGCCATCGAGTGAAACCCGCATGGGAAACAATAAGTCGGGCGTCCGAGGGAAGGGACGACAAGGAGGAGATCATGTGACGAAGAGATGAGATCTTGAGGGCAGTTATGACGCCAGGTTGAAAAGACTACAGTGAAGACAGTGCGATGGAAGCGTGCTACTGAAGCCCTATATTCCAGTAGGAACTCAAGGGAAAAATAATAATAATAATACTGGTCTATCTAAACAGTATTGCATTAAAGAGTGCAAAAGAGAGTCATGAAACGATAAAGACTTCTAAGTGGACAAACTCATTTTCGGTCACATCATCCTCTTCATCTGTACAATCACATTTGCTTGAAGTTAGCATGCATCAAAAAACTTCAATGTTTACCAATTAATAATAGTTATTGGTTTGAAAATTAAGTAAGAAATATGAAAATATTTGATAACTTGAGTAAATGTGAGTTGAAATCAAGAAATCAGGAATTTGTGACAGAATGAGTCGGCAGTCATCAGTAGGGAATGGGATGAGAAATTTGCAACTTCGCTAAACAAAACTTGGTTATGCACTAACAATATAGAAATCAAAAAGTTAGGTTGCCTTAAGAACTGGGAAGATTTATGAATTAAGCAGTGAATAATGACAGGGAACGGCAAAGGGAATTAATCAATTTTCAAATCATGAACACAATACTTACCATCAAATCAACATCTACACTTGCAGCAATCAACTCTTTTGTCAATCTTGCTGTATTGATCAAATGAACATTATCTGAAGAAACCATGTAGAATAAACAAATAGAACACAGAGATTCTTGTTTTGAATACCATAGAAGGCTTTTATAAAATGAAAAAAGACAATATATATCATTCATTTGTCTTTGGAAAATCCATCAGTGTATAAACTACTAATCCTTAATTATATTTATTGATTTATTCACAATACCAGAGTAGTTTTAGCGTTAAGTAACCTTATTTTGAGTCTATAAACGTTTTACGAAAGTGCCGAATCTTAAAAATACCGTAATTGGTGCCTTTTAAAAGTTGGAAAACTCAAATACTTGTTCCACTTGGAGGTGTGAAAGGATTGATTGGTTTCCTTACGGGTTGACATCACTCAGAGAACTGCTGAAAACCTAGGAGCATTAAAGAGATGTTTCGGCCCACTTTGAGGTTCCTAAACAGTGTGCAACCATGATGTCGCCCCTCCAGGAATTGAACTCAAGACACTTAGATTGCGCAATGACCACGTTATTATTGAGCTACTGGACTGGAATAAAATGATCAACATTTTCCTACTTCTGACAATTTACGGCACAGCTCAAATTTCATCAGATACCATTGGTGAGTAAATGTCCTGATACCTGAGTACGTCTACTCCAATAGTCAAAACCTCTCATCGGAACTTTGAGAAATCTCATCTCGAAACAAGTCACTAATTAGCGCTGGAAAGTAAATCAGCTTGCAGGTTTGTGGGGATATATTGATATCACTTGGAAAACCGCTGGAAACCTGTGAGCATTGAACATCTGTAAATTTTATTGGGAAATTTGAATGAGAATTAATAGAGTTTATTTCATGTGGAAGGGTTACATAAACGTTGGAAATTAAAATGATTGGAAGAAGGAAGGGTAACTTGTGTTTATTTATAATTTAATTAGGAGGGAGATGAGTTTTCCAGATATGATATCAACTTCTACAACGTTTGTTGACATCTCAGATCTCTGATTATGAATTCTATAATGTATTTTCTATTTTAGGAGTTTTGAGAGTTTTCACAGAAGCTTTGGGGGAAATCTCACTAATATCTGACTTATTTGAAGTAAGAAAGATAATAAAGATTATCATTAAGAATCACTAGATGTAACTACATCAGAAAACATGAAGGCTCAACTGGTGCAAACAACGAACTTTAAAAAACCTTATCAGTTGGAGTGAAGCGTGGAGAAATGAATATATAAAAGTCAGGTGAATAGCAATTATAAGTTTGAGTAGGAAAACAGCTCAGAAGATTACAGACTGTTCAAAAACCCAAAAATATTTTCTGGTGGTCCCTCAGTGTAAGCATGATGGAGTTCATGGGACTAAATAAACGGACGTACTAAAATGGACAGAAAAACAGATGGTTTTTCAATATCTTTTATATAAGATGTGAATTAACTATTTGTTATTAGCCTTGGTCAACAGTCGTGATTTTGGCCTTTTACTAGGTCAATATTAACTGACGTCTGAGAAAACAGTTTCTCTATATTAAACTTGGCAGTTGTTGGTAGCGTAAAATAACTATGCAAACAGCTATATCTTCATTTTACTTTCGTTCGTTTTCAGAGTCACAAGTCTTGCCATCCTTTCAGTAGTGCGAAGATAGGGTTTCCTTGAACAGTATCCATTGTAGTATGTCAAAAAGTTGTGGAATGTACAATAACATTCTTTAATTAGTAAGCCATTAGTTAGGAGAAATCTTGATTTTAATATTATTCGGTCATTTCTGTAACTTAACAACAGGCCAGGAAATATATACAATCATGTGGAAGTCTAATGAAGTGAATAAATCTGTTGAGTTCGAACATTTCATTTCTTCAGGGAACATTGGAAATTATGTTATGATAAATAACTGTAACTCTTGAGATGACGGATAATGTCTCTAGCTCAGGAGGATGATGTTATTGTGCCAGCTAAACTAGATGGCTTATTCGTGAAACTTCTATTGATCATCAAAATAACATCAGCTCAAACTTCAAAAAGAAGTGAGCCATGAGATTTTCTGCTCAAACGGCTTAGTGGCTTGCCCTGATGATTTTCGGTGAGATTAGTTATTCCAGCGGTAATCTTGTCGTTATCTTCACACGTGTTTTGATCGACTGTCTTGCCGATGTGAGCGTTGTCCTTTGTGCTGAAGATGTTGCTCACAATGACAACAAAACCTTCACGATTAAGACGTCCAGGTCGAAGGACATCAAAAATCTCTAATACTGATTTATCAAAAAAGAATTTAAACCAAAGGCACATGAGAAAACCATTCTCAGTTCGATTTCGAACACACATCAAATCGAATAAGATAAATTTTAAGTGGACTCGTTAGTGAATGATACTGTAAAACCAAGAATAAAATCCAAACAATTTTGAAACTGAGTGAAATCGAATCAAGAAGGATCAAACGCTTGGGATAGAAAAGCCTGACAGTTAATATAATTAAATTTCCTCTGTAAATGTAGCGCCTGTTCAACTGGGTATGGTCGCTAGTCAAAGTGGCCCTTCATTTGAAATCGTCCAGTAATACACTTTTTCTGGATACTGTTGGTCCCAGCTAAGCATAGGAAGCACCTTTAAAGACGACAAACACATGAAGTTTTTCTTGAGTACCTGGAATGATCCGTTCCTTTAGAACCTAATGTATTATTCTGTCGATAACTACTTGAGCTGTTCAACACTTATTACTAATTCTTATATCTAGACATCGACTTGGGTATGCATTCTAAGGTTGTTGAGTAACTCTAAAAGTGACGTGAACAATTAGATAGAACGGGAAGACAGGAAAAGCACGTACAGCGAAAACGAAAAACGGTAAAGACTATGATTTCTGGCTTTTATGCAGCACAATGATAAACCATACGAGTTATCAAAACTAAAAAAATGCAAATAACCTATGACAGTTTAGACTGAATAAGTAGGAACATCTCTGTAGCAAACGATCCACCAGCCGTCTAGTTCACAGTAAAGCAATTGGCACCCACTGGTGTTTTTTATCTGTCACAGTACAATGACAGCCTACTACTAATGAGTCTTGCCTGACTTATCTATTGCCGTTAGACATACAATAATACAACTGTAAACACACCTAGTGGTCTAAAATATTTTGTGGTTTCATTTCATGACTTTAATAGAACTTTACCTTAAAAATCGCATTCATCTAGATAAGACCACAGCTCAGTTATTCGAAAAAGAATTCTCATCTACCCTACCATGGTATCGAACATGATACAATAGATATGATTTAAAAAGTCAGTTGATATGATCGGTCGCTAGATATATCAGAACGTAAAGTGAAGTATGTGGCAAATTTCACATAACACTTACCATCAGCAGTACCATGAACTAGTAAGTATCCTTTGGAAGCCAAATTCTTAACATTTCTAATTGCTGTGCGCTAGAAAGAATGAAATGAAAATGTTGTAAAAATGATGAATAACCTAGCAGTAAATCCTAAAACCATTTGAATCTAAATACAACTTAGTTTGAATACAACTCATTCTTCTCAATTATTGAGTTGATATGTAGAACCAGTTTAGGGTAATGCTGGATTTGAATGCATGCAGCTCAGTATTTATTTATGTTAACACACTCTGTAACCAAACAGTTCTATCATTTTCATTAATTGCTTCATGACAGTGTCGATGGTCTGATCTGCAACTACAGCCTGCGATGTTGAGACATACTGAACATAGCGCAAATGAAATATAGGTATTTCTATCAAAGGATGAGTGTAAAACTGAGAATAGCTTGTCACCATGTCAAAAATAACTCCAAAATATTCCTCCACTGCTATTATACTTTCATTTTCTCACATTCTAGAATAGGTAAGATGGTCAATTTGCAAATGATTTACAAACTACATGGTCCAGTTTGACATTTACCGCAGCTAAGTAGCTTCTCAACTGTCACCCAACTGTGATGTCAACAAAATTTCGTTTGCACACCACCCTTCAGGCAAGTCCACAAAGAGTGATCTGTGACACAGAATTGTTTAGATTACTCTGATCTGGCTGCCAGGGAAGTCTACAGGCTAATCTGAATGGTTTCTAACTATTAAAGCAGTTCAGTGGTAGTATTCTTTCTAAAAATAAGTGTTAAGTCATTCAGTGGTGACCTAGTGGACAAATCTTCAATAGGTACTGGGTGATGGTTGAAGGTGAAATGAAAGTTTTAACCGTGGCCGGATTTGAACCGGCTACCACTGAGTTTCTGTCCCGATGCTCTACCAACTAAATTACGACGTCCGATTGCTGACCAGACCTTTATTTCACTGCAATCGCCAAGGGTTTCGCCTGACTACCATGTAAATTCGTGATACGTCACTATAACGTGATCGTTCTCACATTGGCTGTCTAGTCAGGACTTCTCATCCAAATCCAAATTTAACTGGATTAGAGAGGTGGAGCATCATATCGATTATCATTTTACTCAACCCTTATTGACTGAAGTGAAATAAAAATCTGGTCAGCAGTTTGACCTCGTAGCTCAGTTTGTAGAGCATCGAGCCGGAAACCTGGTGGTCGCCAGTTTAAATCTGACCGTGGTCAGACTTTTTGTTTCGCCTTCAAGCATCACCTAGTACCAATGCTAGTCTGACAAATCACGGCTATCTCAGATGGTCATAATGATATCTCCAATTATTGGACACACCTCCTACTTTATGAAGTTTGAGTTTAGGACTGTCATTTGGCTTCTTCTCATTGTATGTGTAACAAAAATGGTAGCCTTATTTTAGTTGTGAACTGCTTAATTTGCGCTTATTGTTGACACCGTCATTATACGATTGAATTCACGGGAAACGATTTAGGAGTAATTGTTTTTCGTTGCACTAAGTTTAGCAATTATATATAGCTGGATTTGCCAAATCTGCATAGAATCATAACATTTGGAATCATACTTTCCGATACGTGGTATGCACTTTTGCCACACTTTCTCCTTCTACATACGACAATTTTTTGTTCATGAAATGATCACCAAGTACTGTTTAATAATATCCTCTATTTCTTATAGGTGACCAAAGTGTGTTCACATTGCAAAAATAAAGGAATAACTGCCAAACAAGTTGGCTGGCTGGATTTTGTTAGGAGTAGCTTGCATACTCGTAGGTTCTAACTTAGCATGCTTGACTGAGACAATGCAGGAAATGTTAGTTTGAGATTCTTTCAGATTTTAAGTACTTCTGGTTGGTGAACAAGCAATAAATAGGTGTTATTTTAAGTCAGACCTGCAATGTTTATAGCTAAAAGGAATTAACTTACTGCATAAGCATCAGGTTCATCAATAAATCTTCCCAAATATCTTTCGGTGTACACAGTAGCTGAAGGAATGAAAAGAAAATTCAGATTGATAACATAGTGATATCTTCAAAACATATCCCAAAACGAATGAGCTCATCAACCTAGGTAATAAATGTACACCTCCGTCTGTAGCTAAGCATGCCATGGAAACGGGATATTTGTATGCATTTTTCAAACTTATTTACAAAGCCTTCTGAGGTTAACATCCTTAGGTTTTGTCGAAAAACTCGCTATAAAAAAGTTCTGACCTACTTTTTTGTGTTGAGAAGCATTTTTTCACCACATAAATCTCTCTTAGTAACCCAACCTCATTATAAAGAGAGATCAGCGAACAATCTTTTTTTTTTGCCGTTCATGATGTAACCTGTAGCCTGACAATTTTAATCTTTATCGCGTCGATTATTTTAAGACTCATTTGACCCTTAATGTTATTGATGGATACTGTCTAGTAGTGGAATCCCGGAAGCACGATTCCTCCTATTTAGAAGTCGTCAGCTGGTTTTATATGCCTACCAATGGGTGATTTTGTTCTCACTAAGGCTCGAACCCAAGAAAAATCACTACAAACCCTTAAGCATTATCCACTAAGCCACCAAGTCATTGAATGGAACGAATAGATCTCTCACTATCGGCAATTCGGTTTTTTTGTAGATACTATCAATATAGATCATTAATATCAAAACTGAAATACTGGCGACACTGAGGGATCAACACCAAAGTCAAACCCCAATAGTGACCAATCAATGCATTACATCTAATAACAGAAATTTATAAGCTATAATAGGAAAACTATTTATCTTTTGTTATGTTTCATACGTATATGTACGAAAAGTAAGTGTTCAATTGGGTTACTGAAAATGTCTTGGGCCATACACTACATGTTTCAGATAAACTACATCTTCTGATTGTTCTATTGCAATTGCTTTCATGGCTATCAGTTAGCAAGCGATAAACAATAAGAGTCCGGAATATGTCGAAAAAATTATATCCACGAGTCTTTTTTCTATTCTAGTCACATTGACCAACGAAATAAATCATTTGAAGAAATGCATTCTACGTAAATCTTACTTTGCATAAATTTGCAACAATAAAACAGCTTTCAGTTCGCTACCAACTGCCGATGGGAAACATCGAACCTGTACAAAATTGCTTCACTTGCCATAAGTCAATAAAAATGACTTTGGTCATTCCAATACCTCATGTACTTAACAGGTCTCTTTGTACTTAGAGTAAGCTGATAAAGTGTTTATTCATTTGAATGCTGTCAAAAAAATCCTGAAGATTTCAGTACAGGATTCAAGGAAAGTTTTACTGAAAAGCTTTGACTCATGAAATCAATAAATTAACGACGCGTCATATCTCAGTTTTGTATCCTATAGACGTTTTACGCTTTTCCTTATTTCCAAAACATAAGTTGATATCTCAGGATCCCCAAACTGCAATATGTCAAGTATTTTACAGTGACTAACTCTTGATTTATTCATGAAGTTTGCATGGGTTTGATGCCATTCAACTGAAATAAACATGCCATATCATTCCGCAAATGCTGTTTTCATTTTGTTATTCAGGTACATTGAGAAAACTAGGTGGCTGGAAACCTTACATCCATTAGTATGATTTTATGGGCTACTATGTACCTTCGGTTAATCCTTAGCTGACTATTGACAGTCTCATATCAAAAGTGTTTTGTTTCAACCATACTCTTTGTAAGCCAGTGAATGCTCTATTGTATTAATGATCTATTCTGTATCAACACTGAACATGTACACATCATCAGCTGATCAGAATTTTAACGTTTAGGTAATGATTGCGGTCACCTTTGAAGGATAGCCTCTGCTGCATAAGGATTAGTCAATAACATCAATTCTGGAAAGAAACTATTGACTCTAGCCATCGAGCTTAACGTACAGACGCAGTGCTTTCTTCAACCATATACGAAGTGCAATTAAAACAAATTTGTATTTTCGTAGTGCGAAATGGTCAGTGAGACATGTTTTTTTTTCAATGAAGAAGCTTATGAAAAGAAATGTAGTTAGTAATCAGATAAAATTCTCACAGTAATATCTGAAATCGGTGACTGGAGCTACTGAAATGCCACAACGAATCCATTCATTTTCAGGTCTGGTGAGTAAATGACCAACTGTAAACCCACCATATGACTAAAGTGTACAAAAAAAGATCAGAAAAGATTAACTGATTGCAATCAAAACTAATAATCTCATGCTTTATAAGTGAATTACTGGAAAAAGAAACAAAGTAAGGTAAGGTTTCTTGACTGGGATATTGTTAGAAAAATGCAAATTGTTATAAGTTCATTCATTGTCTACAGGAAACCAAAACACTAACAGGTATCTAGACTTCAGGTCATCTCATGTTATGTCATTTAAGGCTAGCTTAGTCAAATATCTAAAAAATAGAGCTTGTGGCCAAGTTTTATGCGAATATTCACGTTGCACCTACCTTGGTAGTATTGATTTTAATTTTCATACCAAGAGTAACGTGAGTTGCTACGGCAACACTTTGCACTGCAGTAAACGATGAAATGGATACTGAATGATGGATAATAAGAAAAATTGGCTACTTCACTTTGAAATGAATCTTTTTAGCACAAAACATTTCGGTAAGCTTTTACTAGTTTCAATTGCGAGAAGTGCGTCAAAAATCATAATTATCACGTCTTATCACTCTGAATGAGTTGGATTACTATAAACAATCAATCAGATCATCTTAGATAACCATGGCTTGGCAGACTGATGTTACTGATGCTTGGTGGCGACTGAAGTTAAACAAAACCTAGGTCATTGGAGGATTCGAACAGCCGGCTCCTAAATTACCAGCCCGACATTCCATCAGTTGAACAGTAAAACTCAGCTGTTGAACAAATCTAAGTTTCACTCCAATCACCAAGGGATTTGCCCAACTTCCATGTAAATCGGTGATACGCGGCGGCCAGTTCCTCATAAGTCCACTGTCTGCCATGAACTCAAGCATAACTTATCATCGGTAATGCCAGTTTGCAAACCAAATCCCAATTGGTTTCGCTGGAAACCAGTATGACGCTATTTCTTTTTTAATTCAGTTAGATTTGAAGTAGAATGAAAAGAGCTAGTTGGTGACAAAACTGACTGGCAAAATCACCTTAGAACTTTGCATCGGTTCAATTTGCCACACCTCACAGTAATACTCAGAGAACAGGTAGAGAGAAAAAAAGTGATATCAAATTAGATAAAGTTGTATGGGTATAGACAGTCTGAAGATAAAGGCTAGTGCGACTATCTAAACTTTAGATGTCAAGGAGTGAATACATCTCCACCATTGTTATCGCTTTTTAGCCACGTGACCAAGAGTCCTCAACCTCTGATTCCTACCATCTCACGGACTGGAGGCAGGTATCTGTAATCACAATCCTTAAAACGCTTCATATCTACTTTTAAAGGGTGTCTCACAACTGTACAATAGAATGTAACAGACTGCAGAGCTCCATACTCATCCTTTGGTAGACAGTTGGATATCTTGTCGGTAGGCACCATGAATGACGCTTCTGCATTCGAGATGAGATTTCGTCAGCAGTCAGCCACTTTGGGTTGATGCGACTCCCAAGTAAGCGAAGTGGTTAACACATTCCACCACTTCACTCCCTATAGTAGAATTGGTAGTGGTTGCATCAGACCAGTTATAGGGCAGAGTCTTACATTTTAAATGTAAGAAACGCACGTTAGCCAACCGTACTTAGATTTATGCTCAACGCGTTTAGGAGACATTGCATTTTACCGGCGTCCTCACCTAACAGGACAATGTTGTCTACATACTCCAAGTCATTAAAATGACCTCCGGGGAGTAGGTCAATCCAACTCAAGTCGGGGGTACCTAAGATCATGTGTACGGCTGGATGTTAGGAAACTGAAACGTCGTTGAGGACCATTTGAACTGTGCTTGAAGGTGTTCTGCTGGCTGGTTGGTCAGACAGTGTGATTACAATCAGCAGACAGTTACGTATCGTGGATTCAAGTGTTTACCATGCAAAACACCTGGTGATTTAAGTGAAGACGTGGTCAACAGCTGGGCATCCTAACCACAAACCGTCTACAATTTGGAGCCAATATATGTATTTTAAGAAACTAATGGTAGTGCAACAAACTTCCATAGAAATAATGAGTTCATCGGGCTAAACACCTGGTTTCGAAACTTTATAATATGATCATCATCTCAATATTGTTACCTGTCTAACCATGCTCAAACTGAAAATTATCGTAATTATTGTGAATTCTCACAGCATCGACTTGATATCATCTTTTAATGTGTAGATAGGAACTCCACAAATAACCCCCAGGATCTTATATATATATATATATATATATATATATATATATATATATATATATATATATATAAGGTTTGTCAAGTATATGCTCATGAAAACCTTCAATGTTTAGGCTATAGATGCTTTGAATGACCACTGTTCATAATTGTGATGTACAACTTGATAAAAGTTTTAGAACAATCGGAAAACCAAACAGTATCAAGATTTTCAGTCTGACTGTCTGAGATATCCATAGTTTGGCGGACACCACTGTCCAAGTTTTCATTTTGCCTTTATTCATCATCCAAACTGACGCCACTGAAAACCTGGGAGCACTGAACAGATGTTTTATCCTAGTATGGGCCTCGTTAGCGGTGCGGACTCATGACTCCACAAAGGATCGAACTCAGGACCTTCAATTCTTTTGGCAAAAGTGTTTTAATAAGAAGTCATGACCTGTGTGACTAACCACTTGGAAGTGAGGCAAATACCAACAGAAGACCCAGGGTGATAGTTGCACTATATCGCAAATTGACAGAAGTTGAAAATTGTGACCCAGTGAAATCCAATCCAGTGATTGAATGCCTAGCGCATTCGCCGTGAAATCTGAAGGTCCTGAGTTCAATCCCTAGCCGGATAGTGGATGGGTAGTGCAGAGGATTTCCATACTAAGTGTGGCTTATGTAGAAATATATGTTGAATCACTTCAACCGTGCTTTTCCTGTTTTCGCTACTACTCGAAGACCAGTACTCATAAATTTTTATAAAAACGTTTACAGAAAATTTATCTCCTACTTCCAAGCACATCACTAATCAATTCTACCACAATACTTTTCAAATCTCGCTGTTATCACATCTTTCGATGCTTCAGCCAGTGTCATGGAGACTAGATTTGCATTAAATTGGACCCAATAACAACTGTATTCAAAAGTAACTCTATTTTTGAATATATTTAAAGTACTTATAATTTCACCGGGTACGTTTCTATGTTTATAAATATTTTCATTGCTTTTTTGTTTCCTGTTAGTGTTCGGTGATAACAGAGACTTAATTTTTGTGTCATTTTTTTCAAGGTTCACCACAGCTGTGTTATGCAGTAACTCTGATATTTTCTCTAGCAAATATCAGTGAGTTGAAATTTTTAAAAAATTTTCACCAAGGAAATGGCTGAATGGTTAGTATCCAAGTGGTACAACTGAATGTTATGCTTTAGTCAATCGGCAATTAAGATGAACTTTTGCGTTTGAACTACTAAAGGTTCTAGTGTAGAAATTAGACACTGTAGTAGAATGTAATTATATATTAGATTTTTTTACTTCATGTACCACACAGTGATAGAAGCAACTTTACTGAAACTAGAAGTATTAAAAGTTATTTTTATTAGAACTGCAAAATATTCTACCTTAGCTCTACTAACCTATCATCATTCCCATAGGATATCTTCACTCTTCAAATACTTAGAATACTAAAAGCATCTTGTAGTGTACACTCCATAAACCTGGATTCTATTTTTACCTCGTGTTCTCGATAATTCACTGTACATATTGATAATTCCCATGACTTAGTGCTGGCACTCGTTCACGAAGAAGGAAAATTATAGGCCTTAGTGACTGAGTAAGTAATGATTAAGCCCTTTTGAGGTTTAAAATCTATCTATTCGTTTGAAGATTGTTGAAGAAAACATAAGAATATGCCTTAGTAGAGGTAAAAAAGAAGTATTAAAAAGAAGAAATAAATACACTAAACAAGCTTCTATACGTTTGTGTTATTACTGATAAACCACACCTACTGTGTCAGAGCTGCCTAGACCTTGTTGGGCGGGGAGGGGTTCAAACAAGTGACATATTGACTGAAAGTTAACTACCTTAACCAATTAACTATAGCTACATAAAAATATGAGTGTGACGATGCGAATCATTAATCAGACCGGAATAACTTACCCATCCATAAGCTCCAACCTGACTTTCATTTATATAATGGAAGCGTCGAATTAAGGCTCTAAAAATAAATCAGTATTTATAGGTTACTGACTACTATTTTTTGAATGTATACTAAAAATACATATTAGACACCAGTAGCTAAAAAGAATGAAACCATAGAAAAATTACTAGCCTAACTAAGTTACGAAACTTGACAATGCTAACCAATAAAATGTGTCTCAGAGTCACAGAAGTTATATCTACTTTCCACCTTGAGCAATATCCGAATTCGTCCTCTTTCAGAAACAATACAGCCAAAAATAGCCAAAAAATTCAATTTTTGAATAAACCTTCCTAAACAACAAATAAAAATCAGTAAACTCGTAATGGAATACTGATGTATGAAAAATTAACTTATTTTTCTTCTGTGAGTTTATTTCTCATTGTCTCTATTGTTTCCTTATTATTATTTGTCCCTTGGGTTCCTAGTGGAGCATAGGGCTTCAGTAGCACGTCTTCAATGCGCTCTGTTCTCTGCATACTTTTGAATCTGGCTCCACGACAGCCCACAAGCTGTGCACATCGAGTGGAAACCGACTGTCTTATTTCTTCCTCACACCATCTCCTCTAAGTCACTCTCAGATGCCCAACTCGTCGTTTCCCATCTGTGTTCGGCTCGAGGGTCTATCTTGAGCGTGATGTCCCCAGTTGGCCTTCTCAGTGTATGCCAAATCCATCTCCACTTCCTCCCAGTGCATATTTGTTGAGTGATAGGTTCTTGGTTGGTTCGTTGCCAGAGTTCCTTGTTTTTTATTCTTTCTGGCAATCTGATCTTCAGTATCAAGCCAGCGTAGGCAGTTGTCGATGAATGTCAGTAGTTTGTTAGAAATGCTTTTCGTAACGCACCGTCTCTGAGCCATATAGAAGCACTGACTTGACACTGGTGTTGCTTTCTTACTGAAATATTATTACTCATTTAAGATGTGAAAAATTCCTAACATTTAATTTACGTATTCACCTTGTGATTACTTTGTATTGACCTTCCAGCCATTACATTGTACTTTTCTTGATCATCTTTGCTAGCCTTGTATTGACTCATTATCACTTGGCGGATATATATTTTTATCACTTTGACCATCAAAGATACCTTAGGTTGAGTAGACCTGTATTAATGATACTTAGTGATGATCGAAGTTGAAATAAAAATCTGGGTCGCAGTAAGAGTCTTTAAAGCCAGATGCGGACCACATCCTAATTTCACTTCAGTCATAAAAGGTTCAGCCTGACTTTCATGTGAATTCATAGTCCATTAATATTCGCTCATCGTATTTTACACTGGCTGCCCTACCAAGAATTCTTATCCTAACTGAAATCAAGCTGAATTACGTAGGGGAGTATTATATTGATTATCATTTTGGTGACCTCAGATATTTTTGTTGTAGGCATAAATATGAATATACAACTTCTGAAAATGATTTGTCAAAAAGAAAATTTTCTTCTCTATTACGTCTTTGTTTTAATATACATATAAATACTTTCAATTTAATAACTGCATATGAACATTGCCACTGAAAATCATTGAGGTTTAATGTTTTTATTGACAGTCGTCGTTTCTACTATGAAGGCTAATTGGACGCTCCAAATCTGAAGGAAAATCAACATCAACATCTTCAGATAATATTATTTGGTAACTTGAAGCCCTTGACACTCACCTAACACTATCTAACTGATCTTCAATTTCAACTACACCAAGTTTCTTATAAATGGAATGCTCAAAAACTCTTCCCCGACCGCCTGTACCTCGACCATCAACCAGGGCAACAATGACTTTCGCCGTCGCTGATATATATGTTATCCAATCCATAATAAACTTCGTACTGACAACCTGATTTGTTGGACCGCCATAGCTAATAATTTTAATGAAAGAACAGAAGACAGGTTGTGTCATAAAAGTTTGAGACATAAGTGAATATTATAAATTTGTAGGTATGTATTTTTCTGATTTCATTAGTTAATGGTTACTGATCAAAAGGGATATCTATAAGTTTGCATCATATCATTCTACACACAGCAACATTTTCATATCTACCTTGCACATAGTGTTCTGGTAAATCTTCTGCAGGTTCTTTTATCAAAGCAAGACAACACATGATTTTGTACAATCATTATAATGTCAATGTTCAAAACTTTAAGCCATGCCGCTCACACTTTTGGGCATTCTTTTTGCAACAATAGGTAGATTAAGCGAAGAAATATTTCTTTCCACGTAGGTCTTCGTTATCGATTCAGAAGACTCTGGGTAAGTGGATACATGCCAACGGGATTACGTAATACAAAGGGAGGCGAAAAACTAGGACATAATATGAGATGAAAAGGGGGGTTTCTTGACCGACAAATTACAGACAAAAAGTGAAAGAAAGGAATTTAAACCTTAATTTGACTGTAAGGGCCAAGTTATAATGGACGTTGTAGGAGTGTCTTCTGAGTACAGGTATCTGGTTTGTAGACGTGAATGATAACAGCTTCTGCCGTTTGTAGAAAGCGAGTACGTCGAATACGTCGAAGTTTGGATTCTATGCTCGTATTCACTTTATGGCCAGTATCTGTCATATATTCAGTTACTGAGCTTCTTATTGTTTTTACCTGCCGTATACTCAGTCACAGCGGGTACTGTTCAGATATTCTACGGTGAAATTACTCAACTGCACGCCACATTTAAATAGTTATACAGGAGCAGTCATACTTGCATGTTGAATACTTTAGTTCTGAAAGTTTCCAGTAAATTTATTCCTGAATATTAAGGAAATGCTTTGAGCCCCTAACCGCAAGAAAATTCCTTCTTCTACATTTATAAGCTTTTGGCTTTAGCAATTGTCGGAGACAATTACAGATTATGTGTAGGTTGTGCATCTGTAATAACTTGCAGAAAAAAGAACTGAGGTCGGTTGCATTCTTAAAAGGAGTCACTTCTGTAAGCTTTGTCTAGGAACTTTAGCATTAATTAATTTTGCAAAGTTTTCTCAAAATTCTACATATATGCATAAGGGATGAAATTGATGTGAAGAAAGCATTTTATCCACATTTCCCAATTTTAATCGTCAGCAAAGTTTGACTAATTTCATTGCCTGAAATAAAACTTCCTTTCTTAGTGTTAGTGGTTAACTAGATGGATAGAAAAGTTGACTTTCAGATAAGAATGCTAACCCAGTGGGCAAATATAGACAACACTGCTTCACAATGAGTATATTTAGCAACCTTATTTGGCCTTTAATTGAACTACACCTTTCTCACATCTTTGGATCAGGTGTGTGTCAGCAGAATACTATGGGAAATGATACCTAAGTACTCTCGAACTATGATCAATAAAGCTTATTTGTCTACTTACATTGACAGAAGTAATGAAGGATTTAGATGCAGTGACATTTTGATAAGAAGTGCACTAAATAGATATCAACATTTTTAGTAACCGATCACTGATGTGGAACTGTATGATCTACGAGAAACTTGAAAAGAAGTTGAATCACTTTCCTCTCAGAGTTCATCCCAAATCTACAGAAGTGGGGGAATTTCGACGAAAAGATTTCGAACCAATCGAGTGAGTGGTAGCGTGCTTACTGTAGGCCTTGGGTTCGATCCCCAGCAGGATGAAATGATGGGTGTACTTCGCTAAAGAGTCCCATAACAGAACGAACGAACTATCTAGTGCCCCAAAAGTTTTCGCTGGTTCTCCAACTTATGTCACTCTATAATGAATACTATCTAGGGATCAATTAAATCTCCACAAATTTTCAAATAAAACAAAACAGAGTATTAGGATAAGTGTAACTTACGTATATAATAATAGAGGATATTGAGTAATATGGGCTGGATCCAGTTCAGGTGGAAGATATAATTTAGCTTCCACATCAATTTGATGCCTTGTACCTTGACGTAATGTCAACTTTGTATATGTAATACGTGGCAGTGCACGTGAATTAACGAATGCCTCAAACTCAGCATTATTTACAAAGTATTTAATGAATGTTGAAGATACTGTGAAATCTTAAATAGGAACGGTATCAAATTATAAATTGTAAAAAAATCATTTAGTATTTACAAGCAATTGTTTTGGGTGATTATTTTATTATTTGTTGATCCATATAATTCATTTTTGGTTTACTGGATCGAATTGATCGACCTCTATTAACATATGGGTTTCTGTGCAGATTTATCGACATTAACTGAAAATGTATTGTTATAATTGACTTGGTTGTGTCTATCAGTGGAAACAACGGTGCGCGTTTCATCTTATTTGAGGCTCGCAGTAGTACAGTTACATTCTGCTGATTAGTTTCAAATAGGAGGAAATGTGTGTCATGGGTTCAACTGTTAGTGATAATGGAGTGATTTATAACCTTTTTAAGTATATATATATATATATATATATATATATATATATATATATATATATATATATATATATATATGGTCCAGGTGTATTGAGCCTTTGAGATCTTCTAGAGCTTGAATATTTTCACTATCATTCATATTTAAATTGTTTATTCACTTAAACGACTTGTCTACTCTCAAATCAGTCTTCTATCAAGTTGTTCTTCGTTTGCTATTGGGGAATGTGGCAACTTGAATCTCAGCACTTATTTGTTAGGTTCTACGTTGACTTTGTGTGTCATATCGATTGATTTTTGCTTCAAACTGAACGGATCCTAACTTCCTTCAAGTTCACTACGCAAACAGTAACAAGTGGAAAACATTAAAAAAGCAGAACAGTTCAAGCTGTCTTCATCCATTTTAAGATGTTATTGGTGACAATCCTGTGAAGATTGAAGCCAACAGCAAGGTGAATGACATAACTTTTTCAAAACACTACTGCTAATGTGGTAGATAAAAATGTACGTCAGGTGATGAGACTTTTCAAAATAATATTCATTATGGTTCTCAGGCGATGATCACATGATTTTCGGGAGAAAGAAATCCATAGTACATATTATTAAAATAATTTTACAACTTGGGCACTGTGAAAAAATTTAACTTATTTGATGTATAGCACACAGTGATCGAGTATTACTTACTTTATGGCGTTTCAAGCAAAAGCTTTGACTGCGCATCATCATATCAATATAGCCAACCACACTAATTTGAACAAACAATTTGTATAGTCCTCTCACCTCATATTCTTTGTTTCTAGTGGTAGTAAAATTTTCCATATCTCTTCTATAGGGCTTTTGTCAATCCTATCCCATATGTTGGGTGGATGTTGATTCGATGAACAAAGATTCAGTAAACAATCTCTTTCTCCACCTTATTATATTCGCCTCAAGTACAGTGGTTTCATCACCACCACCCTTCCATGTGGTTGTCTGTTCATGCACACATTGCAATGTTCGAGTTTCTTTCTAGACCGTTGATCATATTCGCCTCCGTCGTTCTATAGTTAGCCAAATTCCGGTTCCACTAATCTAACTGACTGCAAACGGCTTGTTTGACCCATGCGCGTGACGTCACAGTTATTGCATGGAATTCGGTAGATGAGATTATTTTGTTGGATTGGTTCATTCGGATGCTTAAGTCAGCCGGCAAAGTTCATCCCTGACTGAGTTTGTAGGTGTAGACGGCACCATCAGTAATTCGAGGCTTGTAGGGTTGCGTAATACTTTTCGGTTAACTGAATCACATGCCACGGTTGTTGTGAATGTTTATCCCAGAATCTAGTTGATGCTGTTAATCCTTATAGCGTACTTCTCACAGGCTTGAAATCTGCATATATTCAAGGTTGTTTGGCCAAAATGCACTGAGGTGATTTTAAGTGTTTATGATCCCAATTCGGCCTTAGTCATTGATGGCAAGTCACGGACATTTTGTTCATCCCTGTCTATATTGCGACTCTTTTTTAGCTCTGTCAAGGAAGTATACATTCTCATTTCATTAGTTTTCCTACAAGTATCCCTCATAGAAATTTTATCCACACCAATTTCTAGATTTTTATGGAATACTTACTAGCGCTCCACAAATTCATTTGGTAGCGAACATTTACTTTGAAGTTCGAGAATGTCTAGAAACCGATTTAAGAGTTGTCAGCATGTTTCTAAACATATTTTATAACTTTGGGATATCTCTAACTTGATATGGTTGTCAGGACTGCATATCACAGCGACTCAACAAGCTATGCTGTCGGAGAACATTTATTTTGACATCCCACCATACCAGAAAGGTCTGATGGAGTGTGATAAGACAAGAGGAAGTTACCGCTATAGTGTTACTCGCCATGCTATGACCAAGGTTTCAAGGTGATTTCTTAATGCTGTCTGTACGAAGATTATGAAAGTGAAAAATGGCAAAACAATAAATTTGTACATATTTTCATTAGAGTCGACGAGCCAAACCCACTGTTTGAGGGCTAATGATACTTGGACCATAGTAGATGAAGTGGGGTCTGAGCCTTGTGACCCGCTGACAGGAATCAGGGGTGCAGACTGACGTGCCACAACAGTGAATTGTTTGCCCCGGACGACCAGCAGTATGATGCTGGTGTTGACTTCCTTGCATGAGGAGGGTTAGAACAGGCAGGTCCACAATAACTACACTCCCCCTGCTGTGGAAATTCAGTGGCTACTTCCTGTGATCTTGGGTGTGTGTGTTTAGCACTGAATCCCTAGGTATAAGGTGCACCGCTAGATTATGTTACCTCTATACGTCGTCCGACTAAACAGTGCAATGAAGACTAAAAAGGAGTTGTGAAAGTAGCCACTGTCTCTTTGTAATCTCTATCTACACACCCACTGACTGCGGAAATGCAGAATTCAAAACTGGAGTTCATGTGACGAACGTAATCAGTGGTTAAAGACTTATCAGTAGTCCAAATGTATCCCCACATTATCTTCACTTAAGTCGTCATTCTAATTTTCAGTATTGTTCCATTTCCTTTCTGTTCTGTTTTCACGACTTTCTACCACTTTAGGAGGTTTTTTTTCTTACTTCTGTGTGTTAAAACTTTGCTTCTTCTACTGCGATATAAGGTGTGGCAACTTGGACCTTTATGTAGCGACATTAATTTCGAGGCTTGTTCTATGCAAATGACTGCTTATGTACAATTAGTAATAAATGAGGGCCATTAACTTAAGCAATATTATTAATAAGTTAGTGTTGAAGCTAAAAGTAAATGAGCGACATACAGACGGTGACAGATATTTCGCATCCCAGTCAAATATTTTCATAGAGCAAGAGAGGAACAATAGTAACTAAGAGTTAGGTCAAGATAATTATTTTATCAGCATATTAAAGTTAGTGGAGATTAGCAAGAGGATTGTTGAACACATTCAAAGCACTTTGAGAGGAAAAATATAGCATTCGTCAACTGAACAGAAGCTAACAAACACTGAGTATTCAAAATGTAGTCATTTTTGAGTCTTACTTCATTTTATGAAAGTCGTATAACCTTGCTGACCAACCTTCCACTAGGAAGACCATAAATATCCAAAAGAAGTTGGGATTTTATATTAATGATGAATAGTGGCTAACAATGAAATTGGGATTTGATGGTTTGAAAAAATTTGGACATTTAGTAAATGATATTCATTATTTCCAATGAATGTAAAACAAAACAAAGAAATTTGTTTTGACTAGCGTTTCACTATTTAATTTCAACAACATTATTAAGTGGGAACAACATAACTGGGGTACAGGTACATCCAGCTGACGAGTCCCAAATAGGACGGAACGCGTGTCCTGGATTCTTCTGTTAGCCACAACCAACCAATTTATCATAATTAACATTATTAAGGTTATAATAAGCAGGAATTCACAATATCCAAGCTTATATATGATAACCTGGTAAGCATTCTTCTGGATGGATGATTCCCTGTTGCCAAATTGTTGAACAAAGATGTCTATATGTAGTATGCCATTTGACTGAGATTTGTAAATGCACACGTGCTGACAGTTTTTATCATGTGCATTAAAACATTCAAAGTACACTCTCGAGGAACAAGAAGTGGCTATTGTGGCTCAGTCATCTTATGGAAAACACTCTGAAATTTGAAGCGATCGGTCCCAAGTTCGACTGGTAGTGGGAACAACATCTGTCTCTAGGAGGTAGGCACAACCAGCTGACGATTTCCAGATGGGATAAAACGCGAGTCAAGCTAGATTCCACTGCTAGCCACTATCCATCATTAAAATATGCATTCTGGTTGTGTCAAAATTTGGGGGTGGGTTGAAACCAGGTCTGGTTACGTTTTACCTCCTCATTCCTATTTAGACAACTTCGATCCCATCATGTGTAATGATTCTGCTATGAGACTTTTTTTAAAATTTACAAAGCCTTTCTGGATAATTTCAGCGTAGTTACAGTAGACTTTGTGACCTGCAGAGTAATGGCTGAAGTGTTTTCAAGCTTTTTCAGATCTATTAAATTTCTAGTGGGTTAGGTGGAAGCCTTTCGGGGTTCACTTTTTCCAGTTTTGATTTCATGTGTTTAATATCCTGTAGAACACTGTGATACTGCATTTGTTGAGCACCCTTCGAACTTGATCTGGTTTTAATCCGCCTTCACACACATAATAAACACAAATGTGATAATAGCAGAACATTTGGACATAGAAATTCCAATCTAGGGCGATTTCAAAGGCCACCCTAGCAAATACTGGAATTACCAATCAGGCTTCAGTATTTCGCCAGGAAAAGTTCTTCATAAAATAAAGGAATCTAATTGGCCATCTTATCAGTAATATGAGTATATTTTCAACAAAAGGTTTACACTTTAAACAGTTTTTTTTATTATGGTAATATTTCGAGCAACATTACTGCCCGTGATCACACTAACAGACGGAATATTTTATATATATATATATATATATATATATATATATATTGAAATGGAGAATATTTGTAGCTCAGGTGGATGGTCTTGGTTGCATTGTGTTCTCTGGGCTGGGGTGTTTATTAGTGAAGCTTTCATCATCTTTCTAGACGAGTTCAGAGAACACCATACAACTAAGATATATGTATATTCCATACTGATTCTTCGTTAGTCTGTTAGTCCAAAACAGTGTTCCATATATCCATTATATAGGTAAGTTTTTATATAACTCCGGCGTATCTAGAAAATCGAAAACAAGATTTTTCTGAACGTTTCGTTGTGTATACCACAGCTTCTTCAGCAGAATATTCGGATTTTATTTAAAATCAAAATATATACCGTCAAAAGGTACATGTAGAAATTTCTGTCTTTATGTAATTGGTTAGCTGTTTTGTTCAGACAGAAATTTCTACATGTACTTTTGACGGTATATATTTTGATGTTAAATAAAATCCGAATATTCTGCTGAAGAAGCTGTGGTTACACACAACGAAACGTTCAGAAAAATCTTGTTTTCGATTTTCTAAACACGCTGGGATTGTATAAAAACTTACCTATATATAATGAATCAAACTGACTCGACGTTCAACTTCTTTCAGGATATTTGTAAAAAGTATGGCCTGGATGTTAATAAAGTGCTCCATATAGTTGAACGTTGTACTGATTCATATTTATTGCATGTGTTTGTAATTACATGTATAAATATTGATTCCGTTATTGACCCTTCCTTCTGTTTGTTTTTGTTAAACTTTAACAGTACGGTAGTGTTGTTCCAATCGATGTTTTGTTTTTCATGTCATGCATGAACTACTATCGATGAATCTTTTTCCGAATTTTTGTACTTTTGTCCCTTTGACATTTGGTTAATCTTTGATGTTCATTCCTTCCGATATTCAACGATCTTGATGTTTGTCCTACATAGCTTATTCGGGAGTTTTCACACTGTATTTTATACACCACAATACTCTAGTATTATAAGTACATTTTACTGAAAAGTTTAAACATTATTCTTGTCCTTTGTTAACCGGATCTTTTAGTTGGTTCAAGTTACTTATTTTAACAGATTTATTAGTTTAAATGCTGTGAAAATACCAGCCTTTCTATGGTTTACTCTAATTGGCTCCGACGTAATATTTTTACATAGTAATACTACTGTCTTTCTGTAGTTATCTTTCTTATTGACTCCTGATGTCGACTTCTGTTTCTTCTTCTTCATGTTATCTTTTATGAATTGCTCTGGGTAATTATTCTTGAATAACATTTTGATCATTAGGGTATGTTGTTCACAGACGGATTCTGTTTAACAGATTCTGTATTAACCCTCGTTTTACTGTGGTTGGGTGGGCTGCGTGGTAATTCATAAACCTTCCAAAATGCATTGGTTTTCTATATAACGCTGTTTTTAAACTGCCATCTACTGTTTCGATTTTGCAGTCCAACACTGACAGTTTCTTGAATTCCTTCTCTGTTTCCATAGTGAATTTTATCGTGTCCATCTGGTTTCTAAATATGAGCGGAATTCTTCGATATACTCCTCGTTTATTATAACTAGAGAATCATCAATATATCCTCACCAAAATTTTAATTGAAGATGTGTATGGTTTTAAAGCGTTGTTTACCAAAAAATCCATTAATATATCCGCTATTAATGGTGAGGTAGGTGATCCCATTACCACCCCTTATTTTTGTTGGTACGACTCACAACATCTGATAAAGGTCACTGTTAAGTAAAGTGCTACTCCGCTTTCTATATGTCTTCTATCGAGAGCTGTGTTCTTTCTCTAGGAACTTCACCTTTTCCTGTACTTCATTTTAGGGCATTCATGGCCACTTCTATTGTGTATAGGTTATTGATGTCAAAACTAAATAATATTTCATCATTGATTCTAGTGTCTCTAAGTCACTTCGCTAATTCGAATGAGTCTACTAACATTGTTTGTGAATCGTTTCTTTTGGTCGTAGCATATGAGTAGGGAAACCTGACAGCTTATATGTAGGAGTGGTCCTGAAGCTCACCATCGGTCTAACTGGATGGTGTTCTTTGAGTAGTTTCACCGTACCACAAATCCAAGGCATACTCGATGACTTAGGTAAAACTAACATGCATGCGATAACAACTATTAGAATATGTGTGCTTGCAAATCACAATCTATAATTAGGACACCAAATAGTACACTACATGTAGACATCTTCTTTATTCAACAATTTGGCAAAACGGAATCGTAACTAACAAAAACCCATAGATATTCTATGTATTTCGAGAAACTGTATAGACAATATCAATTTTAAGCATATTTTTTAAACTCACTATCTGTCCCAGATGAGTTTCGATCAATTCTTTTCAACATTGTTTTTGGTACGCTCGAACCTTTAACATCTTGTATGAAATACTTCCCATTCGGAAACACCTCTCCCAAATTGTAAGTGTAATTCACATTATCACAAGTAAGGCAGGACATATTCTTTCTTGATAATGAAGTCCTTAAGAAAAGAATAAATATAAGTGTAAAATTTGAGCACTCAGATGCGATGTAATTCTATATTAGATTTGTTTATTTGATGTATAGCACACAGTGATCGAGTATTACTTACTTTATGACGTTTCAAGCAAAAGCTTTGACTGCGCATCATCATATCAATATAGCCAACCACACTAATTTGAACAAACAATTTGTATAGTCCTCTCACCTCATATTCTTTGTTTCTAGTGGTAGTAAAATTTTCCATATCTCTTCTATAGGGCTTTTGTCAATCCTATCCCATATGTTGGGTGGATGTTGATTCGATGAACAAAGATTCAGTAAACAATCTCTTTCTCCACCTTATTATATTCGCCTCAAGTACAGTGGTTTCATCACCACCACCCTTCCATGTGGTTGTCTGTTCATGCACACATTGCAATGTTCGAGTTTCTTTCTAGACCGTTGATCATATTCGCCTCCGTCGTTCTATAGTTAGCCAAATTCCGGTTCCACTAATCTAACTGACTGCAAACGGCTTGTTTGACCCATGCGCGTGACGTCACAGTTATTGCATGGAATTCGGTAGATGAGATTATTTTGTTGGATTGGTTCATTCGGATGCTTAAGTCAGCCGGCAAAGTTCATCCCTGACTGAGTTTGTAGGTGTAGACGGCACCATAAGTAATCGCAGCCTTTTTACGACTCCTACGTAGAGTTTCTGATATTCCTTCCTGACTAGTAGAGGCTTTGAAGTCCTTTCCCCTCGTATTGTCCCTATTACTCATTAGTATTACTCTTATCATTTTCTTACTTCTGTGTTTATAAGACTTTCATAACAAGAAGTAGAGGATAATTGTTAACGCTTGTTGTTTGTGTTTCAGTTCTTCTTTTAAGTCCTTACAATGACTGGTGAATTTTCGATTTTAGTTGATTTATCAGATGTATCACGGAGTGGACCAACATTTTATACTGGATTACATTTCGGGTACAGTTTATTCCTATAGTCATGAAAATAGCGTCACAATTTTAAGACATGGTTTACTTGGTTCTTATCTTCGCTACCCCGTTTTGGTACAGGTATTAGGATTTCTTATACATCTAGAGTTATTCCTATTACATTTACTTGTCATTTATTTGATAAACATAGTTTCAGCAATCAGTTTTTCCATTCACCCCGCTGTGTCAGTCTTGAGGATTTCCCCCCTGTCTCATCCTATTGTGCGGTTTTGTGTAGTTGTACACCTAGCTGTAACCAAGCTTTTTCCAGACTGTTATAAATGTGGGACTTGAACAAGGACCCAACGTGTCTGCACAACAAATACACTCGAAGAAATGGAATACTTAACAGGGACACTGTTGAAGAACGCATATCCTGTGAAGTTCATCGATCGTTATAGTGAAGTCTCAATAGTACGAACTAATCAAATCAGTATTCTGTCTTAAAGTTGGATGTTTGCATCACGCTGCCATATGAAAGGAAATCAAACAGTACGATCATACGACGAAGGCTTATTTTATTTATTAGAAAGACACACTTTACAGCCAGGCTCAGCATCATAAAACGAACCTCAACACTACACATATGATTACGTCACATCCCTCTCTGTATACAAGTGTGGTGACACATACGTTAGGGGGAGTAATTAAACAATGAAGTCAGAGGTGACGGAGCATATCTCGAGATTGTTAGAAAAACAACTGCATTCGAATAATCTGATAAATAGACTGAGCAACAGTATCTACACTAGCCTTCATTACTGTCACTTTGTCTCACTTTATTGTACGATTTTGTATATATACAAAGTAGCTCAATCATTAGTAACGCGCATACTCTTCTATTCTATCACTAGCAAGCTGTCTCGGTAGAAACGACTCAGCATCAGTTTCGGATATATTTAAAACCCTTCTACCATGTAAATCAAAGCATGAAAAGGAATCAGAGCACGTGAACTGAGTCAGAAAGTTGTGAGACTATCTGAATTATACGACTACACCCGGTAAACTTGGCTCCAAATGTCAAATTGAGAATAATACTAATTCACTGTAACCTGTATTGTACAAACAATGTCAAACACAGGTCTCGTCACCTCAAGTAAATTGTTAATTAGAGTATTCTTTGTCAAGTACCACTTCATCTTATATATATATATATATATATATATATATATATATATATATATATATATATATTCTTAGTCGTGAAGTAGTTGATACGTACACGCAATCTGTTTTTTGGGATATTTTTATCAATCAAAATGACTGTAGCATGTTGTAACTGAGACTCTCTATACGATATTACTATCTGTTTCTATTTTGTTAGTTGACAACTACTCTAGTAAGTGTGCTGTAAATTTGCCGTGGTCCTGAACTGACATCAGTTGGAGAAAAGTTGAAAACCCAGAGGAACTAAACAGCTATATAGCCTTAATATAGGACTCCTCAATAGCTGGGAGTGAAGCGGATCCCAAATGAAGGCCTTAGTGGATAGTATTGCTATATCGCGAATCGACAGAAATACGAAAATGTGGAATATTGGATTCCAATAAATTGGCTCAATGACTAACGCGTTGGCTGTTAAATCTGGAGGTTATGATTTAAATTCTTGGTGAGGCGGGGTCGTGAATGCATACTGCTGAGGAGTCCTTTACTAGGATGAAACAGCTATTCAGCATTCCTAGATTTTTAGTTGGTCTTCAACTGATGTCAGTTCATGTAGAATACTTCTTTGTAATATTTCTCTCGTGTTTTTTAACAGGACATTTATTTCTATGTTACTACACTAATTATTTATTCCGCGTTTTATAGATAAGATGAAGCGTCTGAACAGTCTCTAGATTCAGTACTGATATAGCTATTTATAAAAACCCACTCACTGACCACTAAGCATCTAGTAGAACTAAACTACATACCTTGTACTTCATTAAATTGATCGAAGACGCGGTCAGTGACTTTTTAGAATTTCTCATTTGAAAACGGGTAAGTATTCCAGCTGCTGATATAAATGGAAAGCTCGGAATAGGTCAGTTTAAGGTCAAAGATAACTATTTAGTCTTGGTTTATCTGCACTGTTTATCATAGATTATGAGTGTGTTTCAAAAATATGCTACTCAAACTCTGGTTATGACTAAAGCCTGATGGTACTTGATTAAAATATTTGAGACTGGGTAGTGATTCATTGCAAAGTGAAAGTCTGAGCAGCGGCGGAATTCTGACTAGTGGAATTCCAGTTACCTGCCTGGTACCGAACCAGCTCAGCTATGTAAAGAAGATCACATTATCACTCCATTCACAAACGGTTATCCTCTGACACTGCAAATTCTTTATGGTTAACTGTTCGTTCATGGTATTCACACTGGCTGCTCAACTAGGTAGTTTCATTCTAATCCATATCAAGCTCGATTAGAGAGGTACAGCATCATATTGATTATCAGTCTGACTATCTCAGGCTGACAACATCAAAATTCTACCAAACTACAGCTAACTCAGATAGTCAAACTAATATCTAAAATATTTAGCATAGTTGCTTTTACTCATGACTAAAAACCGTTACAGTAAGTAATCCCGTTAAAATGGTGGACAATATTCAGCTAAATATACAATTATTTTTTTAATGAACCTTACCTTTTAACTCTCACGTAAATACCGGGTGATGATTGAAGGTGAAATGAAAGTTGGACCTCAGCCGGATTTCAACCAGCCACCATCGGGTTTTCGGTGAGATGCTCTACCAACCGAGCTATGAAGTCCCATTGCTGAACAGATTTTTATTTCAATCCAACCACCAAAAGTTTTGCCTGACTACCATGTGAATTCTTGGTGCGTTACTACGGACTGATCGCATTCACACTGGCTGTCTAGTCAGGACTTCTCATCCCAATCCAAATGAACTGAAATAAAAATCTGGTCAGCAATCGGACCTCGTAGCTCTGCTGATAGAGCATTGGGCCGGAAACCCGGTAGTGGTTGTTTCAAATCCGGCGGTGGTTCAAATTTTCATTTCATATTCAATCATCACCCAGTGAAGACACTAGTCTGCCAAACTACGACTATCTCAGATAATGAAATGATAATCTCATATAAATATGTTGAAGGGAAATATGATACACTGAAAAGTGCAAAGGTTTGTACTCTGTTAATTTATGGAAAGTGAAATTCATCAAGTATTCATAATTACCAATAAATATGAGCATTTTTTGGGTCTGGACCAGTTCCTATGAAGATGATTTCATCAACGCCATCATAGTATAATATATCCTTCACATCAAATTCTGGCATAACCATCCATTTAGGAGTCTGTGGAGCTTCGGGTTTTGTAGGCTGAAAATAGAAATTAATGCAGTTATCTTCCGATAAAATTAAGGCTTTTCTTCTAGAATTCCACAGAGTCTTAAACAGTTAAAAGGTTTCCGTCTCTCTTAAAAAGGCACACTTTCAAGGTTGTGTCTCTTTGGATAGTTTAACAACTACAAAACACTTTAAAAGCGAAACAATGAAAATCTGAAGATAATTAATGTTGCCACTTGTAATTCCTCGTCGGTGATTAAACCAAGGTGACTGCTTACTACAGGCGTAGAGGCTGCTGCATGGATGCCCCGATATCATGACTAATTTCAGTTTGAAATTAGTGCTGAATCTAGTAACTCAGTGGCCGAGTGGATAACGCTATAAAGCTTAGGTCAACGAACAGTTTTACTATGCTAGAAAGAGGCTTAAGCTAGCCAAACCAAGACTTTGCACCAGTATATGAAGCCTCTGACTCGATTTGAGTAGTGTGAAGAATTGTTTCCTACCTTAAGGTCCCCGAAACAATAGAAATCAGTGGTTAGGAAAATAGCTGAAAATAATTCACAGTGGCGCAGATATGTTGACACTTTGGCGTTCTTTTAAAACTTCAATAATCGCGCTAACCTTTATCTTTAGATTGTTTATTCTCTTAAGTAACTCTGTCTATTTTGATATCAACCTTTTCCTATACAGTTGTTCTGTGCATACTACTGCAAAGTTTGTCAGTGTGAACCCATGAACTTCTGTGCTAGGCACAACGCTGTTTTTGCCTGCTTAGATCAAATGATCCTAGGTTGGTCCTAGTCTTGGTGGGAACATTACTGATGTTTGGGAGGCAAGTACATATATTTGAAGTCTTGAAAGAGGATTGAATGCGCCTTCTGAATTCCACTCCTAGTCATTATCCGTCATTAATAATTTATTATACCTATCTCAAAGAAACAAAAGAACCTTAGCTCTCGCAGTCATTTAAACGAGAGGGAAGCTAAATAAAACTCGTCACGCCCTGTCAGTTCAGTATACTTGATGTTCAAGGCTACCTTCAAAAATTTTCTGATGAACAAAACTTGAATCTGTTACCATTGTTGATACATGTATACAGATTTTTACGTCATCAGCATTTTTCATTTTACTGGAAGAATGATGAATATACACCGAACTGTCAGTGGTTTGTTCTACTCATAGCTGCTATTCTTGCTGGATAATCAGTCAATAAACCTTCAGATGCTGTTATCCGATCACTAAACATCAACCATTTTTCACTTATAATCACTGTATTCAACAGATATTGGAGTTTATCATTTTCGAGTGAAAAAGTGATATATAATAAAACTGCTTGTTTATACAAGTTTCATGAACTAAATTAACAGCTGATAATGGGTAGTCTAAAGCAATGAACATCAGCCTAATGCAAAAAAATGTAAGCAGTCAAACATATCATAACTGATTCAAAGCTTGCAAAGTGTACCAGTTGGTCAGCAAACTATCCGATAATATAAGCTTGATAATCTTAATGCTTTGACGAGTATAATAAGGCAGGATGAAACACAGCATTAACTAAAGTAACCAGTTTCTACTATACACATTGACAAAACAATAAGAATGTATTTATGTGATACATTTCAAACTATCTAATCCCGTATGTACTTGTCATAGGTATTTATGTTGAAAACTAATAAAGATAATGTATGAGAATATGAAGAAATGTCGAGTAGGAAAACTGAATTTAAGGCCAAACGGTCATGAAAGTCGATAGAGCGAGAATAATGGTAAAGTGAACATGGTTTAAGAGTTGAATTCACCAGGGGAGATTTAATGTGATAATAAGTTGTTTTTGAACACATAAAGGTGGTTAAACTTCCTAATAGTTAGGACCTCAACAAATTTAAATGTTCGTATCTAACACGTTTTGTAAATAGGTCTAAAGGATGTAGCCATTTCAATTCCGTGACCTGTTTCGATGATTTGTTTAGCGGTCGAAGAACCCGGACACCTTCTACCAACGTGTATGGGTTCAGGTGATTTAGTTTATTTCCGAAACTACCTTGGAATATGCTTCTAGGTCCTTACTTGCAGAGTCTCCCCTTTGTGTGTCACCACATGTACATTTGAATTGGAAGGTGTAATGGGATGTGACATTGTCCTTCATAGGCTGTGTGGGTTTCAGAAGATAAATAAACTTGATGGTTTCTATTAGCCGAACCTTTCTAACAGCACCGTTAAGTCTGCACTTAAGGATTGCATTATGACGGTCACCAGTGTACGGAAGACTGATGAAGACAATTTTCTGTTGGACAAGGTGAACAGCTTGGCTATGAAGCTCCGTTTATTTTGTCCTGTAAGTGTATGATTAGATAGTTCAAAATGTGTTGCGAAAATGCATTACACGGTTTAGAAAACTTACGTCTTCTGACTTTTTTGTCAATATTTATATTTCTTGGGGCTTTTGCAAAGAAATCTTAAAAAAGGGACTGGTCTAGTGAATGTGATATCTAAATTTTAAGATATTAGAAAAGTACTACTTAATAATATTTAATGTTCTATTCATCATGGATTGAAATCAGTTGAAGAAACATTGAAAACATGAGAGTACTGGATAGTCTTTTCAACCTAGTACGTGGGATCCTAGTACGCACTCAATACTCTCAAATTTCCTATGGTTTCCTAACCGATATTAAACCATGATCAATACAAGCTTAAAAATAAAGTCTCCATAAACCTTAAACTATACAATGTAATGTATTCTAAAATCACTCTCAATAGAAAATCGCTTGCCAGTTATTCTTCATTCGTTCTGTACACAGTCTAGTAGGCGAGACTCATTATTTATATATAAGACTGAAAAGTTAATAAATGTTAGCTATGAGGTGCTTTGAGCCTTTCGTGATTTTTATTTGAAAAGGAGTCCATTATTATCAAGACTATGATCGAATCTGATGTATTTATTGTTACCAGAATGCCTCGAAAAGATGAGAAACCTGATGGCCCTATTTCCGCTGTCGATATAAGCGATTTCTTGTAAGTCATTTTGAAATTGTAGATTGATTTGTTGACACTAACCTGTGAATTCTTTTTTATTTCCGCTGACAAGCATGAATTTCATCAGTTTCAACTTATCATAAGCAAAATAACTTTAACGACGTTGGTGATATTTTCTAAATTCTCAATTATTGCCTCATTCCCAGTTATATGGAAGGGATTAACAAAGTGGAAAATAATCCTCTATATCTAGTTGTTTCTCAGAGTTTATTTATGGAACCAACACATTGAAAAACGTGTTGTTGATATACTTAGAATACGGAACATTTTCTTCAGTTTGGAGGTCAATAAGGATTTATTTATTGACTTCAGGTTCATAAATAAGCCTCCAAAAACCTCCAAAATGAATTGACCTAGTGCTGAGTGGTGACTGGGTTCGATAGGTGATCCCTAAAGTTCCAGTGAGATGTCGCGACCAGTGGGCAAACCAAGTCGAACACGAGGACGGTCAATCAACGACTTCATTGGCTAGAGGTCACACTGCATTGTTAGCTGAAACAGATAGGAAGTGCGGACCTCTGGATTCAGACCCACTGGCTCAATGTTAATGCGCTGTGTGAGGAACCCGAAAGCATTGGGTTCGACTCCTAGCGAGGCCATGGGTGCGCGCTGCTGAGGAATCTCATACTAGGATGAAGCGCCTGTCCAGTGCTCTCAGGTTTCCAGTGTTTTTCCAACTGATATCAGCCCATGATGACTACTTACTTGAAATCAACATTTCTTTGTTTGCTTATTCTAGTGTCTATACTACCATTTTTGATTTTTGTTAAAAATGTTCATTAACCGTAAACGTGTCTCAGAATTTACACACAAACACAATATCTTAAACAGTAAACGTGGTAAATTTCTTTTATATTTTTTTCGATTAAAATAACTTTTGAAATGCATGTTGAGAAAATTTTCAGGGTAATATAAAAAGACAAATCGCGAAATATATTGGTATAAGTTCACTGTGTACTAATCAACCTTATACTCAGTTCATATGCGTATTCAAAGATGACAAATACACTTAAGATCTCAAAACTTCCAGTATAAGTGAAAAAAATCAGTATTCGGATGTGTAACCCCTGACGAGGTCACTGGCGTGCACTACTGAGGAATTTCATACCGTGATGAAACAGCTGTCCAGTGCTTTGAGGCTTTCAATGGTTCTCTAACTGATACCGGTTCATTATAAATATCGGTCTGGAATTTGCTTGTTTGTTGCTGCGCTGGACTCAAAATTTTAACACTCTCTTAGTCATGCTAAAAAAATTTATGTAGATAGCACCGTTTCAGCTACAAACTGGATGACAGAGAATCCAAACTTCATGATTCCAGTTGTAATAAGAAAGGTGAGCATCATTACTGGAAAGTACTTACAATTTTCAGCTTAGCTATACCTCTGTACGCTTTTTCTGAATAATCTCTTGGAAGCACAATTAACATTTCTCGTTGTTCTTGATTAATTAACGGTTCTGTACGAGTTTGTTTCATCTAAACGATACAAAGGGAATTAAAATGACTAAAACCATTGATTGAATAAAAAACCAGGGTAGGTTTTTACATAATATTGGTTTCTGGTGTAACAACTGACTAGGTTCAACAACTAATTATACAGGATTAAAAAACTTGTCGTAAAGGCTTCCAAATGAGACAATGAACAGCGTGCATAAAAATCTCAGGCTTGATCAGTTAACCCCTTAATCACTAGGCTTGATGACATTCTTAGTATTAACTTCATCATGAAATTAGTGATGACGAGAACACCAAAATACGATCATTCTCATCCTGATCTGAGGGAACTTCTCGATTATCTCAGGATCACTCATTATGTATTCAGCCCAGATAATCATACGTTCCTAAGGTAGCTTAGATATCAAAAGCCAGAGATAAAGGGAAATACAACAAGAATAATTTATTTTATAAAAACGTACATAATTCCAACCGCACGCAATTTAAAAGGATATCGGCTAAAGATTAAAATGTCAGCAGCTTCTAAATATAACCTTTTTATAAAAGTAGATGAGATTAAAAATGGCTTTATGATGTATTGATACTGGGTGATGACTGAAGGTGAAGTGAAAATTTGGACTATATCCGGACTCAAAATGGTGACCACCGGGTTTCGGGCCCCATGTTCTGCTAACTGAGCTGCGAGGTCCGATCGCTGACCAGATCTTTTTCACTCTAATTGCTAAGGGTTTTGACCGACTACTATGTGGATTGGTGACACGTTACTGTCGCTTGGTTGTACTTGCACTGGCTGTTCAGTCAGTCAATCATGACCCCGTATGAAAAATACTGTGAGTTAAGCTCAGTTATTTAAAAGCATCTGATGTGAATAAGAGTGAAGGAATAAATATCTAAATTTGATAGAGGATGGTGTAATCAGATAACAGTTAGTAACGGTTATCAAAGTAGAAAGAGGTTGAAAAATGGCTTCTTTTTGAATGCTTATGAGTTATGAGTTATTTGGTGGTTATGGCTTCTAGAGACTTCAGTAGAATTGTGTTACTAAATTTGGCTATTATTTGGAAGGAGGTGAAGACATCTGGTAGATGTCGAAAAGCAAGTAGATGAGAGTGATTGTGTTGTTACTTCCCGTCAGTCGTTGGCTCTTCAGAATATCTTCAGTAAAGTCAAGGTACACCTTTCCTTGTCCTTTTGCAAAAGTTTCCGTTTAATTACTTACCGACATTCTGTTTTCTTGTAGTGAGTTTAAGCATGTTAAGTATGGAGTTACACTATATATTTTGATATTCAGGGTTGTATACACTTTTGAAATTTTATTCTTCAAAAAGTTAGACATCTTTCATGTGTTGTAACCAACTACACCGACATGGATTTCGTATTATCATCGTTTAGTTTGATTGTCAAAGACTACCAAGATGGTACAGTTGTCAGCAAGATGGCTTGTCACATAATCTCAGTCATTTAATCATTTAGTAATTGACTATATCAAGTAACTACAGCTGACTGAGAAACTAATTAGTTTTCCTTTCTCGTAAGGTTACAGCTTATATAAGCTATTCGCATTCAGATCAAGCTTAGACAACTACATTGATGGAGGAATCTGATAAGCTGGTACTGATGAGTTACTTATGTGAAGAACTGATCTTACAGTATGCGAAACAATAATTCCCTTTTTTAGCACAAAAATATACACAAATGACCTCAAGACTGTCAGCTGAAATTATTTCAAAGAAATTAATTTAGGAGTGAAGTTAAAAGGTAAATATATTTTTGGAAAAAACTCATAATCTATGCTTACCAAATTCACCCATCCGTTTTTGTAACCAGTCTTAAATAGCTAGAAAATAAATACGTGAATGAATAAATCAGTATGACACATAATATGACAGTCTTGTGACGACAAAAAGTTGTTACGATCTATACTTTCTAGCATATTTGTTAGATATGTCTGGTCCCTAACACTAGTAGGTTGATTGATTCGTGTTGTCTAGTCCTTAATGAAGACTAAATTTTACCAATCATATGTGCAATATAAACATCAAGCTAGGAGGCTCAGCAGAGCGGTGCGCATCGGTAGATTTTAGTTTTTGAGGGTAACCGGCAGGAGACCCTGGACCCAGACTTCATACTTGCTGGCACTCATCAACAGGGCGTATTTGCAACCTTGATGGAACTGACGTCGCGACTGAGATTTGAACCCACCTCACCCATACCTTTATTTAGATATGTTACCACTGAGATATTTCGACCACGAATGCTTTACTGGTTGCTTGACTCTGAGATTATCTTGTGAGATCAATTTTGATTGCATTTTTACAAAGGGATTATCACTGAAATATACCAATGATTAGAACCTACCTAGAAAATTTGAAATCTTATTTTCAGTTTACAAAAAGGCCTTAATTAACCTTTTAATTAGATAGGTTCCTTTTTTGATTAAAATGTGGAAATAACTTTCAATGTGGATGAACATCATCGCATAATTGACAAAAGTAAATACCATCCAATTATTATTTAGGATTTGTAGGTCAGGGAAGTGTATATAATCTGGGTTTACGTCAAGCTACTATTTAATAGGGTAGTGTTCATGACGTCATGGTATATGACTCACCACAATCTCCACCTTACTATTTTATTTTACTCTGCATATATATCTACGGGCTTTGCTGAACACTATATTGGAAAAGACTCAGACCTGAGTGTTCACTTCAATGCGACTGTATTCATATGCTCACTTATGCATACTTATAAATATGTATATATATGAAGAACAATGAAGGTTGTTCATTTTCAGTGGAATGGCTTTTAGAAACATAAAGCTAGGAGTACACCATATTTTCATGCTTAGTTGACTTAGAGCTTTCTTTTCATAACTAAAAAGGTAGTGATTGCCTTTCTACGTTACTTTAAATAATCGTAATTATCTGCAGTGACATATAAACCACTGAAATCAACGGTTTACAAATCAATAACATAGATATGCGTGTTAGCTATGATAATTCTAACAGACTTGTTTGACTGGAAGTAATGGGATTTGGTAAACACCACCTAGAATAATATGGATAAACCTCAGTTATTTAGTATGATTCTAAAAATATACCATCTCTTTAGACGTTATAGCTTCTATACCTAGGTGAAGAGTCCCAAGTAGGATGAAATGCAGTTCCCGGATTCTACTCCTAACCACTATCCATCATTATTATGCGATTTATCTTAGCGGTCAATTTAATGTCTCGTTTTGGTTTCTACTGTTAACTTTCGAACAAGTACAACACATAAAAGTTCTTATTTTTTGTACATGTTGAGATTGTATTCATAACCTCCAGAACAGTTAGTCCCCTAAAGTTGGTACTTATACATTCTAACCATATTTATAAGCTTTTATTTCTTTATTTCCATCGCCTTGGCATACGATAAAAGACCTAAGCTAGTCCGAATGAAATTGACAACAATCCAAACGAACCATCAAGTAACATTTTTATGAGAAAAAACACCAACATGATTTCTATACGCATCAGCTGATTTCCATGAGCTTCAGAACTCGTGCAATTACTGACCTTGGAAATTCAACAGACACATCTTGGTAGGTAGTTCCAGTTCTGTAGCAAGTAGGGCTTTTATACAATACTTGGGACCACCTTTCCAGAACGAATGAGGATGAAAATCAGCGTAAGTCGTTTCATAACTTGAAGTCGGGAAAGAGTTAGACGCTCCATATGGATGCAGCATTTTGTCAAGTAATTATCCAACGTCCAAGTCTAATGAAAACCCCTTCCACGAATTGTTTTCATCAAAAATAACATAACACTTATAATTCATAGTCGTTACGCTCTAAAATGTTACTATCGATGATCCTACTGAGAAGGATACAGAATTCTTGCGATTTCTCAGTTATGCCTTCCAAGCTTGCTTTTCGTTGCTCTGAAGTCCGAATGCTTGGGTTGTTAAATGAAGGAGTTCTGAAATTCTGTTAAGCATATTTTCAGGTCAAGAAGCTGCTATATTTAGTGGAGAACATTAAGCTCCAATAATCTCGCTTGGTTAACTAGATCAGTAGTTACTACCCGATCCTAAGCACGGGTAAAGAGGAAAGGTTGGGCATAGGACTACCAACCCTACCACGTAAAACCAATCCAATTGCTACAAAAACTTCTAAGCACAAACAAAATGTAGAAAATAAAAACTAACTCATTTCTCGCTGGAATCGGAGAAACGAAATGATGCCAGTTGATGAAAGCATTCAGGAAGCCAGTTGGATGATGTGTCTTCTCTCACTCGATGAAAGCAAAAGTAAACATGGGGACATGGAATGTCCGCACTAGGATTGAACCTAGCAAGGCTGCCCAGATTGCAAAGGAGATGAGAAGGTATAGCAAAAGAAGTGCCAGAGATCTGTGAAAAAGGGCGGAATGGAAGTGGAATCTCCAAACTCTTAACTGGAGAGCCAATAATTGTCACCCAGATGACAGTCACGAGCACACTGAGTTTTAGAGTGGCTGTCATGATATCTCCAAGAGCATCGAAGGCTCTCATACAGTGGGAACCAATCTCCTCCTACACAATCATGACAGCAAGATTCAACTCAAAAAGAAAGTCACAAGCGTTCAGTGCTACGCGCCAACAAATAATGCAGATGAAGAGAAGAAGGAGGAATTCTACAGACAACTGCAATCAGCACTCGACAAGACTCCACCCCACTTGGAGATATCAAAATTCTAATCGGCAGTATCAATGCCAAGCTCGCAGCGGACAACTCAGGAAGAGAACTAACCATGGGTAGAGAAGTGCCAGGTGAAATGAATGAGAATGGAGAATTGTTCGCAGAATTCCGTGCATTCAACAGTTTGGTGATTGGAGGCAGTGTGTTCAAGCACAAGGATATCCACAAAGCGACATTGTTTGAATTTCACCATATGTGCACACGAAAAATCAAATCGACTTTATCTGAAAGTGAAGAAAGTGGAGACGCAGTCTACTTGACGAAATATGAAGAAGGGGAACAGATGTAGGTCCACACCACTCACTACATAATGCAAAGAACATACCTTCAAAATCAACTTGAAAGCCTTCAAACAACCTGGTGGAGGTAGACCACAGTTCAAGTTCAACACCCGGAAACTGAAGTACGAAACTACAAAGAAAATCTTCACGTCAGCCATCAAGACAAAATGGGAGATATCGAGTAACATCCCTGAAGAAACCTTAACCGTTTTAGGAAGGAAGAAGAAATAAGATAAGGAATGGATCTAGACGGACACATGGAAGCTGATAGAGTAGGGAGAGAAGGATGGTGAAGCAGAAGATGAACCAGTGCAAGGATGAAAAACGAAAATAAAAATTGAGTCCAACGTTTAAAACACTACACTGGACAAAGACGTGAAGAAGAATGCGCGCGAAGACAGAAGACACTCCTACGACATATGGACAAGGGAAGAAGAACAGGATGCTGGTAGGAGAGACCTGACAACATTGTACCAAATAACCATAACTATCTGGGAGGGTAGAGATCAACGCAGGCGAGACCGATGAAAGATAGAGAAGGAAAGCAAGTTAGCGAAGAGAAGAAACAAAGGAAACGATCTACTGACTACTTCAACAAACTCTTGAATGGTCCATCACCTCCAACTCGTCCAGAAATACCAGCAGCAATGGCAGAACTACCAGTGATCACAAGCCCTCCGACAAAAGCAGAAGTCCTGAATGCCATAAAACTGCTGAAATTCTAGAAAGCAGCAGGACCAGATAAAATTCCGCCAGAAGCACCGAAAACAGACACAGAGACTACAGCAGACATGCTGACATCACTATTGCAGAAGGTCTGGAAGGAAGGGGAGGTACCTGCCCATTGATTGGAAGAAGATCTACTTTATCCAACTCACAAAGAAGGGAGACCCATGTCTTTGCAAGAACTGATGTGGAATCATGCTGTTGTCCACCCAATGCAAGCAAAATATCATGCCGCATCATCCTGGAGATACTAGAAGTTGTGCTGGATTCGAAACTATGACCGGAACAGGCTGGATTCAGGAAGTACAAATCATATGCGGACCAAATTCCAACGCTTCGCATCATCATAGAACAGAGTATAGAATGGTAGTCAACTCTCTACCTCAACTTTGAGAAGACCTTCGACAGTGTAGACCGATAAGTAATTAGGCAGTTGCTTCAACACTAAGGAATACCACAAACCTTTATCAACCTCATTCACCAGCTATATGAAAATATCATATGCCAAGTGATTCACAGTAGAAAGGTAGTGATGCCTTTGAAGTGGAGGCAGGGGTAAGACAAGCCTGTCTACCATCACCGATGATCTTCTTGGTTGTGGTCGACTGGGTCATGCAGAAACCGTGATGAGCGAGAAAAGGGGGATACGCTGGCTGGAGCGGGGAAAAGATCCTAGGAGATTTGGATTTTATCGACGACCTGTGTCCAATGTCGCACAAACTCGAAGATCTACAGGCAAAAACTAACGAGTTGACAGAAGAGGTAGGATAGCCGATTGAACGTAGAGAAGACAAAGGTAATGAAGATACCCAACCAACAACAGCATCAACAATAAGCACCAACAACCGTGAACGGGAGAAACATAAAGGAAGTAGCCTCTCTCACCTAGCTAGGCAGGGAGAGACGTTTCAACTGCAGGCAGCAACACAGACGAGGACGTCAAAGCCAGGATCGGAAAGACAGAAAGACAGGCCTTCCTGAATTAACCTGAAACCAGTGTGGAGATCATCTGCACTCAGCATAAAGCGTGAACAAAATCCGCATTTTCAACACTAACTCATTCAAGTCAGTGCTTCTTTGTGATGATTCAGAGACTTGGGGCGTTGCGAAAGGGATTTCCAACAAACTATAGACATTCATCAACAACTGCCTACGCTCGTTACAGATGGACAGAAAGAATGAGCAACATATAACTCTGGCAACAAACCAGCGAAGAATCTATCGCTCAACAAATATGCAGAAGGAAATGGAAGTGCACTGAGAAGACCATTCAGGGATATCACGCGCCAGGGAAGGTACTCGGGTGGAACCCAGATGGAAAACGACGAGTTGTGCGTCCGAGGGTGACATGGAGGAGATCGTGTGAGGAAGAAATGACAGCTTGTGGGGAGTCGTGGAGGAAGGTTGAAAAGTTTGAAGAGAAGAGAGTGGAATGGATATGTGTTACTGAAGCCCTATGTTCCACTATGAACTCAAGGGATAAATAATAATAATTAAGCTCCAACATTTCGTCTCACTGTTTTAGTGTAAATGGCCAATTAGAGGTAAATGCATCCTATGGTAAACGCTCATAAATGCGTTAGCAGCACACTGCTAGTCAGCATGATGTACGAAATAGCGCCAAACACTGCCAGCTTCACCAGGAACTGCATGTCATCCGGAAACAACTCCAGCAACCCTTGTTAGCAACCAGGATTACACATTTATAATTTCATGAAGAACGTAATAGGGATAAAAACCTTCTAGTAACCGTTGGTGACAAAGTAACGTGGCTTGGTATCTAACCTTCTGTCAATTGGAACGACTGAGAAGGGTACCTTTTTCGGAAAATGGGTTACACCATACATAAACATTTGGTTTTTATTCAGGCTAATATTTCAATACCCATTACGGGCGCTTAGATAAAATTAATTTTCCAACCAAATGAACTCAGCACATAATCGACATTTCGTTTGATCTGGTACTACAATGTCAGCAGGTTCCATGGAAAAGACTGGGTTGGTCACCATGACTGAGCCTAACTACAGCACAAACAAAGTGTAATAAGAGAAAAGAAACATTTATTAGCTATTACACTACGAGTAGTTATTGAGTGATGAAAATATCCATGTTACTTTGATTTAAAGGTTAGTCTAGGCATAAGACAAGGAATAAAGTTGACAGAAGATTCACTTACAGACAGATTTGAAAAAGTGGTTTCGTCGCACCCAATTCTCTAATTTACTACATGAGTTATAAGATCCCATTTAACATTGGCATCCTTTCCAGAAGTAGTCAACAATCATCTAAAAAATCCATCTATCAGTAAACTGGTTTCTAAACACTTGCGGTGTGTTTTGAACGGTCCTTAAAAGCCAGTAAGTTTTCTGTAAAACATCTGTTTTCAAACGAAATCAAGCAAATATTGATTGGTTAGTTAAAAGCAGCCAACTTCATTTTGCCGAGCCCTGAGTGTTGAACGATCGTTTTGAAACGTGGTCAGTAGGTCAGAAGATGTTAGTTAGTTTGACATAATTTATAGGAACCTCTGATGGGTTTCAGGCTTATTGATACTCATTTGTAAGGCGCATCTGCAATCTTGAAGGATCTTGTGTTCACCTCAGAGATTCAGACTAGCGCCATCTAGTCTTGCAGTCACAAACCTAACCAATACTCTATCTCAACTAGTTTCTAACGCATGCAAAAATGATGGATAGTGGATAGTAGTGGAATCCAGGATGCGTATTTCGTCCTGTTTGGGGCTTGTCAGCTAGAACACAGGTAATATCAAGGTATCCGCGCAGGAGCCCATATGCCAATAAAGATCGACCAATTCGGTCAAGTCAGCGACAGCATAATACAAGCAATAATACATGCAAAAAATGTTTATTAGTGGATGAAGGCGAAAATTCACTTTTTAACTTACAACCCAACTTTCATTCAACGATCGACTAAACACACATATCCATCCACGGTTTTGAATACGATTAGTCCATGCATGTATAAAAATATCATCATCCATCCAGCGAGCAAGCACCATTAGTCCATCTCTAATAGTGTCAAAGGAAAATAAAATTAAACAATGCAACTTAGAGAGACAGACAGAAGAAATCAACGGAGAACCTCGCACTAGTGTGCGAGGTATAGTATACATAGTAGTATACAAAGAACAAGTGGATAAAAAAGGTGTAATACCAAGGTAAACAAAGATGCATGAGGGAATAGCGAATTTAAACATTGGGATAATCAAAACATCCAAGCTTCAGAAAACGTCAAAGAATGAATGAATATGTGCCAGTGAGACCGATTTTGAGCCAGATCACGGAGTCTCCAGACACTGATTTCTATCCCCCCAGGACTACAGCCAGAAAGCGTACACCTCGTTACACTGCTCATACCAACAGTCAGAGATTTGGTAGATTGCTACTAATTCTTGGTAGGACATGGTAGCCTGCTTCAACAATGGGATACCAAAAATTTGCTGACGAATATATATTTTTAAACTCTTCTAAGTATATAATTTAAACGTGTCATGTATTCTTGAATGTTCTAAAATGTTGCTGGGTCGTAGTTTTTTTAGGCCCACAACAAAACAAAAGAAAAATGTTAGGCTGGTAAGAAATGGACTTATAAATGCACGAAAAGGCAGCATATCGCTATTCCTAGGATACTTATGTGGAATTGCAAAATTTTGTACGGGCTGAATAAGCCACCAAAACCAAGCTTTATCTCTAGTTTCTACTCACTCCCTAAACCGGACCGGAAGCTAAACTGCAATAATTATTTCGTTTGAAAATAGTGTACAAGGAGTGAGTTCGTTAAAGTATTAAATACTGAGAATTCCACACTGCATCACGCTTGCTGTCTGAAATAAAGCGATTATAATTATTTTAAAAAATTACTAATTATTATCATATTATTCCGAGTTAATCTGACATCGCTAAGGATTGTATGACAAGGTGGGCGGTGACTCAGCACACATAGCACATGCCTAAGCCATCTCAGTCAACAAAGGTTCATAGTTTTATCGATCGAATCCCTTTTCTTGCTTAGTGCTCTTCGCCTGTGATGAAACGGCGGAGACGAAATACCATATCTCAGAGAACATCAAATTACAATCATCCTCATCCTGAACTACAAATCTTTTCCATCTATTCACGTTTCTATCTGCTATAGTAGAAAGCGAATACAATGACCATTGAGACACTCGTGACCCAATTTGGCCAAGTATTTTCATTGAAAGTCGTATTAAAAGTATCACACACACAAGCGTGTATGCATAAGACAAACACCAGCTATAGATTAACAACAAGTAGCTAACAGTCATCATACAAATAATCTGATTAGAACCTGATAAAGTGGTGAACTACAAGTTTTCGGTGGAATTTATGTTTATAATAACTGAAGTTCTGATGATTTCCTAAAAGCCTGAACCAAACTCTCAAATGAAACATTACTACTGTTCTGTTTCAGTCCAAGGCAACTCCTATACGTTTTACTCATACTCATTCTGAAATGCGAAAAATTGGCACTTGATGCTTCAGTGGTATTTGTGACTGCACAGCCATACCACTGTATCCTGTTAAGATAAAATATGCACACAGTTCAGTCTCCAATAATGTGAGAGTTCGTATTGAAGTTTAAAGCGAGAAATTCAGAAATTAAATAGCTTCTATCAGGTAGCACATCTGTAAATCTTTGGATGTTCTGTCTATGCTGGATTAGGAGTATACGTCAATTAATCGACTTCGTGATGACTATTATACTGAGTTCCGTTAATCACTTGGTATTCTTAGTAATTCGTCAAGGCTTCATCACCACTTGTCTCTAAAGTGGGAATACATTACAGTTCAGTGACTAATCCTACTCATTTCATTCTAATGTACACTGTAGCAATAATCGTAATCTAACAAGCATGAGGTGGTCAAATTACATACTGTTTTCACTGGAGTTCACTGATTTCTTCATGTTTGCACAACTTTATATCCTCATAACTATAAAAAAAATACGCATACATGATTTAAACACTTACTGAGGAACCGGTTCTGGTCGAGGAATTATTTCCAAGGTTTGTGAATCACTATCGTATAAGTACAAGGCGACCACTGGATTATTATACAATGATGTTTCACCAGCCTGTGAAATTTAAAACAAGCAGAGCGTTTATGACATTTACCTCATCGGTCTCTTCAGTCTGAATTGAATATGTTAATTAATACGGTGTTATAAGAGCTTTTCCACTGGAGGCAAAAGGTGATTCATTGACTATAAAATAGTTTTCACTTAGCCTTGAATTCAGCTGCAGAATATTTGAAAAGTTGGGAATGCTGGACAGCTACTTTTTGTAGTTTGAAGTGCCTTAATAGCAATTAGTTAAAGTTGTGTGAGGGCATGTGTTCATTGTATGACATGATGGTTCTGAAGCCCATCATTTAAGTGGTTATAAGTGAGGACTGTTACGAAGTCTTAAGCTAGTGGGAAAAAGTTAGCCAGTGCTCCAAGGTCTTCATTGATAATTCAGTCATTATAGTTCTGTTGCTAAAGTCCCTTAAAAATAGATCTCTTTGTATGGATCAAATGATGCCGTCAGATAATTTATTAATACATTAGATAAATTTCATATTCATGACATGAGAATTTTCATGTTCCAGTGAATTATCAACTAGATTAACAGTTAGGATAATGAAAAACTGAACTCTTTCAGTAACTGTTTGCAACCCTCACTCATTCAGAATTAAGCTATATTTCTTATGTGAAGCTTAATGATACTAACTGACCGTCCGAAACTCGATAGGTGGAGTTGGGATCAAATTCGTGATCCACTGGCTGAAAGTCAACTGTTTAGACCAGTGAAGTATAGAAAAAACCACATGTAAGCATTTAAACTGTCAGTGCACCAGAGGGACTTATTTCCCATAAAATGTGAAATTAAAATTCGAACATCAGCTCTTCGTTGATTTTTATATCCATGGATGCGTAACGTAAAGCATCTTATTAGCCCACAAGGGATGATATTCATTGTTCTTGTTGCCTGTTACGTTTTTGATTACCCTAAGGAAATGAATTTCAAGGATCTGCCTTTGAACGATGTTGATGGAGATGCATAAGAAAGCTGGTTACTTTTAGAGCTGCCAAGAAAGACTAGTTTGAACGATAGCTGCTAGCTTGATGTGGTGGTCGGTCTTGTATATCACAGTGACCAGCGAGCTACACTATCTGGGGCGCTTGCTCCCTCCGGGTCTTACCATGACAGAAAGGTATGTTGAGCAGCAGTAAGAAGAAATCACCTACGGTTGCAGTGAAAATTGTTACACTGTGATGTGGATCTAGAGGCGAACTCAAACTCCGTGGATGACCCGGAGTACCATGCTACCTCCTCTTTGAAAAGAGGGGGTTAGAAGAGGTCAGCCTCAAAATAGCACATTCCTATAACTTCGAGGTATGCCAACCTCTGCGACATGGAGTCATATTTGAACATGAGTGCAACGAATCTAAATCTCAAGACTGCAGAAAGGCCGTATGTGACCGGCCTCAAACACATGTTCCTTGGGCTCGATGGTCACGCAATAGCCTTTTTCTTCAGGCAGCTCAAAATGGTCTAGCCTTTGACAGTGTGCGGATTCCGGGAGTGTGAAAAGCTTTCACAACTCTGCTAGCCTCCAGTTTCTCTTGGATCACTTTTCAGATACATGCCTTGTAATCTTTCCTCACATCCCTCAGTCCTACTTTATCTTTAGTTTCTTCCAGCTTTGCAGCTTTCGACAACGATCTAAGCTTACAGAACAGCATCCTAAGTCTCCTGAAACCGCGCTTCAAATTACGCATTAGAGTTTTCAATGTCCCTACCCGCCATAAGATTGATGATGACGAGTTTGAAATATGGAGAATTTTTTACATATTGGTTTGTTGGGAAAGCTGAAATGAACATACTCTGTAGTATTATAATGAAAGCTACTGTTTTTTTTTCGCTGGGAAGAAGACGCGAAACCGTTTGTCAGGCATCTCTACGAGGTACAAAAAGTGAGAAAGTAACTAAGATTTGTATCTAAGGGTGGGGATGAGGAATTGTTTAGCGTACTCCCAGCATTAGGGTTTGTTATTGAACATTTTAAAATCAGATTAGACGACCTTATCGGGATATTCTTAAAAAGTGAAGCATATTTTCATTCGGATGGTTGTTTATGAAGGATATTTGACGGCATTGAGCACGGTTGACCTATACGACCTTATGACTTACCGTCTGATTACTGATTTGCTTAACTGATTTCTTAGTAGTCCATATACTAAGGCACCGCTTATGTGTTTGCTGATTGTCGATTATTTGGAAAACCGTACTGCCAAGTATTCCCTTTCAGTTTTTGAGATTGCCTATGGTAGTATCCCCCTGTTGTCTCAACCGAAGCCGTAGTTGTGCTCATCTATGTGCATAGATTACAATGACGACAAATCGTATCACATGGCTGCTACTTCATATTCACAAATTCTTTGAACTATTTTTCAACTTAATTGAGCAACGTAGTGATGTTGACAGTCATTGCAACCAATTTTTTATGTCATAAAAACGTTTCTTATTTTATTTAGAGGGGAATCAATTAAAGAATGTTTTCCTTTGTAAAACTTTTCTTCATGGTGTAGAGTTACAAGTACAAGTACAGTTTAGAAAGAAGTCTTGATTAGTGAGATGCAATTCATCTTAAGAAATGTCGCTGTAATTCAATAAATACTTTATTATGTTTCTTTCTGCTTTACATGTCCGCGCAACACCTTCATATACTCTCGACACATCTAGAAGACATAGCGATATATTCATGTCCCTTGTAATACTGCTGAGAAATTCTGTGCTAGAAAAAAACCGCTGCCCAATGGATTTTAAGGGTGACTTGGTATGATTTTGTTTTTTTACATGAACTACTGCTGACAATTAGCATCATAACTGAACATATAAAATCAAGTAGCTGTAAAGTAGTTTGTCAGCTAGTGTACTATTTCAGTATGTTTGTGACCTTACAAACAGTTTGGTTTAAATAGCTGGTATTAACCCCGTCAAGAAGCACATAACACAGAAGTGGCATCAAGGAATACTATAAGTGATGAAATCTCTGCAATACATAGATACAGCGAGCAGTGGTTACGCTAGTGCTTAGTATATGAAACCAGCATGGTAACGAATTCTATTTCTTGACAATCACCTCACTCCATTATCATTTACTGAATCGCAGAGTTTAAATATAGTTTATAGTCATTGATCAGTAGTGATATCTCAGTTATTCATACAATAAAGGTTACTTGCATTCTGCTAATTGTTAGCTGAAACTTTTGTTTAAAGATACACCATATGGATTCATCTCTGTCTTAAAATATCTGTTGACGATAGAAATTTAACTGATAAGTCAATCAACACAAGACGTTATTTCATATGTACTTCAAGTAGGACTGATAGAAAGCGGCCTTAATGGAAATCAACATTTTAAGCCATCAGCTCCAAGGTAGACGTTTTGTATTTCATGTCACTGTGTGGTCAAGAAAAAGATGATTAGAAACGTTTGTTCTGCAGTTGGCCAATAAGAATAAGTCACTTTGCTTTTGACAGATTTGTTTTTTACGTGCAGAAAAACTATACAGATGATGTACTTTTGTCAAATGAAGTACGTTCCCTACAGTCTTAGATCAGTCCTTGTCTACACATATATTCTTGGTTGAATGAATTATAAGGTATTGAGGGAGAACAGTAGCTATTCGTATCTCATCCAAGTGTCTAATCGCTTTAACATTGGGCTGCTTCAGTGGGAACTTCCGCCAGTAATCAAATTATGCAGGATAAAATAACACTAGTTTGCAGTCTTCACAACACATAGGGGCTCAGTATCAGAGGACAGATATTAACTCATAGACAAAAACAGCTTGGATTGGTGACATGGAGACGGCGTGAATACAATTCATAAAACCTTCAGTTAAAATATAAGTCTCACTCCATTATTTTGGTTAACTTATACACTTACCCTATAGAAACTAATTTAGTTCTAGTGTATTGATGGGACCTACTACCAATGCTTGACTGTTTCCCCCCTTCCCCTGTGTTTTTTGCTTTGCTCTGCCTATAGTTAGTGGTATTAGACTATCTCTTTGAAAAATTACAGAAAAAGCATAAGAGCTTCACTCATTGGCATTACTTTTCGAAAGTCTTTCTTGTCAGCAAATCGACTGATTCTTCAAATTGTGTTGCCGAAACCAAATTCTTAATATCCTGAAACAAAGCCACTGGTTAAAAATGAAATTTAAATTACATTTTTATTATTTTATTTTTGTTGACTGTCTCATCTATTTTACGCTGGTAGTTTAATAAACCAGACGCTTAATTTTTTGAACTGATTACTTCTGAGTTCAGTAAAATAATCATAATTTCAAACAAGACATGAATAAATAATAGTTATTAAGAGACCGAGAGGTTAAACACATTTATGCGATCGGTACAAGTTAAGGTAAAAAGGTCAAACAAGTGCAGCTATTAGGAAGCGATATAACCTTGACTTGTTCCACCCCTTTTGGTAATTTAAGCCTCAGAAACATTACTTTGATTTCTTTTACACAAGATATTTCTTACAACTGAACAGTAGTGAACGTAAATCAGAATACGATCAGAAAGCTGAGTCAATGTTCGTCTTTTTATCCATAAAATGTACGTTCTGCTTGAAAATCCATAGATTCCAGTGTTATAAACCATTCACTTAATGAATTTCTGAAAATGTACTAAGAAATGTACACAAATATATTATATTTTTATTCCTCGGACAATTAGCTCGGATAGCAGATTCTTGTACTGGCTGAATGATCTATCCTCACTATTCTTATACTCGATCTCCCGTGTGTTCTCCATTCTACATTGAATACTACTAATTCAATACACTATCTAACTGTTTCACAATACTGCCTTTATTAGTTATACCTAACATCATTCAAATTCGGTGGTCATTTTGTTTGAAAATATTGCTCAAAGAGTGAATTTGTTAAAATATTACATGCTGAGACTTTCATAATTTACCATGGTGGTTGTTAGTATTAATACAGTTAACAATTTATATATCAGTACTCTGTACTTCTTGTGTATAGCATTCAGAAGTCCTATCACTTGAGTTTAACAACTGAATTCATGTACGGTAAGATGTATGAGTAGTCTAATGAAAAAGCAGTACTTATGAAATATGCAAAATTCACTAAGCTTTTGAGGTGAAACAAGTAATGAGATGGAAAACAGTAGTTTATTTACTTTTTTTATTTCTAACAACAATGTATGAGGTAGAAGGTAATTGCAATGACTACCTTAGAAACAACTAGAATAACTGGTTGAATATCTTTTTTATATGCATATTTACCTTTCTCGGAGAAATAAAGAAATCCGAATGGTTTTTCCAACTGTCGTTGGAATGGCCTTTGAAGTCACCTCCTGTTTAAGCCATCTACATCACAAATATAATTGTGCATTACGTGGGCTAGACGTCTAACGTCACAGTCTCTTCGAATTAGCTGGTGTGACCTTAGTGCCTGTAGGACCAACTCATGCACAGTGATCGAGAAATAACACCACTTAACACTAGCATTGAGCATTTCTCTCAGGGCGTCGATCATGAAACAATAAGAAATTCAAAGTGAGAGTAAGTCTAGAAAATCGACTAAGCCGTTGAAACAGAGGTTTAACAAGTATAACTCTCAAATTCAGGTTACTTACCATTGGATATTTAACCTTAACATTGTTATTTTCAAATTCATGTTCACCATCAAATTTCAGTATTTCGTAAGTACTAACATTTGTTTGATCGAAGCCAGTTATTACTAAATATTTTCCACTTTTACTCCACCAGAGCGCTTCATTAGTATCTAAAACTTCTTCTGGATAATGGAAATTTAAAAAAGATTGAAACAGATACAATGATACGTTTTGAAACAAAAAAAATTAGCTCAGTTGGCAGAGAACCTAACCGGGATTCCGAAGTCTGCTGATTCCAGTACTGCCGCAAATCAGGTTTTCACCACACACTCACTCAGTCATCACCCCACGTTAACAGCTGTCATTTGAAAACATAAAGGCAGTTTATTTGAATTGTTATATGTAATTGTGTAGCAAGTTTCAAGCAATCTTAGTGATTTTTTTTACTTATTTCGGTATTAGAAGTTTCATTTTAGTTTTCGATTCTTCTCCAAGTTTCACGCCAGTCTTCAGATTTATGGATGTTTTCACAAAAAGGCTGAGGGACCTGTTCACTTGCCATGTAGGAAATTTTCGAGCATTAAGTCCACATGTAAAAAAACACTTTGATTAGGGTATTGTATTAACGTCTACTCAAACCGACAAGTGATATTCAACAGTCCTTCCAACTCTCAAGCCTCAACATATCCAAATCAACCGAGTAATCCTTTCGTCAACTGTATCCATTTTTTCGTGAGTAGATGAACATAGAAAGCATTTCACTGGGGTCTTCACAGCATTGGATACCTAAGGGTAGTCCATCTTTCTGTAAGAAATTCTTCTAGGATGCGTGACCCATGATCCTATATTGTAAACACATCCAGAGTGGTGATTCGCTTCAGCGTGCTGAAATACAGCCAGAGCTATTACCAACAATATCAGCATTCCAGACTAAATATCGGTCACTTTCGCAAAAGTAAAACTACTTTCATCTCTTAAGATTGCTTTAAAAATAATGAATACCGGAATTAGGAAGCTGAATTCAACTTACGTTTCGTTTGTACTGCCCCTAGAAGGCTGGCTGGATTCCTGACAGCTTTAAAAATCATCCGTGGTTTGGACATCCGCAATACTGATTTTACGCCTAAGGGTATCCTCAGCAACATTTTTCCTACATCAACTTAATAGCGCAGTGGTTGGTATTTAGCTGGTCTAAGAGGACCCTGACTGCCGCACTTAAATAAGCTTGACCCGTAGTTCTTAATGCACAGAATTTCACCGGTTTTCATGAACCAGAATCACCAACCAAGCACCACCTAACCGCGTTGTATATCTGCTTCTTCAGTTTGACATTCTAGTACATAACTTGGAGAGGATCTGCGCTACATAAAGAGACATATTTACGTTTGCCTGGGTTTGTGTCTTCTCATTATATCTTTACTGTTCACCTACGCTTAATTCGTGAATAAGACTCATACGATTACTTCAGACAAGTGCGTGAGTGCGTGCACACGATCCGATTGTTCAGAATGCCTTTCAGGCATAAAAGTTGATTGCAAAAACGTGCAGTCGTTGATTAAAACAAAATTTCACCCTACTCATCTTTTCAAGACAGACATTTTTTTTAAGTAGTAAGCATGAGAAAGCCACTACTGGGATTAATCATTGGATAACAATGGATATAACGCTGCATTCTGTCTAGAATTTATCAATCAACTCATACACTCTATTGGTAGTAGGGGTGAAACTTGGACCAATTTTTGTCTGATGATGAACACTTTTGGTCCAAATAGTCATGGAAACAAAATCTGCTTGATAGTTTTCTTCTAAATCAGCCTCAAATTGAATGAAAAATAAGTTTTATTTTTCGAAGTTTTATAGATTTAAATGAAATTATGATAGATTAACTTGATTGTTTCGTTTTGTCTACTGTCGTCAACAAATTTACGTGCTAGTCGGTTACTGGAATGTTCATAAATTCTTTAGAATCTATTAAAGAGATCTGATTTTCCCCTGTTTTCATTCAAATAAGGATTGTATTAAAATCTGACAGAAAATATTCAGAGAAGAGATTGATACAGTTTGTCACTGAAGTAGTTCATCCTTATGAATCACGTAGCTGTCAAAAACTGATCAAAGTAATCGAGTTAAAGACATATTTTGCAGTTTGAGGTCTATGGGTATTTTATTTTATTTCAAATTAGTTTTCATCATAGAATGATATCACTTTGAAAGTAGCTGAAATCCTCGAACCACTGGATAGCTGTTTCAGCCTAGTATGGGACTCCTCAAAAATGAGCATCAATTAACTCCCCAGTGGTTAAGCTCAAGGTCTTCAGGTGCCGCGGCGAAATTAACAATCACTCAACCACTGAGTTGAGGTTAGTTGGTCCACAGTCTCCTACTTCTGTTACCTTCGGTCCAGAGGAAGAAGAGCTAACGCGTTTCCTGTGAGAGCTGAAGGTTCTGAGTTCGATGCCTGGTGGGTCTGGGTTGTAAATGCATACTGCTAAGGAGTCACACCAGGATTAAACACCTAATCATAATTATTATTTTTACCCTCTTTCAACTTGTATTTTGTATGATTACCTTTGAATTTTCAGTCTGTAAAATGCTTTATGATGTAGACAAAACTTATAGCACTGATGTGTACTAGTAATAATCACCTGAGATACCTGACTACACAAATTTGAAGAAACATTACACCAGTACTCACCTTCGTATAGCCATGTTGATACTCCGTACAAAAAATCACTTTGTGGAAGGGAATGTGTAACATTTACAAGTTTCTTTTTGCTGGCATCAAATGGATTTAAGAGTAAGTAGACATTTTTCCGATAAACAAAAGCCTAATCAGGGAAAAAAAGAAATAACAGAGAAAACTATCATTGAGCAAAGAAAGAAAAGCAAAGGAAGTAGAATTTTCAGAATCCGCTTAAATTCGGAGGATTCTCTTCTGCTTATGGTGAAATCTTTTTCCATTGTTGCTGTATTTCTTGTTCTCCTTAAACTTCACTTTTCATTAAGCAGTTGTCAGACTGATGAGAAGTGGTATGTGCAAACTATAATCAGTTGTGAGATTTTTTAAAGTAGTAGTTGGAAATGGTCTTCACTCCATTTAAATGTAGGAAGAAGTTTTGACTCAGAATGTTCTAATACACTTGAAAAACAAAAATCTTAGGGAGATACAGAAATAAGTATTCAGCAAGACTGTTGAACACATGGTTGAAATTCTGCATCCCTTAAGTATAGTGATTTATAGCCGAGTTGTTACAAGGCACCAAAAGTCTTTACACTAGTCAACCGACAAGAAGTTCTAACTAAGTACTGAATTAGGGAATTCACTACTATCTGATTAACTCACCTGTATTTATGCCCCAAAAGTAGGCATACTTTTAACTCCATCTGGGGAGGTTGCATTAAGAGGTATGCCTCAGATTGCTAACTGCTTCAAATTAAATACTTGCGTTAATTGTAATCACACCTATTGATATGTACTGCTCAAGAGCCCCACGATAAGACGAAATAGCTGTCTTATGCTTCCAAGTTTTCAAAGTTTCTTCAGATAATATTAGTCTGGGATGAATACCAACTTGAAAACCAACATATCAATAAACTATCATTACCTTGTCCACTGATGATTCATTTTAGAATGGTCATATATATTCAAGAATTTTCAGTTTACCTCTTTCTACTTGTACACTTAACTAGATTTCCAAAGTAATTCTATCTCTTTGTTTATTCAATTGCTAGGAAACTAGTGAAACAAAAACATAATACCTGCTGCAGAATGCTACTTAAATTCCATCTTTCAAGTTTGTTAACCTAATAAAATATAGGAAATGGACATAATTTGAGAAAATGAATCGTTAACTTGAGAAATTCGTTCACTTACTAGCCGATCACATTTGGGTGACCATTTGATAAGATTTAAATACGGTTGTTCAATTGCTTTATCAATAATACCAACTTCAATTCTCTGTTCAACGGAAGTTCCATTTTCCGACCTAATCATAAATGATGGAATGTTATGTGAAAAGAAAAATCTTTTAAAATAATTGGTTACCACCTAGATGATTATTTTATGAAGATTTATCATTGAAAATACTAGAACTATGCTTGAAGTTGAGTATTTCATGGTGCACCTAAAACTGTTGGATCGATGACTCTCTGACCAAAAGAAATACAGTTATATCATTTTTGTGAGGGCTTCGCTGGTTATTAAATAGTCTTTATTCAAATATCATACCGGTTGTAATCTTTGGAATCATGAAAAGAACTTAAAAAACCTAGTGTGAAACTGCTTGTTAGCACATATTTCTCACTGCACTAACTGATGACAGGTAAGATACGGCATGGTTGGTAGGAAAGTGATAGACAGCGATTACTGAAGAAATCTGCTTCAGTGCCCAGTTTACCAAATCTAAATTAATATACCTATTTTCCAGTTATTTTAACTTATTCAACTCAAATTCCTGATGAAACCTTGTATGACGTCGAAAGTTCAGATAAGAAAACTATAGTCTCAGAGAACAGTTAAACTTGAATACATTTCTTCGTGAATCGTGCATAAACGCTCGACTTTCAACATAGCAATATGGTAATTCGGTCTTACATAAAAACAATAATGACGGAATTAAGCTGGATAATTACAAACGTTTACTGCAGGAAGGCGTTCACCACTATTCTATATTTGTTTCCAAAAGATAAAGCAGTCAGTAAAAAACTCAGTAAAATTTTGCTAATAATTCCCAAAGCTAACAACTAACACAGGATAGATACGACAAGATAGGCAAGTCAGTTTCAACTGTTCTCACTGCATTAGCACCTGAGACAGTTAGTTATCGTTTTGCGTTAGGATACATTACGTATACCTAGCCACTGGCTACTTAGACGCGTTATGTTAACCAAGGTAGAATTGGGTTCGAAGAAGACGCAGTCACTAATCCAAGAAATTAAACCCGTTAATGAAGTCTCCGAGTGTTGGTCTTAGCTGTGTAGCAGGATATTGACTGACTGGTTGAGGTCTTCAAGATGATAGGAACCAGTGATTGGAGATTGTCGGTGATACAGTGGTGGATATGCGAACACTTCTTGTCATTTTAGTCTTAAATGTTTTTATGAACTTCCATGTCTTCATTCTTTCCCCGCTCCTGCATATTTATGCACTTTAATGGTTATCATTTTGTATTCGTTTCTTAATACACTTCTGTCAGTTAGGTTCCACATTGATTTGCTTGTCTATGCGCTAAGATTACAGATACTGTACGGTAATCAAGGCCTTTGCAACATTACCAATTTAGGTGTATCTTACTAAATATAATAAGTGAATGAATTATTGAAAAAACAAGTGTGATCTTCAGGTCTTTTCCTAAGGTTTTATTAGCCTACTTTTTGTCAATGGACTATACATCAATATGTTGCAGTGGAATCCAGGATGTTTGTTTTGTTCCACTCTGGACTGATCAGCTGGACAAACAAGCAGGTGACCATGTTCTCGTCGAGGCGCGAACCCTAAACCCACAGCCTCAAACACCAAAACGTCATCCACTAAGCCACTGAGGCAGGAAAGTCACTTCATTTGTAATGGATATCACTTGTTGTCATGATTTTTGTAATTTCCTGTTGCTCTACAGGGCCGAATTGATCGACCTCTATTGGCGGATGGGCTCCTATGCGGATGCTTCGATACTCCCAAATATTTATGATGTTACATTCATCTTGGTAACTACCAAAAAAATTGGGGACGCGCGTTTAGTCCTATTTTTCTAAGTCATAGGATAGATGTACCTGACCGCCAGTGTTGTTATGAGTGAAACTAGAGCCCAGTATCTATCACTTTAAACACGACAGCGCTATCCACTGAGCCACTAAGGTACGACATCCACCTGTTGTGCAACGGGCATCAGTCGTTGCTATGATGCTTGCAATTCCCAGTTGCTATACAGGGTCCAGTAGCTCGATCTCTGTTGGAACCTCTGATAGTCACTGACATCAGTATAGCATCGTCAATATTTAAGAGTATCAAGGCATCCACATAGAAGCCAATTTGCATTTTGGCCCTGTATTATTATTATTATTATTTTCCCCTGGGTTCCTGGTGGAAATTAGGGCTTCAGTAGCACGTCTCCATTCCACTCTGTCCTCTGGAGTCTTTTGAACCTGACGCCACGACTACCCAGAAGCTTTCATTTCTTCCTTACATGACCTCCTTCATGTCACCCTCAGCTCAGACGCCTAACTTGTCGCTTCTCCCTTCAATTTCACTCGGAGGCCTGGTCTGAAGCGTGATATCCCCAGCCGGCCTTCTCAGTGTATGCCCAATCCAATCCATCTCCACTTTCTTCTGCATATTTGTTGAGTGATAGGTTCTTGGTTGGTTCGTTCGCAGGCCACAGTTCCTTGTTGCTTATTTCTTCTGGCCATCTGAACTTCAGTATCGAGCCAGAGTAGGCAGCTGTTGATGAATGTCTGTAGTTTGTTGGAAGAGATTTTCGTGACGCACCAAGTTTTTGAGCCATATGTCAGCACTGACTTGACTGACTTAGTGTCGAAGATCCGGATCTTCTTCTTTGTGCTAAGTGCACTAGATCTCCACACTGATTTCAGATTAATGAAAGCCTATCTGGCTTTTCCAATAATGTGTTCGATATTCTCGTCTGTGCCGCCTGTAGTTGAAACGTATCTGCTTAAGTGGGTAGGTGAAAGAGACTAACTCCTTCAGAATTCTCCCATTCATGGTGATTGGTACTTGTTGTTGCTGAGTATCTTAATCATCTCTGTCCTCTCTACGTTCACTCGAAGAACCGTCTTCGCTGCCCTGCCACTTCTGTCAACTTGTGGGTTTTGCCTGTACATTCTCGAGCTTGTGCGACATTAGACATAAATCATCATCGTTGGTGAAATCCAAATCTTCTACAGTCTTTTGATCGGTCAAACAGTATATGCCCATCTTCTCGCTCATCACGGTTTCCTCATGATCCAGTCAACCACAATGAGGGAGGTCATCGGTGATAGTAGGCGGCAGCCTTGTTTTACTCCTATCTTCACTTCAAAGGCATCACTGACCTTTCTACTGTGAATCACTTGGCATATGATATTTTCATATAGCTGGTGAATGAGGTTGATAAAGGTTTGTGGTATTCCTTAGTGTTGAAGCAACTGCCTAATTACTTATCGGTCTACACTGTCGAAGGTCTTCTCAAAGTTGAGGTAGAGAGTTGACTACCATTCTATACTCTGTTCTATGATGATGCGAAGCGTTGGAATTTGGTCCGCATATGATTTGTACTTCCTGAATCCAGCCTGTTCCGGTCATAGTTTCGAATCCAGCACAACTTCTAGTATCTCCAGGATGATGCGGCATGATATTTTGCTTGCATTGGGTGGACAACAGCATGATTCCACATCAGTTCTTGCAAAGACATGGGTCTCCCTTCTTTGTGAGTTGGATAAAGTAGATCTTCTTCCAATCAATGGGCAGGTACCTCCCCTTCCTTCCAGACCTTCTGCAATAGTGATGTCAGCATGTCTGCTGTAGTCTCTGTGTCTGTTTTCGGTGCTTCTGGCGGAATTTTATCTGGTCCTGCTGCTTTCTAGAATTTCAGCAGTTTTATGGCATTCAGGACTTCTGCTTTTGTCGGAGGGCTTGTGATCACTGGTAGTTCTGCCATTGCTGCTGGTATTTCTGGACGAGTTGGAGGTGTTGGTCGATTCGAGAGCTTTATGAAAAGGGCCAGCCTATTTTTCCCCTTGTTTCTCCTCTTCGATAACTAACTTGGCCCCGTATAGCAAAGGCGAATTATAAGTATCATAATAACAATATCAAAAAGAAAATACATCATGGTTACTGCGTCATTTTACAGACTTTTATATCAAATATACGCACTTATTTATCAGAAACCATTTATTGCTTACCATTTTAGACGCAAGATGTCATACTTCGATTTTCCACTGTGACGACTACGCTGTGGGGGTGAGAAATAAGAAACGAGAGAGTGTAATAGCTTATCAACTTCTCTTATAGGCACACCTGTGTCAGCTGATGCAGTCAGCAAACTTAATTACCAAAGACCGTTCCACGTAATTTCACCTCACCAAAAACTGTTCCGGATGCATTTTAGTCAATTCGGCCGAAAATCACTTTCTTCCAAAACTAATAGGCCATAATGGGAAAGCTTTAAGGTTGTTTATTACCTTGTCAACTAACGATACATTTGTGTTTAGGGGAAATCGTGTCTTTGTGATATAATCTTGCAACTTTTCGAATGTCTAGATGAAACTTTTGTCTTTTTCTTTGTAAGTACGTGTTGACTTTATAAATGCTCACCTATAAAGTAACTTACATTTTTTGGTGTATGTAATTGTACAAAAACTTTAACGGAATGGTCTTGATTAGGGAGGTGAGATTAAACTGTCTTGAGCACCAGACTGGTAACCTGAAGGTTGATGGTTGAGATCCAGACGCACACCCACACTTTCGTTTTACTTTCAGTCACCACGCAGCATCAACAACAACTTTCTGCCAAACCATATATATATATATATATATATATATATATATATATATATATATATATATGCGTGTCTCACAAACACAGCACATATCCATGCCCCGAGTTGCTAGAGTCTTTGCCAACGAAGCCTCTTGACCAATTTGACGGAGGGTGTGGACATTGAAGGCTCCAGTATGTAATTTGGAGTGTGGTTTAAGGAGACCAGTGATGCTGTTCTGTGGACTCAGATCGTTGTCGAAGGCTGCAGAGCTAGGAGAAACTGAAGATGATGCAGCATCATTAATTAAGAGACTTGAAGGAAGATTAGAAGGTAATGATGGAGGAGGTGGATAGCAGTCAGAAGGAACTTGAGTGCTGACAGAGTTGTGAGGGCGGCTGACACTTCCCGGCTGCCTAAACCGTGGAAGGCTATTTCTTCTTAAGTTACCTGAAAGAGTTTTGTGTGACCGCAGAGCCCATCGGACATCTACTTGAGGCCTGTCACACCCAGCCTTTTGAGTACGAATATTTTGAACTTTTATATTTTTGGGGCTGGATGGTCGAATGGAAACGACAAGTGAACCAACACCGCCGGCCCGGCAGACCGTGGGGCGTGGTGGAGTGTGTTATTTTCGGGGCCGACCTTTTCTAACCCCCCCCTTCCACTGAGAAGGCAGCATCAGCTTGGCACTGCTGGTCATCCAAGGGAAACACCTTACTGCTGTCACACCCCATCCAGCTAGCAGCAGTACGACTTCGCCCTCAGACCCCATCATAGTGTGGCAGTTTACACTACAACGGTAACTGTTTTTCGTCTAACCACTATCCAACAGACCCTTCTGGTATGGTAGGACCTCGAGGTAACAAGCGTTCCACCAGCATAGCTCGTTTGGTCATTGTGATATGCAAGCCCGACCACCACGTCAAGGTAGCAGCTATCGGTCGGGCTGTCATAAATGTGTGAGGAGTCTAGCCACAAAATTTAACATCACCATGGTAACAGAGAAAATAGTTAAACGAAAGTATTATCAACTACTATAGAACAGTGATGAGTGAATAAAGTCAATTTAGAAACCTTGTGCATTATACATATGATGTGAGGGCTATCCATACTACATTGCTCCCCTAACGCTAAACCTTAGCAGGTGAAGGGATGTTCACATTGATGACCCATTAGCTGAACATGAAGCCCAGAAGCCAAAGAACCATGACTGCACTACCACGGAACAAACATAATACAGAAAGAAAAGAGGATGAAAGTAACTTAATACATGATGCTGCAGCTTTCAGAAATTCAGATGTAACTACCTCACTACAATTAACTCAGAGTCATGTCACCCAAAATCTTTGACCACCTGTTGTGGTTATCTCTGAGTATCAAATACGAGGACAATTTTCCGTACATTGTTTCTACTATATTCTTTATGTACTGGTACCAGCTTTTGTATAATAACTCTGTACCATTAAACAAACTCAAGCTTATATAGTGTTTTATTATGCATGAAATATATACCAGAAACTTGAGTTAGTGAATTTCTAGTTTTAGATTTGATGTTTATGTAGTCCCAAAATAGTTTATTGCCTTCACCGAGTTACGGGTTCGTTGTTAAAAATAACGCTTGTGGTCTTGAAAAATTGGATATCCTCTGAAGTTTCTAACAAAAAAATACGACCTCAGTTAGAATTTAAAAATCTACAGTTCAACAGTTCCTTGAAAACTATTCATTTTCATATGCAACTATTTTTATTCCCTTGTCTCGTAATACTGTTGCCAGTAAACATTTGCAAGCCTTACATAAAAAGCGGAATACATCTATTTGATCATAGGAAAAGACAAGGTGTAGTTTTAGCGAAGAAAATTTTTTTCTTTTCGACGAAGTCATTTACTAAGCTGTACATTCTTGAATATATGTTACAGTGAGTAGAATGTTCCAGAATTGTTTCCAGTAAGAGGTCAAAATATATTGAGTAACTAAAGGAAATTAATTCATACACATTTGTGTTTAGAGTGAGAAAATAGACAGGCAAGTGCTTCAGCTATAAACAGATGCCTTGATTTTACTTCCTTTAATTGGTTTGATCGAACCTTGTAGAGAATTTTAAATGAGCTCTCGAAAGGAGCTAAGTGGCCTGAGAAAATTTTTCTTCGCTGAAACCACGTCTGTTTTAGTTGGTTTACTAGATGTATCACAGATTGGAACAGTATTTTTCGCTGAATTACTTTTCGAACATAATTTATCGTCCTCAGTCACATCGAGTTAACTGCACAGTTTTGAGAGATCCTTTATATATCCCTGATATCCTCACCTCCTTTGTAATATGGATGAAAGGATTTTCTATATATCCAGAACAGATGCTGGACCACTTCTGTTGCATGTATTAGGCGCCGATTTGACAAACAAAGGTTCAGTTATCAATCTCTCCCTCCACCCTGCTATGTTAAATTTTAGGATTTTCACCGTGTTCCACCCTATTGTGTGGTTTTGGTTGGTTGCATGTATAGCTATGATCCAGCTTTTTTGAAATTTTTTTCATCTTACTAGAATTTTCCAATTTCAATCGATCATTATGCAAAGTGGTCACTGAGCTAGGACACTATCTACTTCAGGGCGACTACACAATTGTAACACTCACCACCAACTTGTATCATACTTCTTTTTTCAAGAGGGTTTTTTTCCACTAAAATGACTCTAATCCTGTGAATTTGTTAGGGCATAAGACCACACATACATAAATGTCGTAGAATTTTAAAACCGTAACATCCAAAGGATATATTTGGTTACCACAGTGAAAATAATTTTAATATGGAGAGAGAGAGAGAAGTATCCTGAATCTTTTTGTGGTTCTTAATCGCCTTTCTTCAGACGAGACAATCTTGTCGGCTAAACATCCCCATAAATTTTCCTTGAAAATAATTTTCAGAAAAACAATGTTCACTTCAATTTCCTTCCACAATGGAGTTCATAATGGAAGACATTAAAATAAATGCAGAAATCAAAAAGTAACATATAGGAGTAATCTATTTTTTTTACAGCTAAATTTCACTTACATCCTTCAAATCATAGGCCAAAACAATAGCAGATAAATCCTGTGCTACTGAGAAAATACCTGCGAATGTGCTTTTCTAAAAATTAAGTTTTTAACAATGAGAGAAAATTAAATTTTATCTTTGCAAGGAGAAATAGTATTAAAAAGTAATGGAGTTGAAGAAAGCATATAAAATCTTTTTTACATTCTTACTTTAATTAGTTGATGAAATTAATTAGTTTTACAGGGTAATAAAAAGCCTGAAAGGGGGATTTGAGTGGATTATACTTCATTCTCACTTTTGACTTGGTCTTAGTGAGATGAATGCACTTCTACGCATGCGAAGGGAAATCGTGCAATAATATGCAAGTACGTCTTACTACGAATTTGATAGCCATCAGTAATTCACGTTAATTTTCTTCTGAAATTGATTTAGGCATACTAGACGTTTGTCTCTAACCTGCCACTCTTTACAATGAAAATCCACATCTTCACTAACTAGGAATACTACCTCTAATATTATTAAAACTTCTGTACTTAGCAGTATTTTATCCATTTCCTAATTATCTCCTGTTATGCCTATCATTCGCACACTTCTTGTGTTTTGTGTTGGTTTCGATCCCTATACCTCTTTTACTGACTGCATGCAAATAAAAGACAGAGAGTAAGACCAACTTCAATATACTTCTGTACCGTCTAATTGAAAGTATATTTCTTTCACAGCTGATATCAACTGAATCTGAAGGTTTATGGGGATTTATTGATTTCAAATTAGTATTCACCACCGAGTAATATCAAATCGAGAACCAATGAAAATCCGGGAACACTGGAAGTGCATTTTATCCCGGTTGGATGAGAGGAAAAATACTCAGCAGTGGCATTAAATGAAATACATGCTTTGTCGAGAATTGATGGAAGTAGGAAAATGGGATTAATTAGAATCCCATATATTGGGTGAGCTGTGTCCTTCGCGCTACAAAACCTAAACTTTCTGGGTTAGATTCCCAGAGACGTCATTGGTGAACACAGCTGTCCATTGCTCCCAGATTTTTAAAGAAGCTCCAATTGTTGTCAGTCTCTGATGAATATCAGCGCCATAAAAATTGCCTTTAATGTGTTCCACGTTCATTTCTTAGTGGGAACAACTCCTTCACGGGGAGGTAGGTACATCTAACTGATGAGTCACAAATAGGATGAAGCGTGTACGCCCTAGATCCCACTGCTAGCCACTAAACGTCAACAATATAAGCAGAAAATTGAAAAAGATAGTAGGCCATACAAAGCATGTTTCATCCAAATGCATATCTGAATATCATCCTGCACGGCTAAGTCTTAAAGAGAGTGGAAAGCGATTAACAACTTGATTCTTGAGCATCTGGTTAACTATGGTTACCCTCCTCTATCAGAATCCTCATTCAAAGCCAAATGTAAGGTGAAACAAAAAATTTCAGATGAAGTGAGGATCTTCTAACTGAGCATAGCAGAAGACTTCGAGTTTCATCAGCACAAGCCAGATCTCTATATTCGCAAGAGGTAAGTCAATTCTTTAGTTTTACCTTGGTCATAATCTCCATAAAATATCTATTTATTTTATACTTGTTTGTTCATTCTTTTTCTTTTATCCATCAATATTATTATTTTTATTCCCTTTCCTTACTCCGCAATTATTGATTTCATTAGGGCTGTCCCATGAATAGATAGATATGTCTGTCATACATTTAGTTCTGTTGACAAATTTGAATAATTTAAGACATTTATAGAATAAACTGAGCTCATTTTGTTTCACCGCCTTTCATCAGCTGCAATCAGCCTACAGTTGAAATAAAGTTTTAGTTATAATGATAGCATAAAAACACTTTAAATACGTAAAAATAAATGAAGATTTGAAATCCAGGATTAACAATATGGACAGTAAGTCAAGGAAAAAGGACTAATGATCACAAATCTTAGTCAAAATCAACGGCTATTTATATCTATGAGATAAAAAATTCTGGAGCAGTGGAGTGTGGGGGAGACAATAAGCAAACATGGATGTCAAATAAGTGGTTGTTAAAGAGCTAGTAGGCTAAGCAATTACATGAAAAAACTTGGAAAATCGTTAGTGGTCAGCAGTTAATCAGTAATTAATGAAGATATGGTACAATTTAAAAACGAAGACTATATACAGAGGTTAAATGAGAGTTATTCGCCAGTGAAATGACAAAAGATTAACTACTTCATACGGCACTTAAATCTTCACCTCCAGTTTTCAATAGCTAATTAATTTTTACCTTACATTGGTGAAAGTCAGGAACATTAAATACAAGACATGCTCGTATCATAAATTTAAAAAGATATCACAAAACTTCAGGACATCTAAGCATCATCAGTGTTTTTATGTTCATTTAATGCACAAATTGATCTAAACTCCTGAATCAATGATAACTGTGAATCTATATGAGTTGGAATTTCCTAGAGTAGCCCCAAAGAAGACAGTGAATTGTCTGAGTTTTATGAAAGTCTTTTTATTTGTACATACAGTCACATACAAATAAATACACATGTGCATACATGTATAAACATATACATAAAATTATCATTTGACTATCTGAGGCAGCTGTAGTTTGGCGGATTACTATTTATTCTAGGTAACTATTGAATATGAAATGAAAATCTGGACCCCAGCCGAATTCGAACCAGCCACCAACAGGTTTTCGGCCAGATGCTCTACCAACCGAGCTATGTGGTCCAGTTGCTCACCACCATTTCATTTCACTTCAGTCATCTCAGCGTCACGAATTCATATGGTAATCTGGCAAAACCCATGGTGATGAAGTGAAATAAAAATCTGGTCAGCAGTCGGACGTGACAGCTCAGTTGGTAGTGTGGCGCTGGGAACCCGGTGGTCGGTGGTTCGAAATCCTACCGGGATCCAAATTTCATTTCACCTTCAATCATCACCCAGTATATACATAGAATTCATAACAGCTCAGAATCATTCTTCAGTAATCAATCAATGTATATAATTCAGTTATACGAAAGATCAATCGCACTCGAAATGGCTCAGTGGTAACGTCTGTGACTGTAACACTGTATGATACGACTTCAACTCTCTGAGAGGACATCAGTCCCTCCAAGCCTTCAGATACACGTTGCTGACGGGTGCCATTTAACAAAACTCTGGGCTAAACATGTCTTCGTACTGATTTCTGTCAACTATTTAACATTATTTAAGACAGTCCAGTAAAAGAGATCAAGTTAAATAAAGATTATACTAGGAATGTCCTAAATGTGATACCAAATGAAGAATAATAACAAATTAGCGTAGGAATGAACGTCAACGAAAGGTTGGAACCGTGGGTCATGCAATATGTCAAAATTTTTGATGAAAAAACAAAATAAAGGATAGCATGGAAAGGCAATGAAGGTAGTGTTATATTGATTAAACAAATGTAATCAAACCTAACGAAACTGTACATATCAATAGCGAAGGAGAAAGACGGAGAGTTGACGTTCATAGCTATTGTCAAAGTTGAAGATGGTAACAATGGTCGAATAAATTACTTTTGTACACCTAAAGCCAACTTCTTTAGACATATAGCAAAGGATCTAAGAGTAAACAGAAGACTGTTTTGGGAAAATTATTTCTCACTTTCAAAATGACTAAGAAAATCTAATCAGTTGTGTCTGTGTAAGAAGTGAAGACAAGGTATTCTGGTCTTGTACTTCTAGTGGATCCACTCACATTTACTTGGAGCTGCAGAGAGGAGCATTGTTCTCTAATCTATTTGGATCGAACGTGCATAGAGCAACCTACATGCCTGGCTTCATAAAAGCAAGTGAACTGACATATGCGCAATAATAAGCACCTACACTGATGATTCACTTGTTTCTGTTGTTTTTTTCATATCACTTGTTTGTACTGAATAAAATAACTGATTCTACGCAAGGTATTCAACAGCATTTATAACAAACTTGATACATTTGTATTTCACTTTAAGTATCTAGCTTCAAATCGAGTACCTAAAACATAAATCAGACTTTTAATTCAGTTTTTTACATACAAGTGCACCACTTAGCTTTATGATTTCATGGACGAATCAGGTATATGAAAATGTATTTTTTTAGGGGTAACAAGATTATGAAAGAAAAGTAGATAAGTAGTAAAAAGAGAAAAAGAAATGAAATCTACAACAATTATGTAAATTGAACTTACCTCCATTATAGTGAGATTGGATAAAAGAAGTTTTTCTTCAAGCGTTCGTGAATCAAGCAACATTATATCATGGTTTTCAGTCAAATAGATGAGATAATCTGAATTAAAATAAAATATGGAGATGAATTCAGTTTGAAAAATTCCATTTAAGGATGAATATATATTTTTTCTAGTGCCAAAGATAAAAGACACTAATTTAGTTTGCAGGTATGTAGGGATGAATTTATCGGTTTCAAGGTTGCACTCATCACAGTCTGACATCATTTTGCAGAAGAGATAAAAGCCTATGAGCACTAAAAAGCTGGCTGTTTCGTCTATCTATAGGACTTCTGAACACCACGCACTCAGTACACCAACGTGGATCGAACACAGTATATATCCAAGCTTCACACCTAGCGCTACTGAGCCATTCGAATACAATAGTTCACATTTTCCTACTTCTGTTGATTTGCAAAGTGGTGCGACGTTCATTGAATCTCATCATCTGCTTCACTTCCCAAGGGCTACGGCTTCTCAACAAGACTTGAAGATATCCTTTTCGAAATCAATCAACCCCCACAGTGTTTATTAGTGACGAGATTTCCTGAAATTATAATGTGCTCCTTCAAGTCGAAAGTGAAGCGGATGAACCCAGTTATGCAAGAACAAGTTGAGAGAAGTAAGAAAATTTCAGCCAACAGGCTGCAGACTGCTGGATAGACCCAAACTAGGAGAAAGCAGCCATCCAGTGCTTCCAAATGATGGCAACCTGTAATGAATGCAAGCTTGATATTGTATAGTAGTCTGTAGCATTCTGTTCCAAACTAAAAATATAGAACGGTGACTTTAATGAAATGAGAGTTACAATACAACCTGATTTACTGAGGAAAATGTGCATTCAGAACACAATTTATTAGAAACATATTTTCCTGAAACCTCAACAAAATGATGAAGCTGGTTTACTGACATATGTCATTCTCTAAAATATAAATCTTTTGAAACGATCACATTTCTGAATAGAAGGAAATCAAGTGAACATTTTAGAATTACAAGTAAAACAAAATCTATGTACATCCGTTATCAGATGACTAATTGTTGACCGATTTTGACTAATTTCTTTCATGTTTCAATAGATTTCTGTCCTTTGATTGAGTCTGTAATCTAAGGGTTCTTTGTGTGACCAAGACCAGCTCTTTCAGTTCTATTTCTATGGTAGCTTAATTAACAAGTTGAAGTAAATCACAAACCACTCATTTTTTCGTTCACTTTTCAATCATTTTTTAAACATTTTGACTGCTGTCACAACATGTATTCCAGTGAGCTACTCGTGAAAAAGTCAAAGTTAAATAGCCTGAGAAATGTCAACGTGAACCGTGCAGTTTGTAAATCATTTGCAGATTGATCCTCTTGCTTTAGGTATACCGGTTCAAGTAAGTCAGATAGTCAGCTGAAGTCAGCCAGCCAGATTCAGATGATCTAAACTCATTCGGATTGAACAGCTGTGTTTTTCCACGTTCACTACTGATGGGCTTGGCTTTAAATGAATGAAACGGCTGTCCAGCAACTAGATCACCCTGAACAGTTTCTAGCTAATCATGACGTTTAGTAGTTTATTTTGGAAGTGAAAAAAAGTGCTTAAATGGGACAAGATTTAAAAATTAATTGCTATTATGATTATCATCAATAGAAAAGAAAGAAAAAACAAGCAGCAAGTTTTATTCGCATACCATTTATTTTCTGACTGACAAATATGTCCACCAATTTATTGACTTGTATAAGATCAGAAAAAGTGAGTGGTAATCCATAGTCAATCTTCTTCTCCTCTGTCAAAAAGAAAGAATGTAAAAAAACGAAAAGTCACGAAATACCCTCGATGTTTTCAGAGGAAAATGATTTAATAAATGTTCACAATATTACCAATTAGTTTCAACGGGAAGTCACTTACTATGAAAATGTGAAATAATCCAATCAGAAAAAAACAAGGCAAAAAAATCACATATGAAACCAGGATATTTAAGTTCGGTATTACAGTTTTTCACATGGCCAGTTTGTAAGTTCACATGCTGACTATCGGTACATATAGTCAGTCATTAGTTGATTCCACTCAAATATTACTAGGTAATTCATTCATGTCAATTTTACATGTTTTTAATACTGACTTCATTCTGTTTCATATAAACACTCACCAGGAAGAAAAAGCTATTCTGTGAAAGTAACCTTTAAGGTTGGATATATGGAACTATAGTATTTCACCGTTGTTGTGTGACCAGTTAATTAACTTGAAGTGACCAGTTACACGAAGAGTCTATGCATAGTTGTTCGGTGAAGAGTTGAAATGCAGACAGAATGTCATTGATAACGACCATAAGAAATATTTCTAATGTGACCATCTTGAGTCTTGATAAGGTTACGCTTCTATTTCTTCTTTATGCAAATCTACATACCCTGACAAGTTGAATTTACAGTGTCTCTGTAATACTGAACCACTCACTGACATCATTTGGACAGTAACTGAAAACTTGGGAATACTAGACAGCTGGTTTGTCTTAACATAGTATTTCTCAGAGGTCGAACTAAGGACATTTAGGTTTTTCGGCATGTACACTACCATTAGGGCAACGGGTTGGAATCCGGTGTCCAGAATTTTCATAGTCTTGTCATTTGGTATTATGGCGCGACCTTGTTCCAATACCATCGTAAAGTATTTATCCAGACACGTGACTTGTTTGGCCCATCGTTCAATACTTTTTATGAGAGTATTGGAAAATTTATTCGTAAACAGCGTGTTGAGTGCACTGGACAGCTGTTTCGTCATAGTATGGGACGCACTCATGAGCCCATACCTCCGAGGATTGAACCCAAGACCTTCCCGTGGCCAGCACGTTCTTGTTGTAGGAATTCAGTGGTCCACATTTCCTACGTCTGTCAGTTCACGATATAGCTCTACTAACATCTAATTTCGTCGCTGAATGACTATCCTCCTATGTGACTTGGTCGACCCCACTGGTCACGACTTCTACTTCTTGAATAATTTCTTAGTTGGTTCTTGTTAATTCTTTCTTGTGATGGATTCTGCCACTTCCTCCACAGAAGTATCGCAGTTGAAAATGGTGGTTATTATTATTATTTATACTACAATATTTTTATTACTTCCCAAAAACTTAACCTCAAAACTTTTGCTCTGGACTTCTGACTTTTTGCGTGTGACTTTCGCTTAGATCTAGTAACTGCCATATTAGATTTATCAGTTCGACTTCTCAGCATACCAGAACTCACAACAATAGGTTAACATACTGTTTGAACAGCTTAGGAAGCTCGAAGAAACCTGGAACGATGAAGAACAGCAGGCGCCATAAGCGGTTTGCATCAAGGATATTTGAGGAAAGTTACCGAAAATTATTTACCAGATTGACTGAAATCTTATTTGGTGTAAGGGGATCAGATGTGATCGCCTCCGGTCTCAATCGTTGATCATCTCAGTCTTCAAGTCAATGCTTAATCTGAATGAGAGGAACATCCTGAATAAAAATGTGGCCGAAACAAAGCTGACCCTACTATCCGAGCTGAAACAGCTATGCAGAGACTGTTGGGAGACTTACTAACCAAAAAATATTCAAACTTATCATAAACTGTTTTTCCTCGCATTAACATTCAAGACATAAAGTATATTTGGTCGCCTAATTTGACATCGTTTTTGCTAGTTTAGGCAAACACAATGACATTGTACCCTGATTCGTATAGCCTATTCTGTATTGTTCCTAATAACGGGAGACAGATGAGGAAGCAAAAACGTATAATTGATATAGTTGCTCTGAGAAACAAAATAAATGACCCTAAAACCATATTTATAGAGTCATTGTTCACATCATCAATTTCAGATCAATGCCATATATACTCTTTTAACGAACGAAATACCAAGTTTACATCCTGATGTCATTTAGAGCACATAATCAAAGAAACTATAGTCATGCCTTTCTATATTATTTTAAATATGAATGGTAATGATAATAGTGAATTATGATGAATCTGATTAACCTCTTCTCTTATAATAAATAAATTTACTACACAAGATATAGATAGCTTGTAGGCATACAGAAAAACTCCTTGTCTACATAAAGGATTATATAAATTCAGATTTTAAGAAGGGTCTACTTTCTTTCTCATTAATCCGCTATGCATCACTCTTGCACTATCAAAGCCATGTAACTTACCACGTGAATTACAGCAATAAATTTTAAAGATAAGCAACTTTAGCAGTTCATTTTGAACTAAATAGAGTTAGACGTTTTACCACTTGGACTAAATTTGTTCCTGGTGATACCCAAACCCTGGACTAATCGCTTCAAACTTTAGAGTGTTGCTTATTAGGCTAGTGAGTTATAAAATATTAGGGAAATATCTAGACAACTGCACAGGAGTTCATATGTCAATATTAGCTGATCAATTCTGTCCAATCAAAGAGCGGAAATTTTAAGCCACAATATGTTGTGTTGCCACTAAGCATAAGTAGATTAATTTATTTCTAGTGCTTTTGAATAGTACCAGGAAACTATAATTTCAAAAAATACGACTCGAATAAAGTGGCTGATGGACGTTTGGTATAAATATATCATCCTTCACATACTTCTTACCCCAGGGTAATAGTGTGTGGATTAGTTCGTTGATGCTCACATTAATCAGCTCAAAAACTAACCACTGGGTAGTGACTAAGGTGAACTGAAAATCTGGGTCATGCAAGGACTAGGACCATTAGCGTCCAAGTTATCAGCCTGGAGCTCTATGAAGTGAGCTGAGACACCCTGGTTAGCTCAGTTGACAGATTATCAAGCCGGTAAAGCAGTGGTCTCTGGTTTGAATTCTGCCATGACCTTGAATTAAACTTCGCCCTCAACCATTAACCAGTAGTTAACTTTTAGTCTGGGTAGCGTGAGGATCCATGCATGAAATTTTCATTCACACTCTATGAACAGTGACAGAATTATCCCAAACTTCATGCAGTAATATCTGATGACTGCAATATTTCAATTCAGATCTTATATCAATTTAAAGCAACAGAGAAGTAGTACATTCACTGACAGAATGAACTGTATTACGCCTTGAAAGAAGTAATTTAAAAAGATATTCATTCATTGGAATATCTAAAATCAAATCAACAAAACAATTATTATTAGTTGATTCGGTTGTAGCTGCAAAGGAACCTAGAGCACAAGTACCAACAAGTAATAGCACTTATTAAAGGGAATGTCTAGAAGTCACCTGTTGTTGGATTGACTTCCGATTCAGAATGAAGGATGTACAGAAATTGAACTTAAGTTTGGTGGTGACAGTTCATTCAGCAAATACAACAATTTTTTTATTCGAGCTAAGCATCCAAGGATTGAGAATATGAGAAACGGTTAGCTGAAAACATTTTAAAACTGTACAATAGTACATAGCATGTTAAGAAGACATAGTTGAATGATTAAAAGAAAATGAAAGTGGAAAATTTTAGTAGCCCAAGGTTGATGTAGATCATCAAAGGTTTGAATCTCAGGGGGAACAACATTATATCCAGCTGACGAATTCCAAATACTATAAAACGTGCATTATAGATTTTGATGCTAGCCACAACTGAATCAATTAGCAATAAATGTTTAGGAGATATCAAGCATCCGGATAAAGCCCAAATGCCAACAAACAGTAAAAGCAATCATCATTAGTTATGAAGATGATGGTGAATTTGTTGCATAGCAGACACACACACACACGCACACAAAATACACGAATAATAAACGAACTAATTAGTTTTTTTTTGACTAGTAATAATGATCAGTAAATAAGTATTCGAAAAGCAAAAGTGATTTTAACCCTTAAAATTTAAGAGCACTTCGAATTCTTACCTCTTGAAGAAGATGCCAAATTTTCTATAAAACATTATTATAATGACAACAACATTGGAAACAGTAATTATGTACACAAGAGTTTTCGAAAAAATTGGTGATAACACTTGTTTACTAAAGGATAATAGAATAATTTTCAAGGAAATAATAAATGAAGGCCTAAACATTCTGTACTCTCGTACCTTAAGATTTCAAAAATGCTTAAATCCTCATGAAATGAATACATCTTAATAATTCCTATCAGTGTGTAAGTAGTTGACAGCACCATTGTTGTCATGCATTCATCTACATGGTGTACTCAGTGAGGATACTGTAACTACTGGAAACTATGGGTAAAATGCCAGCAGAAACCACAGAAAATAATGCAAAAGGTATAACATGAAAAGGATGTAAGTCCCCATAGCTTGATTACTACAAACGTGTACTAACTTACCTTAACTTACTGCTAATGTACTTACTTTAAACCCATATTGTAGTCTAGCGAGTGGTCAATACATTTCTTTCCATTTGAGAATCTCCAACCATTAAATGTTTTTTATTTCTACTTTATGTAATATTTTTCAGTTTCTAAAATTGTTTTTTATAACGGTACTGATGGATTGTGGCTAGTAGCCGAATTCCGGATGCACGTTTCATCTTATTTGTGACTCCTCAACCTGTCGTACCTGTCTTCTAGTGAGTAATCTTTTTCTCATTGGGACTTGAAGCCAAGACTGATTGCTCCAGACACCAGGGAGTTGTCCACTAGACCACTGGGTTTGAAAACATATGCCGATGACCAGAGTATGTGAACCAAGAATCTAGCGATTGCAGAATTTTCCAAATGAGCAAGAACAATCAGTCTTAGCCTAGTTTTTTGAGATCAACTTCGAGTAAAAGATTGTTTAATACTAGGCTACTTCGAAAGTATGGCTGCTTTCAGTCTCAGTATTCTTTTCAAAGCA